TTCTCCTTCCCAACTTAAAAGCTTATACAGTTAGTCAAGGAAATGTTTTGACATAGTAAAAAATGTTTTTATTCTGCATTTCATCATTGATGAGAACAATTTCTACTTCATTTTTAAATTTTCCTTTATTAACTCATGTTTAGTCACATATTTACTAACCAACGGAAACCCCCTATAAATTTTTATTAGGAAATAAGATCAAAAATCAAAAGAAAGTCTAGAATTTCATTGTCAAGAAAATGTTTTTACAATTTATTTTTTATCCGTATTTTCCACCTTGGGCAGTTTCTACTTTTTGAAATACAATTTATCTTAGTCAAGCAATCGTTGAAAGTTATTTAGTCAATGTGTGTCTTTTTTTTATTACTAAAAACAATAAACTGTCAAAATTTTAAAATGCCCGGCAAAAGAACATCCATGGACGTCATCCAGTTGGTTTATTATAACCGGCAGATAGGAAAAACGGTTCAAGAATTGTCTGAAATGTTCTCCATAACAAGGCAGACAGTGTACAATATTTTAAATCGCTCTGAAAACGAGAAACGATTGTCATTAAAGCTTCCAACTGGCCGTCCACGTAAGATTTCGGATAGAACAGAACGTGTTTTAAGAAGAAAAGTAGATGAAAATCCCATGGTATCCATTCGAACGCTTGCACATGAACTTGAAGAAGAATGTGGCATTACAGTCTCTCACGAAACGGTAAGACAAGTTTTGAAGAAGAACGAATATTCATCTAGAATAGCTCGAAAAAAACCTCTTCTTACAATGCAACATAAAGAGAGGCGATTGTCTTTTGCTGTGGAGCATATTTCAAAACCTAACGAATACTGGGATGACGTTATATTTTGTGACGAGACTAAAATTATGCTTTTTTATAATGACGGACCGAATAGAGTGTGGAGAAAACCGTTAACTGCATTGGAAAGTCGGAACATAATTCCAACCGTAAAATTTGGAAAACTTTCGGTAATGGTTTGGGGGTGCATATCTAGTAAAGGAGTTGGAGATATTTGTTTTATTGAAAACACCATGGATGCCAATCAATACTTGCATATCTTGAAGTCTCATCTTGTTGGCAGTGCAAACATGTTTGGGTTCTATTCTAATCAGAAACCAAATTTTAAGTTTTATCAGGATAACGACCCAAAACATAAGGCTCCTTTAGTGAGAACATGGCTTCTTTACAACTGTGGTAAAGTACTGGATACTCCTGCCCAGAGTCCAGACTTAAACCCAATTGAAAATTTGTGGAATGATTTGAAAAAAAACATTGCCAAAAGACTTCCGAAAAATCAATGTGAGTTGAAAGCTATAATTCTGGAGGAATGGAATAAAATACCAGCAGAATATGTGAAAAAATTAATTTATTCGATGAAACGCCGTCTTCAAGCCGTGATTGATGCTAATGGCAGTCACACAAAATATTGATCATCGTAGAATCAAATATGCATCCCGTATTTTGCAATTTATATTAGTATGTAAAAACATTTTCTTGACAATTAAATTCTAGACTTCCTTTTGATTTTTGATCTTATTTCTTAATCTTAAATTTTTTGGTTTTTCGCGTTGTCGTTATTTGTTAGCTAATATATGACTAAACATGAGTTAATAAAGAAAAATTTTAAAAATGCAGTAGTTATTGTTGAAATCAATAATGAAGTGTAAAATAAAAACTTTTTTATTATGTCAAAAGACTTTCTTGACTGACTGTACATATATTGCACTTGTCCAGTCACCTGTCTTATGGAATTCTTGCTTGAGTTGCCCAATATCACTTAAATAACGTAGAGATACTAGAAAAATGGATAGTAAAATAATATATAGGAAAGATTTCGGTTACTACTTTGTTTCGGGAGAGTATCTATTCCTAGTAATCTTACTAGACATGCGGCACCTTTATTTTTTATATTAATGAGGGAGGCTATATTATATGCTTCCGGATCGTATTGCTGTTATAAACACAAAATTTAAGATAGTTGTTTTCAAAGATCTGATCTGATCTGATCTGTATTTTTTTTTCACTTTTTATACTCTTTAAATTTTAGGCGCATACACACTGATTTTGTATTAACCGGTTGTATTTCATGAAAAACTCCAGTTTCAAACATTTATACATGCTTCTGTGGATTTTTAAATTTTTATTTGATTTTTTTTCAATGCTTTGTATTGATATATACATATCGTTTTCATAACTTCTTCCGATGCCCAATCGCCATTTTTCCCCTATCGTTCCAAAATTCATCTTCCAGTTCTCTTTCTATCATCTCTGATTTTATTCCTTCTATATAACTTCGCCTCTCTTCCTTCTGCCGTGAGGAGTCCATCTTAGATTTTGTTTTGGTAGTCACTCATTACAGATGGCCATGTCATCCGAGTTGTTTTGTTTTTATATTATCTATGACGTTCTGTGTAACTGCCATTATTTCCCGTATTCTTTCATTTCTTATTTTATTCGTTTTCCAGTAGCCCTTCTCCAAAAGTTCATCTCTGTAACCTAGAGCATTCTCTCTCCTTTCTTTTAGAGACCAAAGTTCACTAATATATGTTACAATGCTTTTGACGATTGAGTTGTAAATTTTATGTTTGTTCTGTTTTGTATTTAGGGTCTATAAATAAACATTAAACATTAGTCCTCGCTTCAAAAATACAAGAAAGGTCAGCACTGCATGAATTATTCACTGAAATTATAGGAAGGTTTCTCCTATAAGGATGGATAGTCTGTGTAATTATTAAGACGTTTATACAGCATGCTCACACATAAACAAATCCGTCTCACTTGTCAATGTCAAATAGTTAGAGTAATAAAGGACACTCCCCAAACTAGAAGTATGATTTTCATAGATAGATATTATAGATTTACTTTAATTTACTCCTTACATACAACTAACTAACTAAACTAACCAAAACTTTTTATTATTTTAAAGCGAGTTTCTTCTTTGGAGCAATTAATTTTATGATCATTGATTATGCTAGGTGCGTTCAAAAATTAAGGTGACTTGTAATTGGGCCACCAACATAAATTCGATCTTCTATTTTTTTTATATTGGTACGCATGCCCCTAACATGTGTTCACAATTTCAGCCAGTTTGCACGTTTACATTTTTTTTTTTTAGACAGAAGCGTTAGACGTGCTTTTGCGTGCTCGGCGGTGTTCTCCTGTAAAAAAATGGAATAAAATTTTGCGTAAAAAATGGAACACAGTGCTACAAAACACTTGCATATGGTCAATCTACTTTGCACTGACACGCCGATGACGGTTATTGTGGCGTAGTACATCAAGAGTTCTTACCACAAGGTATGTTGTCAATAAATTTTCCATCACAATTGTTGTTTGTGTCTAACTTTTTGGCCAAAAACAAAACCACAATCATGCCTCATGCACCATATTCACCGGATATCGCCCCCTGCGACTTTTTCCTGTTCTCAAAACTCAAGAAACCTATGAAACGAAGGAGGTTTTATAACGATTGAGCAGATAAAGGAAGAATAGCTGGAAGAACTCAAGGCCAAACCAGAAAGTGCTTACCAGAAGTGCTTCGAGGATTGGGAAAAAAGTTGGCACAAGTGTTTTATATCTGGGGGGATTACTTTGAAGGGGACAGCAATATTTTTGCTAAATAAATAAATACATACTTTTTGATAAAACTTGAAAGTCCTTACTTTTTGAATACACCTCGTACAATTATTGAAATATTCAAAAAAACAATCGAATTTACGAAAAGATGTTTAAAGGAATAATTCTTAAATGTACGGTAAACGATAGATAACAAAAGTAATCAACCTAAGCCAAGCAAAATTTAACGCAACCTAAAAATGTTTTATCAACAATGCATAATGACAGTTCAGTTTTATCAAGGACGCAAAAAATAACAACTCTCTGTTGTTTGTCACTTAAGGTGAAAATAATTATACAGTGGTTCCTTACGAACAAAATGGCTAGCAATATGACATATGGTTGCCCATAATCAAAACGATAGGATCATCCTTCAGCGAAGCCAAGTTAAAAATAGTTTGGACTTCATGTAATCCGAATCTGCGATTATTTTCAATGTGCCTGGTGGTGCCCTATAAAACAGTTCTTCTTCTGTATTTATGCAACACACAGCTGTAACCAATTGCCCGCGTTCCGCTTATTGTCTCGTCTATGTTGAATATTCTGTGCGGAGGAGCTTTTGTTTTTTGGTAAACAGATTTCGAATGTTCCAAGAAACATTTACATTATACCCCAATAAAATGGATCACCCAGTCTACATGGTGGATCTACAAGTCCATTTTTTCCCTGCCATTTATGAGGTAGCACTAAACCTATGTGTAATTTTGATCAAGATGGCATATAGATAAGCCAAACTTCTGACGCCTTTCACGCACATTTCATAAAATCTTAAGTCAACCTCTCGAATGTGTTCCGCCAACTCCTACTCTTGACCCTGGGAGGGTTGTTTTGAATCTACTCAAAATACCGGGTACCGTGCCCTACAAAACCAAAGATGACGGCTCTCTTAGCTTACATTTTTTAACCTTCATTAGCTCCTAGAGCTTTTCCAACAGATTTCTCACTTTCACCTAATGAAATACGATTAACTGCATCATCCAATAGATCCTGAGTAAATTTCAGTTCCCTTTTGCTTTAGAGATGTTTTAGTAGCAATTTGACAGCTGCGTACACTTAGTAGATCGCGCACTCTTAAGAGATCCTACCCTAAGAGAAAGAATGAATTTAACAATAAGTTTGCAATGACTTGGCAGCATTTCCAGCATCGACGTTTTTCGATAAAAAGGGTTAATTTCAATTAACACGCTGTTGGTTGAAGATCGCATCGAAAAACCAATAACAAGAATCGATTAGATATGACGTGTTGCGAAATGGTATGATATAGTATCGATTCCTTCTTTGTCACTCTCGATAACAATAATAATAATTACATCATCTCATAAGCGAAATAACTTTTGCGATAGCGTCGAAAACAAAATCTATATATAATTTCGGAAAGCGTATCAGTCGAGCAGCTTTGGTCGTCGCTTCAGCGTCTGTGCGGTGTAAGGCGCTTTAGGCATTGCTTTCCGTATCTTCCAAGCCCAAGATATACACGGGGTGGTCCAAATAGGAGCTGCCAATTGCTGAGCTTAGGTAAACACCCTTAAGAAAGTTTCACTCCAAAAACAAATTGTTTGGCGGAGAGTTAGCCCATTTCGAAGATTTTTTTATTACTATTGTCGATTTCACCAAGATGTAGAGATGTAATTAAACCTCAATATACTTCAGGCACTTTCATTATTTGGCATTTCAATGCAAGTGGATTTTCCAACTTCATTTGTGAACATCGGTTCTTGTCCAGTAAAATTCGCGTAATTGCATTTTATGTATTTAAAATAATAAATTTAAATAAATCAACTCACGATTGATTATTACAAACTAAAAATACACAAAATGTAGAGAAACAGAAACAGAAAAAAAAGTAAAAATATCCATTTAGCAAATTCTTAAAAATATTACAAAGGCAATAATATAAAAAACTCGAGGATTTTAGACCACAAGCCTACTAATAAAATATCTTCGCAACCATAAAGTTTGGGAAATTCTCCGTCGATCACCCTGTATATAAGCGATACCCAAAACTAAGTTGGACTAAATCAAAACCTGGCTAAGTTACCTGTAGAATTACGTTTTGTCAATCAGTTACTGAAAGAAATAAATATAACGGTACAAAGTAATTTTTAAAAAACGTTATTACTATCGTTATAAATAAAGACATAACTTAAATTTCATTAGAAAAGACAAAAGATTTTTTAAAATATCGAACATTCAAGAAATACCTATTCATGCAATTAAGCACCGAAAAATGTAATTTTTTTAATACCGAAACTCTCACAGTTTTCCGTCATGATGTAAAATTTAATAAATTTCACAAAATTTCAGAAATTTCGGCAAAAAAAAAACTATTTTTACTAGTTTTGCAGAATTGCATTCCAGGCCTAGTCCAATTTGATTCACGACAAGAATTGAGTTTTCAATGTTTAATGGTTTTCAATAATTATTTCTTTCGTCACGGTATTCAATGATTACTAGGTCTAATGTGTTAATGTATACAGGGTGTCTCACATAAAAACCTCTATATAACGCTTTTATTTAAAAATTTTCATCATCACCTTTGGCTTTTTGAAAAATGTCTTTATTTTTATGAAAAGCTTTTTATTTAACTCAAAAATCTGCATTTTTCGACTTCAAAATTACACTAGTAACGCATTTCTTGATGCAAAATTTTGCGAACGCTCTGCCCCAAGTTTTCATTACGATTTTAATATTATCAACAACAATACTAATCGAGATTCTCATCTCATTGAACGCGTAATTTGATATTCACCATCTCAGCCTGATTGATGCAATGTTGCATCATTCGCGGCACATATACTGTTATTCTGTTGCAAGATATAGAAACCATCGATTCATCAATTGATGAAGTGACGTCACGAACGCGAAAAGCATTTCGCAACACATAAGTAGTGGGGGCAATATTTCTGTCGTTAGTGTTAGATCTTTGCCGTTTACCACACATATTAAAAAGACTGGGTCATTTGCGACACTTCTTATCTTTTTTTTGTTTTGATTATATTACGTTAAAATTAGATTTTAATGAGAAGGTTGATCGAATTCCAGATGCTTAGGTATTGTTCTAGTAACACTTTTGTATACAGGGTGTTTCAGAAATGGTGACCAAAAATGAAACGAAATAATCTTTATTTATTGTTTACTGACATTTTTGTCTTTCAATTTTCAGAATATACTAAACATGTATGTTTTTGACAAGAGTGAAAACCACTCAAAATCATTAAATCGTTTGAACTGTTGTTGAACTGTACATAATATAACCAGATACAAGTCAATTAAATTAAACAGCTATGTAAGCTGTGAGGTAGCTGTAATTTAAAAATATACTAAAAGTAAAATAAATGTAACATAAAGCTTCATAAGTATTCTTAGCAACGTACAGATTTAAATTCTTCATTTGTTAAGTTTTCTATTTTCTTTTATGCTTAAAAATAGTGAAAACATTCTTGAAGTAAATATACAAATAAAATGATTACGGAAAGTAAGGAAACAATATAAGCGGGTTTTCTACAGAAAACAAATTTTATGGGTAATATAACTCCAGTTGTGTTTTATTTTATTTTATGGTTTTATATTCCTAATAGTACTATTTACATAATTTTTTATAAATAATAAATAATGTTTTAATTACTCTTGCGCATGTACAGTCATCCCGTACCGCAAAATAGATTCTACCAGTGCTTGATAAACTATTTTAATTAATTTTCTAGGCAAGAATTCTTGCAGTTGACAGAATTTGTAAATCGCTTTTCTAATCTTGTTAACCATGTAGTTAATATGAAAGTCATATTTCAAATTTGAGCCTCTGTAAACACCTTGATATTAACAATTTTTGATTGACGACTGGCACAAACAATGGCATCTTTTAGCCAAGCAATCATATGTATGAATTTTCAGCTGGGGTAAGTCTATTCTTATTATTCTATGCTATTGTTCTAAATCTGTGCTAATTTATGGCAAAATCGTCTTTTTATATTTATTTATAATTGCTTATTATTGCTACGCGATTAAGCGATTTTTTTCCAGGCTACGAAAATACAATTTGTCTGTTTCTTACTCTAAAACATTTACTGATTCGGGATGACTTACTAACAGTGCCGGATCTAAAACAATATTTTCACAGTTTCCAGTTTTTAAATATAATGTTATGTTTACTTCTCCAACATTAGATCTATGGTCTTTAAATCACCTATAATATCAATTCTTAGCTATCTTATTTTTGTGAATATGACAAATCAACATTTCCTTAAAAAGGTCACTGAAATTTTAATATCCTGAAATATCATCCAAGGATGAGTTATGTAAAATGTTGCCATTTTTCCCTGGAACGTTGATACGTGGAAACGTTGTACCTAAAAATGTATTTTTTAGGTATCAATGTTATTATTATCAGCTACATTAACAGTCCTTCCTTTTACCGTAATGGCATTAGCATATGTGACGTTCAAGTCACAACTCACACATTGAACATATTCGTGCTGTTTTGCAAAAATGTACCCAAAAACTAATGATCGCACAAAAAGTAACACGTAACACGTAACTAACCAAACCAACTCGTGACTAAAATGGCATTTATCTCAGTTTTTCTGATGGAACGCAACATTCATTAATGAGAAATGAAAAGCAAAATAAAATATTATCAACAATTGGATGAACAGATATTTTGATTCCAAGCGACCTTCCTTCCACTGAAACACCCGATATGCTTTCAGATGCAATAAATGCACATCATCAAGAAATGACCAAATTGTTTTGTCCAAACGCATGTGCTGATTCGTCTCAGCTATTTGCAATAAACCTACAAAACAGCAATTGCGAAAATCGCTCGTGTTATTTAGCGCAATCTGAACTGATTGTTGTCTCCATCAGCATCTGTTGGTAAATACCCAAAATACGAAAAGTGTGACGAAACTGTATATTTTTTTCACATAGGCGATAATGAGTCGGCATTTAAAAACGTTTCGAAGTGTTCCATGTAAAACTGGTGCAATCCGAGAAAAGATATTCAGATGAGCCCGACCTTATCGTGAACTTTTAAATGATTCGCGACCTTACCGATAAGAAATGTTTCACCATAAACAAAAATAGCCTGGCAGCCTTTACCGGATTTCATTGATTTTTAATAGTCTATCGATTTCTGTTGGGCCTTTTTCTTATCACGAGGCCTACATAAATATTTCTCTTTGAAACCTTCGTGTAGATATTTATAGAAACTAAATGATGTGGAGTAAAAAAACTTGGTCAATTCTGAGCTGCCAGCATCTTCCTTGAAATTAAGTAATTAATATAACGAAATAAATCCTACGACTTTTGTATGTTACCGGTTTTTTATTCATCACACCCTGTAGAATTGAGTTATTCATCCATGTTCATCAGGTATTTGAAATATTACCCAATTTATATAGTTTTAAGGGTTTTACTGGTGAGTTTTCTATTTACGCCTAAAGGGACTTCTTAACACACATGCACGATGACAATCAGTTTTTTCTTCAAGTGTAGATATTATTTATTTAAATAATTTATACAATCTCTACAAATCACTCAGATACCTTGAGTAGGTTATACACTTGAAGATATAGGTCGATATAGGCATATGGGCAAATTTTACGGAAATTAACTCAAATTAAATTCAATTAACAGAGTAAACAAATGATACAAAAATTAAGCAGAAAATAAATTCCTCAAAATTATGCAAAACTTTTTGCTCTATCCAGAGCAATAATTTAAAATAAATCCATTGGTTCGTTCTCCCCAAATACCTCCAACAGTCCATCCACAGTGATCTACGCTATATACAAGAACGCTTCAATTTTAGAATTAATAAACGTACTAGTACAAACAATAATTAATTATTCAGCAAAGGCGGACGTCGCAGGTATGCAACCCAATATACTTCAGTTCGATCGTTAATTTTAAATAAAATTTTACAATGTATCTAATTAAACACGACATGTATCGAACTGCTAGTCTTGAGCTACAAATTGCGTTATATTTCTAAGCCCAATCGGAACTAAAATCATCTCGTTCCAGGTTGCGAGCTATTTCGTGCACGTTCTAAGCCGGCGCCAGTCGATCACGTGACCCGCACCGTTCATAAAAACCAGTGGGAGACAAGGCTCGACCTCTTTTCCCAAACTAAAACGTTTTGGTGAAGAGTCGTTACTGCTTCGGTTCGATCCATTCGGTGCTTCGAAAACGACCTCGTGCTAAACTCTGCAAGCCGCCGAGCCGCACAAGACGCGACAACAAAACAAACAGGAAAAATGCCGGACACCCTAACCAATGGATACACAAACGGGCACGTGCAGCCCTACGACATGGAAGACGGATCTGTGTTTCTTTTCACGTCCGAATCTGTCGGAGAAGGCCATCCAGGTAGGCCCCGTTTGTTTTTGTTTAAGCCACTGCCAAAATTTCGATTCGATGCCGTTTTAGTGCGAGGTACACTTATTTTTGGAAACGGCTTTATTGCACACTTAAAATAAACGTGCGTTACGTTAACGTTTGTTGATTTAATTACGTTAACCTCTGTGCGGACACGTGCTAACAGCAGAGGCGCTACATTTTCAATCAAATAAAATTGTTATCGTTAAAAATGAAAGTTAAATTATTGTCGATGTCAAAGTCAATTTATATGGATGACAGAAGCGTTCGTTAAACTTGCATCTCTTGTTTAGCTTAACGCATTTAGTATTTGCGCCTTGCTTTCAGACAAAATGTGCGACCAAATAAGCGACGCAGTTCTGGACGCACACCTCAAGCAAGATCCCAACGCAAAAGTCGCCTGCGGTAAGTCAAATCAATACCTCGAATATGGGAACCGGCATTTTAGTTGCATCGTTTCGCAATTTTTAAATTAATTGCGATGGCTCTTGACAACTTATTGCAGATCCGCCTCGAAATTAGTATAGCCGACGCGGCAACGTTGCCAGGTTTTCCACATGTATGTGTCGTTTCGTGCCAATTTTATCTGTTGAATGAGTTTCGACGGCGCGGCGATCGATAAGACCAAGTATTTCGGTCATTGTTTGATTATTTAAAAAATAAACTGCGCCGTAATAACTGAGGGAGTCGCCACGCGCCTTTGCATGTGTGTTTCTGGTCGCCCTGCTGACGTCACTTGACAGGACGGTTGTTTTTTCTATCCGCCCTGCGCTCCACCTACGTCGAAAACTTGAACTACTGCGAAAGTCGTAACAAGTGTGGGAAACGAAGGCTTTCAACAACGTTGTCTATCTCATATAACTTTAACATATAAATTATTGAGGAAAGGTGTCAATAAGTTGTGTTGTGGTTGTCAAGGAAAACATTATAAGACTCGCTTAGACACGCCCCAAGCGACTCCGAAATCGCATACTTGCCATTAAAAACAAGTATATATTTTCATTTCAACCCTCCTTTTTTGTATGTCTCACTAATTAACCGAAACTAACCAAAACTCCGATTCAGCTACAATTCTTTTCACTTACGATTCATGTAGTATTATTTTACATGAACTGAAATTTGTTGATATTTACTTAACCTATAACATAATTTTAAGCATATCCAACAACCATAATAATAAATATTTATTGCTTCAAAAATTATATTTTTTCGTTTATTATCAGTTCTATTTAAGCCAACAAATATTTTGTTTCCTTGGATTTAATTTTTATAGATAGCCGATTACTTTTTTGGAATATTATATATAATAATCACTTTCAATCCGGTTCTTCCATTTCTCCTTTCTGTATATCCTTTCGAATTTCTTTTATTCATTCTCTTTCTTCTGTATAGTGGTTGCCAATTTGCCAATGGTATGTCCATACCACCTCAGTCTGCGCCTCTCCATTTCTTCTTCTTTATTTTCATCTCTAACAAATAATAAATCATAAATGCATACTCAAATTAACAAATACTTGCAGCGTGGAAAACGCAACTCGTCGCACTACACATTCGTGTTTAATATCAAATTTATTTATGTCGGAAAACAAAATAAAATGTTACATAATGAGGAACCAGTAAGACAAAAGAAATAACATAACTTCCATAAGGCATGGAGAACCGAAGATACCCTGTCTGACGGCTGACAGTTGTCCCCCGTCACGATTATCCATGGTCCGTGGCCGTTACATACATTATTTCTTTAAAGTGGGTTCTTTCATGTTGGTATAGACGTGACGTTCGATGCCAAGATAAGTTGATCGAACCATAGATATTCGTCGCTTGGATTTTTTAAAAATTGAGTGCATAATTTCACGATTAAATCGTTTGCAGAAACGGTGACCAAAACCGGAATGATCTTGCTGTGCGGAGAAATAACATCGAAAGCAGTGATCGACTACCAGAAAGTTGTAAGGGAAACCGTGAAACATATAGGCTACGACGATTCATCCAAAGGTGAGCCGTTTTATTGTGATCGGTTTGTAAATATGTACCAAGATTTATTTTTTGACGCTTTTCTGTCCGCTGCAAATTCTTATTATATTTTTCTTCATTATTTCTGCCAGCAAAGTGCGGTTGGACCGATTAGAAATTGTACACTTTTCCCCGTTTTGATGAAATAGGTTTAGACTGGAAAACGTTGAACTTGCTCGTTGCTATAGAGCAGCAATCGCCCAATATCGCCGAAGGGGTCCATGAAAACAGGGTCGAACAAGATATCGGTGCCGGGGACCAGGTAGAGGAATCTTTACTCGTCGGTAGCGGAAGACAAAATTTGTCCGCCTCTTCGCTTAAATCCGAATCCGTCAGATTTTGTCTCCCGTTAACACGGGGCTTCAGAATGGGGAAAAAATCTTTCGTTTCGCTTATTTTGTGCTTGTCGTTTCTCGAGTCCGTCGTGAATTGAAAGAACGCGCGATTAAAACGAACGTAAAGTTCTTTTGATTAGCGTCGGACGGACTTTTTGCTTTTTGGTTATGATTTGCTTGATTTTGAGCCGGTCCCAACTAACAATTCGATACTTTATAAAAGCTGTGTGAATAAGAATAGATCATTTTTTATAAAAGAATATTCTCTATATAAATGTTCTAAAAATGTTTATGCAGCACTTATAAATTAAATTGTTTACTAAATTCTTTAAGGTCTGTGAGGACTACGACAACATAATTGTAGAAAAGTGTATAAAATCATTACCAACGTAGTACTAAGTCATTACGCAATAGTTTTATACCCATTTTTAGAGGGGGTATGTATATTACACATAGCGTAAAACAATATAAATTATAGCAAAGTAGTTTTTTGCTCATAACTCATACAAAATTTTTATTTTCAGTTTTATGGTCACCGATTTATTATTAAGTTGCTCTATAGATTTAAGAGAAAAATATAATATAGGAGGGAGGTCGATTTTTCTACTACACTTTTACTTTAAAATTATATTAGTTACATTTTGGTATCGTTCTTAATAAACCTTTATCGAATGATATTTTTCTCTAATATAAGACAAAATAATAGGGCTAGATGACAACTAAACAGCAAATGATGTTTCTGTAGCTATACAGTGATAAAGCTTATAACAGGGCTTTTATAAAATCAGATAGTGTTAAATTCTGCATATGTATTTAAGAAAAGTAAAACAACTGAACTATTTTATTTTATTGCGTTGGGGATCCGTAAATTAAAGAATAGTTTTGATGCTAAAGGTAACCTCATTTTCTCAAGTTCTAATGTAGTCTTAGAAATAATCATTGATTTTAATAAGCAGAAACTCCAGGGCCCGATACAATATGTTATTATTATTATAATAACAGGACCGAGGTTGTAAAATGTTCTAAAAATTATTTTTAACTTCTCTCTAAATTTTTAACAACAGAAAATTTATTAACCAACAGTTCTTGTCACTATTAAAGAACTACTAAAATATCTATAGAATAAATTTACTTTTAAAAGGATATATCCATTTTTTGTCTTGGTAATTAGATTGTTAACCACGTAAAATCAACTACTTCATTAAACTTATCACCCAAATCTCTACCATTACAAACGTTTAATAATATTATATGAGCTACTGTAAAGCATAAATTATAAAACCAATAAGCACCTTCAAATATTACCACAAAACCTTTAGCTGCCCAGTGTTTTATAGGAATTGTTGTTATAAACGTTCGTGAAATAGTTGTAATATTGTTCTATAAGAGATTTTACAACTTTGCTTTTTTTTTAATGCTAAGCTATGTGACGTAATGGTACGCACAGCAAAATGCTCCCTGTAGCAAGTTGTACGAAACAAATTTATAACACAATAACAATAAAACTAAATAGTAGACTTGAAATTATAAAGTAACATTGTTAGTCGGGAATATTTGTATCGCTTTGGATGGAAGTCTTGTTTCCAATTCTTGGGACGATGCGTCAGTCGAAGGTTCGAATTTGACGTGGATCATCTTTTTCTTCAAAATATCACCGGGCATTCATTATCATTTTATTCATTTACCCGCAGGGTTCGATCACAAGACATGTTGCGTAATGCTGGTCTTAGACCAACAGTCCCCCAATATAGCAGCCGGCGTGCACGAACATCGTAACGAGGATGAAATTGGGGCTGGAGACCAGGTTAGCATTAAATCGTAGCAGACCGTAGATTTTCTATAGCTCCCAGGCGTATTTGCGGACACCGGTCGTAGTTGAGGCAAAGGCAACGTTGCCTCGTTTTGTACTCGTGTCCGTGCTATTTAATAAACATCTAGATAAGTCTCAAAGAATTATAGACTAAATAGGTTTAGATTTCATTTTTAGACATTTAATGTTTTTCGTCCATTTTCAAGACCGAAAGGTCAAAAAACGCGCTTTCAATAAAGCAGTTCAATAAGGCATTATGTTGTAAAAAACAGCTGAAGGCAAATGCCTTTCTGGTGTTTACAAGGTATTTACAAATAAACGCCTAGTTTCCAAGATGGTTCAATATTAAAATCTTTACGTCATAGGCTACACGCCTGGTAATTGTCAACATTTTCCTTGGTGTTAATTTTGCAGAACTAAGTTTATTGTGACCAAATGGTAAAAAAATTATATTCACAAAAATAACACTAGACTTCACAATTTTAATCTAATTGAAGCAAAATTAGTCCTTTATCATTGTAAATGACGTTGCCATATTTCAACAAAATTGAACGTGTTTTTATAAGTAACCCCGTATATTTTAAACTAATCTTTTCTCGACCTACGTTTATATGAACTTTTTTTTAATGACAAATCTCCAGTCCAGATTTGGCGCATCTTTTTGAATCGCACTGTATAGCCACCAAAATCATTTTTTTTAAAACGACATAAAAACTATTCTATGCATTGCAGGTATCAAAAATTCTGAAATCGCAAAATAAAAATAATTGTCTATTCAATCCCGCTTTGTTTTAACTGGTGATCATGGCAAGACCGTAGAGTATGTATTGTGATCGTTGCATGCTCATTGTAAGGTTCAATTGCCAATGTGAGAATATTAAATATGCGGTATCCTAAGGAATAATATTTTCAAAGAGAAAATACTATACATGCATACCTTGTCATGTATGCCGCCTGTGGCATCTTCTATCGCTGTCTGTACCCTGCATAAATGATTCATTTATTTACAAAACGAGCATGGGAGTGGAAATCTAAGTTTGTTTAGTCTACGCTTCTACCCATTCCTATAAAATTTTCAAGAAACTTCAAAGTCGTTATATTTGTTTTACACTAATTCGATTCAGGTTTTAAAGTAGGTAATAGTAGTAACACGTGCTTAAGGAAAAAAGGTTCTTGAAACTGCTGACGCGAAAAGAGTGTAATTTTTTAAAATAAGAATAACCGCAAAAAGGTTTTAAATAAAAACACGTTTTTAAACGTGGAATTTAAATCTCATTCCTTGTTTTCAATAATACAAATATTATTCTGCTTTATTACTGCTCTATCGCAGTTATCACTTATTAGCTATTATATATTGTGATAAACAAACTATCAATGAACGCATTCAAACGTTTGTAGTGAAATTTAAAAAAAATCCTACTGCTGAAGCATAAAAGCCGGATATCAGATCAGTTTTTCTCTGAGTATAAAAAAAATTAGCTGATCTGATAGAATTGCATTTGTGTGCACAGTAGAAGAAATATTTCACTTACAGTTAGGTTTGTTTGTGTAACGTCTATTTATTTATCTATATCCGCTTTAATAAAATATAAATCCAAATTTGTTTATATGTCATTGCTTATGCGTCTTCAACTTATTGGAACGTTTTCTATTTGGTTTATAGTAGGTGCAAGTGGGACAAATATTTAACTAATTATCATGAATATAATTTAACACACATATTGCAAGAAAATCGCCCAATAAAACGAAGCAAACTGACGTGGTACTACAATTTCTTCACATGGCAACTGTGGGATAAAAAAGTTAGGGAAATTACCTGAAGGGCGGATCCTTATACCATATATACATAACAATTTCAATTTCGAGTGCATGCCCGCATAAACATACTGTGACGTCTGTCCTAAAAAATAATTTTCCTAATATGTGAGGGGCCGCCATTAAACTCGCCTGGTTTGTCGTTTTCGCTTAAATCTCAAGAAGTTCAACCAGGCCTCGTGTACCGTACGCGAGCTTCATCTCATTACTTTTGGGTAGTTTTTTTTTTTTTGTTTCGACACGTAATCTCTCAGGGCTTGATGTTTGGCTACGCGACGGATGAAACCGAAGAATGTATGCCGCTCACGGTGGTGCTGGCCCACAAATTGAACCAGAGGATTGCCGACCTGAGACGATCCGAGGAATTCTGGTGGGCGAGGCCCGACACCAAAACGCAGGTATACCAATTAGGCTTATTGCTTTCGCGGCACCTAATCGAACTGGAAAGACATTTTATTTAGAGTGAGACGCGTAGTAATGGCGATTGTCTTCTTCCAGATAAATGTTTTATTTAATTTTTGTAGCTATTAATGAGATGTTAAAAAAATTGACGGACTGTTTTCAAAGGTGTGTAAAACTAAAAAAGATATGGTAAAGATTTGTTTCGCCAAGTAAAACATTATAAATGAAAGAGAAATATGAAACAGAACATTAAAAACTTTCGGGGTGGTAAAGAAAACACATTTTCAAAATTGCAACCAAATGCCAGAAATATATAATAGAAGAAATATACTTATATCTTTCTACATAAAGAGATATAGTTTTTTTTAATCTTTAGAAGATTATTTTAGGAAAAAAGTCTCTAATTAATACTTTATTAATACTAAATTGGATACCTTAAATTGATCAGTCGGTTTTTATGTTAAAAGGTTTATTTCTTCTCAAAAAAAAATATCATTAAAATATTGTTTCTTTTATTTAACTTTATTCAATGTTATCTGTCTATAGTTTATATTTGTTAGTGGATTAATTTTACGCATTTCTAAATGTTTAGTGGGTTGCAGAAAAATATTGTTGTGTCACTTCTGAAGACGATCATTTAAAATAAATAAAAAGAGAAAACGACAACAAAATAATAAAATTGCTTGGCTTTTAAAATACTAGTTACATTTTGATTTTTTTGGCAATTGCAAGTTTTCATTTCTGAAAATTCGCTGTTTTAAGGAACATGTCCGATTTAAGCCTTAATGACTTTAGTCACCGTGGAGCGACCGGATATTTTCTGTAAACTTTAACCACTGACGGTATTTTGACCTTTGTCAGCCACGTCACATGTCACTCTCTAAATGTATTAGTACAGTTTTTCAAAACGTACCCTGAAACTACGAGGGGCGTAGAAAAAGGATAATACGCAACACGTAGATACTGCACGTCCTTGCGTAATATGCTGTTGAATACTTAAACACGCATTTTCCACACAACTGCCTTTTATTTCATGTTTTATGAAACGATTTAGATATATCACAAATCTTCAGGCTAAAATTAATGGTCAGATTATTTCTCAATTTCTCTAGTTGTTTGTTTGTTTTTTTTTTTGGAAACAATATGTAAATAATAATAAATAATAAGAAGGCCCCATTCTCCATCCATATTTATAATTGACTCAAAGAAAGACAGACCCCATTTTTTTGGTAGCTTTTTTGGTATACGCTATATTAGTAATGATGTAGCTGGGGCCATTTTATTGGTAATGGGGATTTAAACAAGCCGGTTAGCCTATAAGTTTCTACAGGTATTTCAATGTTTGTGCCTTTTTAAAGTATTAAAGACTTTACGGATTTCCTGATTATTTATCAATAAGGTAATTACTATTCGGTAAGTACCAAAATTGAAAATGAAACAACGGCGTTAAGAGTATTTTATTGACAAAGTAAATATTACTTGTCATTTATAACAAAATTGTGTGTTTCCCTCTGATTTTGAATATGAATGTTAAATGAATATGAATATTAAAACAAAATGGTATACCAAGATACATGGTCAGGAAGATATCTAATTTATATTTCTAATTATATCAAAAATGCTCTTTTTGGTTTAACAGATCGTACCGGAAAACAAATGTTTATTGAAAATATAAAAAAAACATTTATAAATTTTCATATACATATACACGAACATATATACATATATACAAACATATACATACATATGTAATTTATCCAAAAAAATCTAAAAGAAGTAAATAAAGCATATTCATTCTAAATTTGATATATATAATGAACTGCTCTACACAACACGAAAATTTAATAAACCATAAATTTATGTTAAGGAAACTAAAATTTACCCGCAAGAGAATAATTATCAAAAATTGGCAATAGTAGAAAAGATTGAATATAATTTAATAACATAATCTAAATAAAAACTCAAATTAACTTTCTTATAATAATATTTTAGTGCTGAAAATAGACAAAGTCTTAGCAGCGCAGAATAAACCTATACATTAAAGTCAACATATATATAATATAATATATAAGATTCTTGGACCACATTGTTAACCTCAATCCAAGAACGACACAAGCATTATTGTATATTTATATCCATCAATCTTCAATGTTTCACTTGACCGCGGGTCACCCAACTGGTTGTATATGTCTTCCGTGGATGTCTAGTCATATGAAACGAGAACACCTCATTTTCCCCATGCAGGAATTATATATACCTCTGGTCAGGTCAGAAAAATATATTGCAAATATTCATTTTAGAGTAAATACTTAGATAGGTAATCTCGATGCCTGAACAATTCACTGACCACAAGAGCTACTTTTTTTTTATGTAAATGGTCAAATAGGTTTGTAATATTTTAATTTTCATTTAAATACTCGTTGTTCCATTTCCAATTTTAATATTTTACAAGCAATTATTGAATAGTACACTATACATAAATGACCACGAACTCTGTGAAATAGCCTGAATACAACTGATAACGAAATAAACGTATAACTAATATAGAAGATTGTAAAATTTGAACCATGCCGTTACCACTCCAGTTTAGATCATCGCGGTTTTCTGATGACCCTGTATATTTTTTATAGGTTACCTGCGAATACACCTTTAGCCAAGGGGCTTGCATCCCGCAACGGGTACACACGATCGTCGTGTCCGTTCAGCACAGCGAAAAGATTACCTTGGACGAGCTCAGGGCCGAAATCAAACACAAGGTTATTAACGAGGTGATCCCCGAGAAGTACTTGGACGAAAGGACCGTCATCCACATCAACCCCTGCGGAGTGTTTATTATCGGTGGACCTCAGGTATGAATTCTTTTTTAGAAATGTGATGGCCGTCTCATTTGGAAGCTCACATTACATCCACACGACTTCCGTTAGAAATAGCTGGTATGTGAAGTAAATATACCCCAATTTTGCTGTGCTAAAAGTTATTTTCATTTAATTGAAACCTTCGACACACATAAACATTTATAAATAGGAATCAGTTACTTATAGCGATAGAATGAGTTTTACCGGACTGGTTCTAGACAAACTGCCTCCAGCCCGTGGGTCAATTTATTGCATATAACAGCGTAAAATTCGTTTTATATAATTGTCTATTTCATAAATCGCTTCGGAAATAGCAAAATCAGGAACGGTAACTGTGAAAACCCGTTATCACAGGAGTGTTTGTAGTTTTATAATTCTTAATGGGTTTGATAAACTACATTTGAGTCGCTAGTTTTTTTTTTTGCGCTAGCAGAGGGTACCTTAAACTCGCAACGTGGGCAACGAAGCTTACAGAAAACATTTTTTCCTTGTAAACTTTTAACACCATATAACTCAAAAGTAGAAAGGTTTTATGACATAAGTTTATTTTAACTTTCCGTCATAAAATCGGATATGGATTCGTACCATTAGTCGGAAACACCCGTTATATCTAAACGAAATGATTTCAAAATGGTTATATGATAAATCGGATGTCCAAAAAGTATGGGAATTTTGGAGTATCTCTATAATTACACGATTGATCAAAAATACAAAAGAAATGCCTTTAAGTGTTGATTAAAAAAGTATTAAGTAACAACAAACGTGGTCCCCATTCCAACCCGTTGGTGGAGAGAACTCTGCTACAAAAACGTCCAGTTTTCTCCAAATTTTCATTTGGTTCTCGGTAGATGGCGCTCTAATCGCAAAAATACTCTTCGTATTATCGAAATACCCAGATTTTCGTTTTAACCAAGTTTTTTACTCCCTTCTCTTATCGGTCGCAAAGTGTCACTTTAAAACATCAGCCAATTCAAGCATACGCTCTATAGTCACGGTTTAAAACGTGAGTTCTGATGGTCACGTCGCACGCCACTCTTTTGCAAAAATGTAACCAAAAACTAATGGTGTAGTATAGTACGCAACACGTTGATAAACTTTTTGAGGCAGTTATTTGTGGAGCACGTGGATAAACTTTTACAGAAACTTTCTTATAAATGAGTATTTCAGATAAAGAATAACAAGTTTTGTTAAAATAATAGTAATAAAAATATACTTTATTTCCATACAACTTACATTGTAAGTATACTATAATGTCAAACTACACAACCAACAAAGATACACAGCATTTTTAAAATAACACATAGAGTTATAAGAAACAAACACAATTTGAAATGGACAAACGTTGGTTAAAACACGAATAAAAAAGTGCACTGCAGGTACTCTTGTACAGAATAAAATGCCTTCTGGATAAGCAATCGTTTCACCTCAGCCTTAAACTGACCGCAGCCCGAAATCCGGCTCATTCCAGGTGGTAATTTATTAACAAGTTTTATAGGAAGGACGATTGAGCTATTGGCTACCGAACTTAATCTTTGTTTTGGAATATCTAGGCTACAATTCTGTCTGAAACTATAATGTTCATTGGTTGCACGCCTACATATATACTCATTATAATTAGATTTCACCATCGTTACCGAATTCAATGTGTATATACTGGAAAATGTCAAAATTTGCGTTTCAATAAATATATCATAATGTTTCGGTTTAAAGAGCATTGTATGAATAATCCTTTTTTGGAACAAAAATATTCCATGCGATCGGGAGCAATTACCCCAAGCAGTAGTAGCATAATTTAAACAGTTGCCACAGGACAACATAGTGTGTGGATAATTTTTTGAAAACGAAGGCATTGTAACACTAATGTCGAATTTATAACATTTCCCCGAGTGTTCCTTGACAAATGCGATCAACCCTTCTTCCGAGCACAGTGCCATCTACCGAGAATCCAAAAGAAAACTTCCTTTGAAATTTGACGTTTTTGTGGCATATAATGTTAATATATAATAAAAAATAGGGATTTTGATTCCAAAGCTGCCGCTCTCTTCCTCCAATGGGTTGGGATGGGATGGGGGTCGTGTTTCGTGTTGTTGGGCAGTATATCTTATGTTTTTTGACAATATTTTTTGGATACAGCACTGAGGCTGATCTGGTGTAACATTAGTGTATATGTGGCCACGGAAGAAGAACTACCATGAAAATATTTTGCATTTTTTAGAGTGACGCCGGTTTGACGGGACGCAAAATCATAGTAGACACGTACGGAGGTTGGGGGGCCCACGGCGGGGGTGCATTTTCGGGAAAGGATTTCACAAAAGTCGACAGGTACGTGTTGAAACCCGCGTGGCAAACTGTTCCCTCGTAAGGGCTCCGTTCGTGGCAGGTCGGCGGCCTACGCAGCGCGTTGGGTGGCCAAATCGCTGGTGAAGGCGGGGCTGTGCAAACGCTGCCTGGTGCAAGTCGCGTATGCCATCGGTCTCGCCGAACCATTGTCCATCGCAGTATTCGACTATGGTACTTCGCATCTGAACCAAATGCAGTTGCTCGAAATAGTGCAGAACAACTTCGATCTGAGGCCCGGCAGGATTGTCAAGTGAGTTTTCCAAGGCGTTTATTTGGAGCTGGGCGAAGGGCAGTTAACCTAACCAGCAAGTAACAAAACCTAACTGTTGGTATAGAAATTTTACATTACAAAAATATACGCATATACAGATACCAAACAAAAAATAAAAAACACGTAATCATAATAATAGATAAGGAAAATTCTCAATTATCTAGGTGAAGATATTGATTAAGCAGTGCAAGAAGGAGCCTTTAGTCATGGTCCTTTTAATTTAGAGTGTGTAATACTGACATTTAATACAATTTCTACATAAGGGACATCCATCTTTAAGTAGTTTGTAAAAAAAATAAGCAAGTTCTTCTTGACTAACTTAAATAATCTATTTGTTTGAGGTTATAAATTTCTATATTGCTACATAAGTTTGTACTTTTTTGTAATTTAAATTTAGACAAGATATCTAAGCAGGGTCCATACACAGTAATTTAGATGGCTCAAAACATGTACTTACTTAGAATGTCTATGTCTGTGCTTACGTAGAATGTCTTTACTTTTATAGATGTTGCGGATATTATTTGAAACCTCTGTTAACAAAGATTATACCCCAGTATTCTTCGAAGTTTTAATACAATTTATAATTATATTCAAGCAGCGAAGTGGCGGTAGTTCAAATGTACAAAATATTAAACACTTTCCAGAGCATATGATATAAAGGTAGAAACAAGGGGGTAATTTTATTATCAATTTGTAACAGGGATTCTACGCGATGGTCCAAGTGAATGAAACGTTTAGGAGTTCTTTTTTCATTTTCGAGATACAGGGTGTCAAAGCTTTGATTAAACTAAAACAATAATTAATGCTAAAAATTGGGGCATATATTTCTAGGAAAGAATCTTATTTTAACGTTTAATCGAGGAAAACATCTTACGCAACCGAGATTTGAGTTTTAGTAGGAACAAAATGTGAAGAATTTCATTAAATTGATCCAAATCACTCGATGCCGTTAATGTTTTTTTTTTAAATATCACATAGAACAAAACTTATACATCATACATCATTACGCGATATTGATCGAGGTTAAGTGAGCGTGACTTGGGACCTGTAAAGTTTCAAAGTTTTCTAAGTCAATCACAAACGAGCTCCATTTATATATGCGGGAATGAATCTGTCCGCTTATCGCCGCTAGAGGGCGTCTTACGTGCTACAAATGAAATTATTAAAAAAAAAGTACATTCGCAAAATATGTATAAATTTACTGTTAAAATACTAACATTACATTTAAAATGACAATCATATGGTTGAATAGTTGAAATTTTTTAAATCTCATTTTTGAAAAACAAAATACCAAAAATTATAATGGTGGTGAAGTGTCAATCTTATTTAGATTTCAGCAATTTAGAGGGTATTTGGTTGACTTCATTTATAAAAAATCGTGCATTAAAACAAATATTTTAGTGTTGTTTTCCATTCTTGTAGAATATTGTCTTGTAATATTCATCATATGGAAATGTATCAATTAATATTCACATTTTAAATATAATATTAGCGTTTTAACTGTCAATTTGTATATATTTTGCAAAAAGAACGAAAATTAGTATGTAATAATGGTAGATATCCCGAAAATATTCCCAAAGATGGCCACATTGTTTTGTTTTTATTTATTTTATTAACATTATAGATTAGGAAGGAGGTATCCTATTGCTGTTTTCATTAGACTCTTATGTGGCTATGTTTTGTTACAATAAAAGAGATGTCAGCTTTAGTCATAAGTTTTTTCACCCCAAATCATTACGACAATTACTTATCTTTGCTATTTACAAATCTTTTGGATTCTTCCTGCGCCGGTTGTTGGTGAATCGAACTTGCTGACGTTTGTCGGCTTCTTCACATCTTAACTGAAACTGGCTTGCGTCCTACCCTATACTTGCTTATGCATTAACCACCAACGCAGGAGGTATTCTGTGGAAGTTTCTCTGAAAAATTAATTACTTTTCTTTTTCCTTAATTGGTCCACCGATACAATTCAGCATTAAATTTTGCACCTAATTACTCAAGCCCGATTAAGAAATATAAAGTAGTTCAAATGTACCGATTAGATACAGTTAAATATCTTAAATAATACAAGTAAAGTTTCAACATTAAAATTGAGGGCGCTCTCATTACGATTCGTTGCAGGGAGCTGAACCTGCGTCAACCTATTTACCAAAAAACGAGCACATACGGGCACTTTGGCAGGGACGGCTTCAGCTGGGAAGAGCCCAAGCCGCTGGTGCTGGGTCCGTACACGAAGAAGTGATCGTAGTCCGAAGCAGTTTATTTTCCCCCCATCCGTTTCTCCCCTCATTAGTGTTCTTTTTTACGCTCTCAGTTGTTTTTTTGTTTTATTTAATTTAATTTAAGAACGTTTGGAGAACAGAGACGACGCAGTCTGGCGTGAAAAAACTACATCTGGGAGTTTATTTTTTTCTGTGATGACCCCGAAAGAGTCCGGACTCATGGCGAAAACGGGAATTTTTCCTCGGAAACACCACAGCTACGCGCGGCCAGCGCGATCGTCTTCCCGCACAAAGTTTTCCTTCCCGTGAAAATTTGCACATCTGACCGCGAGGACTCATTTAATAAAATGCCGGCGCATTATCGACTCGCGTCGAGGTTAAGAATGCGCACGCTCTGGATCGCGCCGCGATCGTAGTTGTAACCGACCGGACCGAGAACCGTTTTTCTTTGCCGGAAAATCAGGAAAGAAAAACAATTCGACGTCGGGGTTATGTTGTGCGTATGACCGGAACACAAACAAACACGGGAAAAGAGCGGTGTCGTACCCACACCGGGCGTTCTTGGGACGAAAGGGTTAGTTTTCGCCATGCGACGTTGCCGGATTTACGTCAGCGCCGTTGCCGCGTATTAAAAATTTACGTACGAGCCGGTGTTCATTTTAAGCAAAAAAAAATAATCGATTTTTATGGTTTGGGTGTTTGAATCTATGGATAAGTCGGTGGGTTCCCAATTTCTCACAGTGACGTTCGGAACGCTCCACGTTGTAGTTCTAGCGTATTTTATGGAGTTATCAAGTGTAGGGTTTACCAAAAAAAATGTCGAAACCGGATCTTTGTTGAAATTGAAATTTTATCCCGAAAAGAACCCTTTGTACATTGTGAATATTTTTTTTATGTGATTCGAGACAAAATTGTAGTCGTCTTACCAATAAAGATATACAATAAAAAGTTTCTGTTTTAATGAAAAAAAGTTAAAAGATCTTACCTTGGATTCCTGCGCGGGATATCCGCGGACTCCCTCGGCATTAAGTGCAGCCCATGATGACTATAAGCTTACGTTTTATACCCTTTAGGAACCTGCATTTACTAAAACATCGTGAGAACCTTTCTAATTTAACACCCATTAAAATCTATTTCTATACTGACATACCCTTACACTAATCGTTCTCTATTTTGGCTAAACCCCTGTACGATGTCGTAAGAAAAAAAATGCCAAATTTGAATTCACTGCTAAGCAGCACAGTGTTTTTACCAAAACTTCAAAGAACGCCTGGCGGGTAAACCTATTTTAGCAATCTAATCGCAAACGGCTGACCGAATTGCATTGCGATGCAAGCATCTCTGGGTTTGGGGCAATATTATTGCAAAAACAAGAAGATAGCGTTTTCAAACCAATCTTCCACTTCAGCCAACACACTACCTCAGCGGAGCCAAAGTATCATAGTTTTGAACTTGAGCCATGTTGACGCATTGATCCGGTGTCAGCGTTTTAGTTATCGAGTCCAACACTTTTGATCAAACTCTTGCAATTTGTCAAAATCGTGACGCGGAAATAAGTAAAATCCGTAGTGTATTTGAGCATGAGCACGATAAATTTTTCGAGTTACGCGATGGTCTCGCATATCGAAAAAATAAAAAAAGGAAAATAATGTGATTCGCACTTGCCATGATAACCTAGGGCATGTCGGATATGATAAGGTAGTAAATAATACTTTGAAAATATATTGTAAGTAAAAGAATATATGGCTAATTGTTTACGCTGTATTGAATTTTCGCCTCGTGGAGGAAAATAAGGTTTTTTACACAACATAGTTAAAAACAAGATTGCTTTCGAAAAATCGTGGAATTCGTAGAACCTAGCACGAAGCAGCTTTTTATCATAAAAGGAAAGAGGTTCACGGTTTCGTGTGGTAAAGCGACGCATTGGTTTTCTATCGTGCTCCTGCGGACCACTATGGAACTTTCGCAAAATCGATGTAATTTCATTGCGCATGTACCCTGTATAAAATGTCCTTTATATCTTTTTGAACTTCAGAGTTACAGCAAACATCGGTAAATTTTAAAATTTGCACAAATAATAGCGTTGTCGAATGTTATTTTTTCAAATATCTCGCCCCCTGTATAATTGACGAAACCTGAAACTCTCTCTCGACACAGTTTACGATACTGTTCAAATAAAATTATCCCATCTTTAACGGTTTTTCATTTATCACCAATAATTTGCCCAGAATAACGGAAATTTTTAGGATCTTTTAGATTTTGTGCCCATAAACGATACACCCTGTACATCATTCAAACAATGTTCGAAATAGAGGTTATAGCCCTGGGTCTTCCACGTTTACTGTTCTCAAAATTTTTTGAAAATAGTAAATGGTAAAGAAGAATTTTCTAGGTGTTTTAGCTTTTTGCCTATAATTTGAAAACCCCGTATATAATTGAAAAAATGCCTGAAATAAATATTATTGCACAGGATCTTCCGCGTCTGCTGAAATCAGAAGGAATCGACCATGTTTTGATAGCCGTAGGTACGCCACGTGCAAATTGCCAGGTCGAGCGCCTAAATAAAACTATAACCCCAATGGTTGCGAAACTATGCGATTCACTGGAAAATTGGGACCGCGTGTTGGGAAAGGTCGACTTGCCTGCAATAACACCGTATCCCGAGCAACAAATAATACACCAAGTCAGTTATTATTCGGAATTGACCAAATTGGTGAAACTAATGATTGTATTAGATTAATATTGTAAGATAATAGTGGAAAAGCGCGCGATTTAGTGCAAATTCGGGACAAAGCGGTCGATCAATTAACAAAAGTTCAGAAGAGTAATGAATATGAATATATATATATATATATATATATATATATATATATATATATATATATATATATATATATATATATATATACAGGGTTTTTCACTTAAAACTCCGCACGCCAATAAGTCCAAAACGAAAAGAAATAATTAATTTATGTAAAAAGTAGTATATATATATATATATATATATATATATATATATATATATATATATATATATATATATATATATAAAATATATGGTGTATAGTGAGGGAGATTACGTAATGATCCAGGTGTTAACAAAAAGTTTATTCCTAAGTTTAAGGGGCCGTATGTTCTCAAAAAAATACTTAATTGTGACAGATACGTTATTGAAGATTCAGATGGGTTTCAGGTTACACAGTTACCTTATAATGGTAGCACCGGATAACATGAAACCATACATATCTTAGCCATTTTTACGAAAAGTCTCATATTGTTGTTAGATTTACGTTTAGTTATGTTTTATTTTTTTTCCTTCTTATGCTTCTTCTAGTTGTTTGCGTAATGTATAGCCCTTAATTATAGTAGAACGTCGGGACGAATTTCGGCATATCGAGGAATGTATACTTGTAACCCTCTTAAGTGGTGTTTTAGGCCGTGATGCCCGATACTTGTCATTGTCGCTCGAGTGTTGGAAATGCCGAATCGCCTATATATCTTACCTATTAGTTGAGATTTATGGTTGTCAGATTATTTTCGCTGGGAAAGTGTTTTTACCCTTAGAACGGTTCAGTCAGTTTGAGTTTTGACTTGCAAGCATTTGTACCGTACCGTTCAATTGTCAACTCTAATTATATTCATCCTGGCAAATACTGTGTTTAATTGACCGATGTAAGAAATTCCCAAAATAAACGCCTAAATATCCAATTTTACCTAGGGTATAGCCTCTCTATCTTCATAGTGCTGGCTATTGCCTGCAATTATGAAAGTTACCTGCCGACGGCAATAAAACTCGCGTCCGGAAGGTATTAAAGCATAGAACATTAGGGATGGACTCCTAAAGGTTCTGGTAGTAATACAAAATTTATTGTTTATTTAGGTGGGTTTAATCTTATTAAATTACACTAAAAAAAACAATGACACTATATGCGATAATTTCATAGCTAGGGACATCTATAAATAATTACATTTTTGTTGTAAATGTCAAAATCTAATTCTGTTTTGCTATCATGGTCATTGAGATTAATTTAATAAGATTTATGTTGTTTTGTTTAGAAATGTGAGAGTGCTTAATTTTAATAAAGTGTTGTACTGAATTTTTCCAGGTCTCAATTAAATTTTTTATCAAATTTATAACACTGGGACTTAAAGTAGGAGTAACATTGTCTCTGACCTTTGAGTGTACTTGGTTCCATAAATAGAACAGTATGCATACTGTTTTTTTAATTGCATATGAATTTAGAAGCTATAAAAGTTGCCCTTTTTTATAACTGAATTCAAAATAAATATCATTTTCTAACATATTCCTGGATTTCAGTTTTTTAACTTTTTTTAAAAGATTGTTTTGAAACCAATTTTCAAAAAGTTCGGTACTTGTATCCCCATGATAATCCAAGCTAGAGTCCTTAATATTCTTTGCTAATAACAGCAAGCAGTTTGAGACAAATCTATTTTTTGACCCAACGTGTACACGCGTTTTCCTTTATTTGAAGGCGCTTTCGTCTGACAGTTTTGAGTGCAATCAACCTTTCCTTTGGATACAGTATCGTGTCTATCGACCCAAGTTTCATCAAGATGGATCTGTTGTCTAATCTACATCTTTTAATTTCTGGAAGGTAATTAAATCTCCAGTGCGTAATCTGTGTGGTTCCATTACTACTTGCCTTTTGTCTATTTCACGGTGCTTAAATCCCATTTTATAAACAACTCCATTGAGGGTGTCACGGCTCATATTGGTTTCATCTTCTAGGTTATTTTTCAGTTTATCCAAGGAAGGAAAAACTTCGCGTTCATAAAGACGATATATTTCATCATTTCAAAAAAGGTATAACTTTTTCTGGCTCCCGTTCACTTTCGCCGCTACCAGGACCGATCAATATAAAACGCGATGTCCTGTAAGGAGTGCAATACATCGCTGTCTTCTCAAAGGCCCAGTGTTAAGTGCAATGGTTGCGACTGGGACTTGCATGCCGACTGTGTGGGGCTGTCGAAGCAAGCAGCGTCTTGTATGACGCGCAGCAAACTAAAAATTTTTAGAATAATGTGCGGTAAATGCAGCAAGCAGGAGGACAAGCTTGATCAACTAGTTAAAAAACTTGAGACAAGAGATAGACAGTTGGATGAGCTGAATAAGTTCTCCTCCCAACCCTGACTTACAGGGGCGGATCTTATCCGAAGCGTATGAGCACCTTAAACGCTCTGGTAATATTATCATCTCAAAACTGAAGGAACTGAAGGACAGACACGAGAGAGATGAAAAGCAGTTAACAATCAAATATATTAAAGGTGTGCCTTCAATCGTCAACATCTCGGCTCCAAAAAAGTAAGCGTCGTTTCCGTGCCTATTGTTTACACCAATATTTGCTCATTGCCTGCCAAATTTGATCTTCTTGTTGCTTATGTGAGTTCCGTTAGACCTGCCTGTATTCTAATAACCGAAACCTGGTTAAAGCCTTCCATTCCCGATTGCACCATATCTATTCCAGGATATACAATTTATCGTTCCGATTGACCTAGCAGGCGAGGTGGCGGCGCTTGTGTTTACGTTGCTGATCATATTGCCGGTACTTACAGGATCAAGCTCTTAGATTTAATGATGGCTCAGATGGTGGACGCTGTTTGTCTGTCATTTACCAGTTCTGATTTTAGTTTTTCACTCGCCTGTGTATACAGACCGAGCGATACTGATAATGATTCTAATGTTCAGCTCTTACAATCCATGAACAATTTTGTCACAAATTCCGTCAACCCTGTTATTGCTGGCGACTTTAATTTCCCAAGAATATCCTGGCCTGTTACTTTAAACGACTTTGTCCACACTTCCATGGAATACATAATCCTAGATTTTTTTGTCAGATTGTAATCTTAGTCAACTTGTTGAAGAACACACGCGCTTCCGAGAGAACGACGCTCCGTCAACTCTTGATCTTGTGATTACTCCGGATCCCAACTTACTTGACAAATTGGAGCTTGATTCCCCAATCGGAAGCCTTATGTTATCCCAAGCAGGTCAATAATCGCAAAAAATGTTACGCAGGACAAATTATGCAAGATTAGCTGCAGACCTTTCCCACCATACATGGAACTTTCCTGATACCGACGTTAATGGTGCGTGGACATATTTTCTGTCTACTCTGGATTATTACATAGCCACAAGCTCCAAAACTCATTTTGTTAAGTTCAATTCTGAGAAACCTTGGTTAACTGAACATCTGTTCAAACAAATAAAACATAAGAGAGGTCTGTGGCGTAGATTTAAGGCTGGCTCTGCTTCCGATTATGCTTTGCACAGAAGAGTTTCTAAAGCGTTTTATTACACACAACACGACAGACAACACGTATCGTCTAAGCTATCCCTTCCTGTCACTAGAGATACCTCGGAAGAGGTCTCCTATAACCAGAACTTCATTTCAAATGAATTTGCTTCATGTTTTGCTGATGAACCAGCTAATCTACCATGTCACTATGAGGGTCCCATAAATTCAAATTTATTAGAAGACATTCACTTTGACCAAGAGGACGTGAAGAAAACTCTTTCTGAGTTAAAAGAATATTGTGCTCCCGGACCTGACGGAATTTCCAGTAAAATCTTAAAAGCGTGTGCCCCTGTGCTTGCAGAGAATATTTATATTATTTTGAGAAAATCTTTGGACTCTGCCACACTCCCAACCCACTAGCTATCCGCAAATGTAACACCGATTTATAAAAAGGGTGATAAGCTCGATGTTTCAAATTACCGCCTTATCAGCCTAGTGTGTATTACATGTAAGGTTCTTGAACACCTTACAGTAAATCAGCTGCTACCGTTTTTGATCGACTGCCTTATTATACCTACATCGCAGCATAGCTTTGTTCCCGGCAGATCTGTCATATCAAATACATTGACATGCTTGCATCACTGGACATCATCTCTCGACTCAGGTGATCCGGTAGATATTATTTACCTCGACTTCGGCAAAGCCTTCGACGCCACATCGACGCTTATTATTCGAACTTGAAAAGGTTGGAGTGGGGAGTAAACTGCTAGAGTGGATAGAGGCGTTCTTAGGCCACCGGTCGTTCAGAGTTCGAATTGGTAACGCTTTTTCACTGCCACAAAACGTGTCTAGTGGTGTTCCCCAGAGCTCGGTGCTGGGACCAGTGCTATTCTTAGTGTACACCGTGGATTTGCTCTCCAGCATTGATTCTCATGTGAGCGCTTATGCTGATGACACTAAATTATTTGGAAATCCTTCAACACATGCGGACGTATTGCAGAGAAACTTGAATACTATTTCCAAGTGGTGTTCAACTTGACTATTGCCGCTGAATGCTCAAAAGTGCTCTGTGATGCATGTTGGCAAGAACAATCCCGATTTGAATTATTATATCGATGGAAACTTTGTGTCAAGTGTCGATTCTCAGATGCACCTAGGTGTGACAGTAACTAAAGATCTTGCGTGGTCTGCACATGTATCAAATATTGCAACGAAAGCAAACTGCGCGTTATTTTTTTTAAAAAAGACTTTAAAAAATCCTAGTCCTCGCATCGCTTGCAGGCTTCTCACCACTTACATTCGCCCCATCCTGGATTTTGCTTCCCCAGTTTGGAACCCATGGCTATTGCGTGACTGTGATGTTCTGGAAAAAATGCAACGAGCCGCTACGCGCTGGCCACTTCAGCTTAGACATACACCTTACGATGACCGTCTCAAAATACTTAGTCTGCCAACATTAAGTCAGCGTCGGCTGCGAGGGGATCTGATTCAAATGTATAGGTTTGCGCATGACCAATTTCCATCTGACGTGCCCCTTGTGCTCTTAAGCAATGATGAACGCCTACGTGGTCATCCATTTAAAATAAGGAAGGAACAATTCAGGACTTCACATCGCCTGCATTTTATAAGTAACAGGACTTTCAATTACTGGAACAGTTTACCCCCAGATGTTGTGTGTCCGCCGAACTTGTCTGTATTTAAATGTCGCTTGGACAGTGTATTGTTTAACAGCAATAACTAAATGTTTATTATATGTGTTGGTGCTAACTATCAATGTGCATAATAGGTTTTCCTCTGCACTTTATGCTTAGTAATAATAATAATAATATTTTCCTTCTTATTAGGTCCTGATGACTGTTGTCTATACGGCGAGTTTTATCATTCCTTTTCTTCAATTCCCTACTATTAATAATATCCCTTATCGACGATATTGGAGTTTTTGTCAGTGGACAGATTTCTTATAATGCTTATTTAATAAGTCCTCTGATTTATGTTTCATACACATTTTTTACAATTTGTTTTGCATTGTTATATTTTCCTAAAATAACTTTCTCGAAACACACAATAAAAACGACTGTCACAAATGGTCAACACTCAAGAAATATATCAGTAAGAAAGAAATATACCTGCCTCACCCCCTTGTCACTCAAGTAAGAATAATTGTTTTGGTAATGGCTTTGCCCAATAACAATAGGTAATCACATCGTTTTAAAGTTTTACTGGGGACGGTCCATCGAAAGCCAACAGGATGAAGAATGATACAGACTAATACCGCGGATCAAGTGACGTCATATACACAAAAATTTTAAGGGTGGAGCCAATATTAAGGACCAATTGGCTGACATCTGACGTGTCCAGTTTTTATTAAATATTTCCGTTACAATATAGTAAAATCAAACTGACTTTACAGCTTTTTCCAGATGAATATGCTGTTATAATGTGAATCAGCCACATTGGGGTCCCCAAAAAGAGATTTTTCAAATTTTACATTATTTGTAGCATGCAAAACTCTATTGACATTGACGTGGGAGTTTAGAAATATTCCATAATGTGTACATGTTATGAAACATTATTTGTGGCTCTGTTATCAGTTTTCTTGGTGTGTGGTTTCTGGAAAACAGAACATCTTGCGACGAGATCTATTTTTATCCTATTAAATATTGTAAAATGCCAAGTATAATAGGCCAGTTGTTAAGTTGGGATGTCCCTAACTTGCAAATATGTTAGGTGGGTAGAAAAATTATGATATTCTTACTTAATATTTTTTACGTGACGTTAATTAACATGGCATACATGTTGCCTCCTTGTCTTGAAATATGACTATAATACATAATTCAATGGAATGACAGGATAATGTATGACAATGGTGCAAAATTATAAACAAATGATTGTTTCATTTTAATACGTTATTGAACAAAAATTAAAAAAAAATTGTAATTTAAAGGAGGAAACCCGGTTTTAATAGTGAATTAAGACTATTAACCAAAACTAACCAAAGATTTGCATTAGAGGCTTATTGCTCTGTAGGGCTAGAGACTTTCCAGATTTGCCCCAACCACCAGATACTAAAATATACTATATCACGATATATATGCTTATATAGCTTTTCCTTTAATGTCGAACACTCGGATCAATCCATAAAGGCACAGAATTGCGAAGGATATCAAACGAACTATTTTTAACGCATCATGAATGTAAACTATACAACGCAATATCAAACATCAAAACGTAAACTTTGTTGATCGACAAGAAGGGACGCCCCGTTTCTCACTGTTGCTATGTCGAGTCGTAAATCCTAATCCCATACCAAGTGTCATCAAAATAGGGAAAAATGTTTTTTTTCGATTGCCGACGGAGAGTAGTTCTTATCTTCATAATGATACAACAATATTCTGTAAATATCCAATATTGACTCCAACTTTAAGTCTTCCTCAAAAAAAGTGGGATACTTCAAGAATAGCATTTCTGCCACTATATCAATACAAAATTTGATACAAAAAATAAGGAACATATTAAAAAAATCATGAATAATCCCGGTTTTATTTCGACAAATACAATTTTACAAAAGTCCCCCTAAAGTGGGGTCGAGGAGTGACATTGCCGCCCCGATCAAATGAATCGACCCCGTCACCAACACGTCGAACTCTTTGTTTTGACTATTTAGATGGGCTATAGCTTTTGCGAACGAGGGAAATGCTCTCGCATCCGCACTACCATCGAGACCCAGCCAAATACTGCGATTGATTTCGCTTTTCTCTAGCTGTCGTTTTACGGTTAGGATCTCATCTTTGTTGTCTATAATAGAAAAATGTTTTGCAAATTACCATCAACTCAAAAATCAGTCGCGACTACGGGGTACAAGAAGGAGATAAATCTAAAAGTGATGTTTCACCTTGGTTTTAATGTAGGTGGAGTTTCAATTGATTAAGAGCGTATTTAGCATGTTGTTATATAACATGTTTTACTATAATAACAAATTCCTGAAATTTTTACATGTTTTTTCTATTTTTGATTTTATTTATACCGGGAACTTCGTCAATATGTTATGCGAAAACAATAAGTAGCAAAAATCTGAAAATTTTGGATTAAACCATATTTTATATTGCCTTTTTGGATTTCGGGAAAATTCTACACATATTTTGACATATCCAAAATTAATAATAAAATAAAAATGTCATTATTTTTGTTGCCATCCATATAATTGCATATTTTGGGAGCTCCTTGTCTATAAAAGCAAATTTTTTGACAAATGTTTTTATTTTGTCGGGATATTCGGTTGTGTCTTTTTAAGGGCATATCCCGTTTTAACATCTAGCAGTAGTCCATTATCATCGTTATGCTCTGCTTTGGTTTCGTCTTTCCATTTCCTTAATATCCCGGTGAAAGCTCTCTCCCTCTTCTTCGCAAACTGCTCCAAGATTTTCAGGAAAATAGTTCAAATGTGGAAACAGAAAATGCACTTTCAAACTCATATTACAACCTAGACGATAAAAGTGTTGTAACATATTTTGAACAACTTTCGTAGTTTTCGTCCTTAGAGTTCCCAAGAAACTTATCAATTACTTCTTTAAATGAAACTTAGGCGTTTTTCTCGACAATAGTCGTTGTGTTTTGAAAATCTTTGCATAATGTGCTTATCTGCGGCCCAACAAAAATACCTTCTTTTATCTTGGTATCAGATATAGCTGGAAATTTCTCACACAAATATTTGAAACATTATCCATTTTTGTCGAGGTCTTTAACAAACTGCTCCATTAAACCAAGTTTGATATGAAGGGGGGGGGGGGCAGTAAAACTTTTTTTTGGGTCACCTAACCTACATTGTTGCTACCAAGTGTAAGACTTGTTCTAGAGGGCCATTCTATTTGAGTCCAATGTATATTTCTTGCCGACTATCCCACTCACAAATAAAGCATGGAAATTTAATATAACCCCCCTGTTGTCCTAGAAGCATCCATTAATAAAGTCTGGACACTAACAATTCAGATGCATCCTTTGGGAGTTGCAAATTTCTGATTAAATTATTTAATTCGCTCCGGTTATACACTTTTTAGTTCTGGTCCATGAGGAACTGGTCGAAGAGCAGAGTCTAGATTGGGATACACAATTTGTTTCTTATTTTTTCTGTTGAATCCTTGAACAATACACGTAAAAAAAATAACAATCATCACTGTGCTAGGCTCTCGCCATACTATAGGAACACCAAAGCTTAAACATTTCTTCCTACCTTTTTGCCAGTTTCTTAATGCTTCAACGCAAACTTGTCTTAGTCGCCAATTTTTACACTAAAAGAAGTTATAGTTTGCCTTTGCTTTATTACGACATAACTACCACAGATATAACAAAAGTTATTTGGAATGTTCATACAATGTCCTCTTTCCATATTTACACGTTCTAGAACACTAGAAATACACAACAACGAAGACAACAATCGCGAACACAGTACCACCACGACCAATACAACCAAACTGCGCATAAGCAAGTTACAACGCTGTATTGACGCTTCTGCGCTTTGCAGAGAAATCTAATATACAGTGTTGCCAAATCACATTTAATTTCATAAAACAACACGTTCATGTAATAGGTGTTTATACTAATAAAATAACATTTTTAAGATGTAGAGCGTTATAGAAAAATATGACGTGATAGAGCAGAAATATGACGTTTTCTGAAAAATGGGGCCCCCAAAAATATGCAAATAGGCAAACATCAAAATAACTGTAAACCTGTGTAATTCATTAATTTAATAACTTTTGATAATGGTGCAAAAAACAAATTATTGTGTCAATACATTATTGAAGTTTTTGGAGCTTAAACCAGAAAACAAACTTTTTAATAATAAACTGGAATAAATTTAAGGCAACTATTTAAAAATAAAACAATTTTCAGAGCATCCTTTAGGTGCTTATTGCTCCGTCGGAAGCGATTGTAAGTTAAAAAAAATGTAGGAACTTGTCATAGATTGAAGAGAATACCCACGTCTTCCGCGGACACCCAGTATATATGAACTCAAATATACTACATATTTATATATGAATAAACAGAGATCTGATTATAATAGGTGAGACATTGGTGGCAGTTAGCTCAATTAATTTGTGTAATTAATAAGGATTTATCTCCCTCTTACACCCTCCTTCCCCCCCTATGGTCACACGTACCATCGTTGTCGTTGTCGTCGCCTACATTTGGTATAAACAGAGCTGTTGCGAACCCACATTTTAACAGCAACTTCATTAAGTCGTCGGGTTTGCGTTCACCCGTTACATTAAACACTAAAACACGATTATTGCTATTACTTTTAGAGACGTTTGACACAAACCATTGGGCACATACTTCAACGCTTTGCGTCGTGTGAGCGCCGTCCAAATAATACCTAAAGAACTATCTTTTTAGACGAAACTTAAACAAGTTTTTTAAAATAAATCCTACCTTATTTTGCCTTTTTTTATAACCTCGTATCGACCAGGCCACCTAGTGGACTCTATAGCCTTCCGGGCTTTCTCTATGTTAAATACGTCCTCAACATTGTTATTATTATTATTCCTTGAAACTATAAATACCAAAACTTAAAACTTCCGTACCCATTAAATCTATTTCAATTAAATTACTAATTACCAACCTATGTTCATAAAATTCCTGCTTAGAGCGAGGGCCAAACTAGCATTTACTCTTTTAATGTGCTGCGGAATTCTACCATCTTCTGAATTTGGATAAAGGTCCCTCACCACATTGAGAGTACACTGGAAAATCAATATTTACACAACGTGGTCCACCAAATGTTGTAAATAATATTTATATTGAGACTGAAGAGAACAAGTAAAATATGTTACCAGTAAAATTCAAAAATTAATTGTTGAAATTGTTAATAAAAGTTATGTTACTCGAATATAAAAGATATCCTACAGAGCTTGTATTAAAAGATAGTGAACTTACTAACGATAAATTAGTGATACAGGATGGTCTGAATTATAATGGAGAAACTTTAAGAACATATTCACCAATTCAAAAAAACAATTAAAACAATTGAGATAAACCTATGCCCCAAAATACAGATACACTGTGTTCAAATATTGGAAATAAAAGACGTTTTTTTTCCTTATGACAAATATAAGAACTAAAAAAATTAAGCGTATTTTCGTTAATTCATGAATGCATTGATTTAAACATCAACAAAGGCTTTCTTGTACAGATAAATACCTAGTTTTGAGTTTATCTATATTGTATATTTAAATGGACTAAGTAAAAAGCCTGACTTTCATGCCTTTATTTCTTTAATCTTAGTTTTTTTTGTTCATTTACTCATTCTTGTTCTTAGTATGAGATAACAGAACAGACAACTTAAAAAACGGAAACTGGATACATGCAATTTTTGACAATTGACTTTTACCCAAGTAAAGTTCATAGAGGGAGCTGGCAGAAAAAATATAACAAACCAGGATAAATCTGAATAAAACATATAATAAATACATAAATGAATGAAAACTACACCTTGTGTCATTTGCATAAAAACTTCTATATAATTTAAGATTGTTTCCATAAACTTGTCAAATTGCCTATAAAGACAACGAAAACTGAAACTGACCTGGCGTTCTATACTCCTTTGTTCTAAAACTTTCATCACACTTTCCGGCTGGGGCGCAGTAAACACATAACCCCCTGGTTTCATAATGCCAGCTTTATTCCAAGCTATTGATTCAATGGAGTTTCCCAACAAGGTAGTATGATCAACATCAAGAGGAGTAATACCCCCCACTACAGTTTTCCTGATAAATAAAAAGCTAATAAAATGATATATTATTGTGTGATTTACATTATACCTGATAACGTTGGTGCAGTCAAATTCTCCTCCAATTCCAACTTCTACAATGGCCACATCCACCTTTTCGGATAAAAACACATGAAAAGCCATAATTGTTAAAAACCGAAAGTAGAGAGGCATATCGTGAGGAGTACTCTTTTGGGATTCGAGTGTGTTATAAATTCTCCAGAAATGGCGAGCAAATTTTTCTTGAGATATTGGCCTTCCATTAATTCTTATACGTTCACGCACCTCGAGTAAGTGTGGAGAAGAGTAAAACCCGGTTTTGAAACCATGAATTTTCAATATACTCTCGCAGTATGAGCATGTGGTACCTTTGCCGTTGGTGCCCGCAACGTGAATAATAGGTAGGGTGTCAAGAACTTCAAGAGTTACTCCAGATCTACATTGAAGATGTCTGTATAAACAGCTTATACTAACGGCTGTTATAGAGATTACCTTTCGAGAAATTTGCTCATTTCGGACATGTTATTTTCCTGGTTGTTTTTAATTTTAGCATTTTGAATATACTGAACATTGCTTTGAAGTTTATTCAAGGATTCAATGGCTCCCTAGAACCAGCATAAAATCATCAAAATAAAAAGATCAAATCAAAAAATGTCTTTACCTTATAAATATCCATTACTTTTTCAGCATGAATCTGTTGTGGTAGACGGTAAACTTGCCTCTTGGCAAAAAATGATGGAGTTACATAACCTATCATTAGCTATTTAATTACAATTTCCAAGTAAATTTGTAATTGCGCACGTTTTAATACGCTAATGTCCTTCCTGTAGATATTATCGTAAAGAATTAGACCACTTGTCTTGCGAAATTCAGATTAGAATTTGGAGTGTGTGCATTGCTAAATAAAAAATCATAGTACTCTCTCTGAACATTTCTTGCAACTATTCTAATCGTTTTTACATTTCTTCCTGAACATTGGTTAATATTTAACAAATCCGAAAAATTTGTTTCCAAGAATGCTAACAAAATCTTTTTAAAAAGACCGCCACCGTTTTGTTTACTTTCTTTGTGATATGTCAGATTTTTGTTCAAATGGGCAAGTCGTAAATGGCCTTTTACCCAAAAGGGTGTGACATAACTAAATAATTCTTGGTTAAATTCATTTATAAGAAATAGAATTGTGCAAACTGAATTTTCCAAAATAAATCGGGTTTAATTGATTGAATAGTGAAAGAATCAAAATTCTTTTTAGTATCTATGAAACATAGATTTAAAAAATATTTGAAGAATCATTTATTAAAAATATTGTTATAATAGTGTACCGCAAGGTTCTCAAGTACGCCCCAATAATTTATTTAAATCACCTTTGAATTTAATTTATTCGGTTTAGAAACGTCAATTACGTCAGCAGTGAGCGAAAAAAATGGTGTAGATGATGTATCGGGCGTAGTAAAATAAGCCCAAATTGTGGCAGGGTATTCCAAAATTTCAATTTCTTTCTTTTATCGAAGACACCCGTGCAATATCGCAAAAAAGAACGCTTATATCATAAAAGCTCAAAGGTGAGATTGTTATCAATGAGAAAGGTTGATTTTGCCAAATTCGCTGCGAAAGTGTTAAAATAACGGTATCGAAAAGTGACGTACTATTTCATATAATTTTTTCGATTTTCAATGGAAAATTAACCTGTGAAGCACGACTTTCAAGATACGACACTGGCGACGGAATTCATTGATTTTCCGGAAAACGCAGGTCCCTTGTCATTTACGATTTTATTTGTTTTTCATCTCAATGACTCACTGTTAGTTCTGGTGTTGCGGAAATCTCGCCGAAAATCGTTACCGATCCTTGGAAAACATGGAATTACTTGCAGATAGACCTAAATCCACAATGTCCGAAAGAAGGAAAGAACTGGAACTGAAAAAACAGAAGTTGCAAGCTTTAAGGGAGGAAAAGGAAAGGCGGAGGCGCGAGAAGGAGCAGAAAGATGTGGAAGAGGCTGCACACAGGGCCGTTTTGGCGGCTGGCGGCGATCAAAAAGAGGTTGATGTTATGTTGAGGGAAATTGGCATACCAACCATCTCGGAGGTGTATTCCAGTATATCAAGTATAAATTCCCTTACTCCAGAACCAAGTAGAAATCACACGCCCGATGCTTCATTGCAGATGAACAGTTTACCCAACAAGTAAGCTGCTTTGCAAAATATTTTTTTATTTTCTACATAAGTTAACCTCCTGTCAACATACTGTGTATCAGATTGGATGGATATTTTAGACCAATTTTTTCATATTTGTTGCAGTGTGATTGCAGTAAAAAAGAAAATTCCGCAACTGAGCATTGTGGCAGTGCAATCTACCAATATACCTCCCAAAGAAATAGTTACTTATACTAAGCAAACGCAGACCACAGCCACGGGCCACGAGCTTCGAGATGGTGAGTTAAAATTTATTTTTACCACTCCATAATTAATTTTATTGGCTCATTTGTTGGTAATTCATAACAGATCTAGTGCTTGTATTAATTTGTTGCCATTTTGAAGCACTGCAGTGCGGTTGTAAACTTACAAGGTAAAAATTACCACCAACTTGAATCCTTTTTCTCTAACGTAAGTCTTTTGTTAGTTCGGTGTAGTATTGAGTGTGTTTGGAAAGTGAGGTGGTAGTTTGAACCTTACAAGATCCAGTTTGAGTAGCTTATTTGACAGTGGCAAAGAAAACTATAAAATAATGGATAATGGAAAGAGTCAATTTTTTCTGCAGTGATGACATCAGTAAATAAGTAATTGATATCATTTGTTTCATATTCCTTGGTGTATTGGGATTGGGATAATCAGGAATACACTAATGAAAAATGTAAGCACCTTTTTTGTGCTCCAAAAAATTCCGGAAACCTGTCAAATAGTCTATAGCTCTCTGTTTTTTTTTTAACATCAAGTTATTTTGTAGATTTTTATGGTTCGGTTTTTTTATATTGCTTTTGGTTTGCTTGTTCTAAAGGTTTATCGTTTAAATAAAAGGCTTTAACTGAAATGATTATGTAACCATGTTTTTGTTTCAACCTTAGACTATTTTGGATATTCTTGGAAAAGGTCCTGTAAGTACATTTCCATGTTCTCTATGGATGTGCATCCTTTTTAGTTGTTTCGATGTTATTCATTTTAGTTGAAGGCTTTTGAGTAGTATTTTTTGACACTTCGGCATGTGGTTCCAATAATTTATCGTTAAGATTATCTTTGACACCTTTCTTGATTTCGCTCCGCCTCTCATTAAGCGAACACGCCTTCGGAGTTACCTGCAGTAAATAAAAAACGGCAATAAACCAAAAATCTTTGAGCCGAGTAAAAATTTTTAATGAACTATTTAAAAAATTAGAAGTAAGAGAGATTATTTTTGTATCGCAAATGCTAACAAGGATTGTCCTCTTCTACTTCATCGTCCCCGCTTAAAGGTTATATGGAGGACTGGTGGAGACCACGCAAAGGTACGATGCTCTGTGTTGCACGGATGTCTCGATATCGCTTTATTTCTATCTGGCTCACAGGCTCACCGTATTTCGTGCTGTACAGGGTGAACAATGTGCGAGGCAAGCAGCTGCAGCTGATCATATATTTTTCATTCGGCAGTAAGAGAAGTCTCTGAAAACTTTTTAATGTTAACACCTATTGCTAATAGATCGATTGAATCTTTTCTGAATTATATCGATTCCATGCCCTAGCAAATTTGAGGTAGGTTTTTTTTTTTGAACGGAAGGACTTCCAATGGTTTCAGAGATGCAATTGCTTACCTTGTCTATTTTGCCAGCTTGTACATAGCTGCACATGCACTTCCTTTGCACCACTATTACTGCAAACAAGGTAATTTTGAACATAGTGCAGTAAAAATATCTACTAAATTTATAATTGCGAGGTAGTTAGATCTTGATAGCTGCTTTAACGCCTGAACGCTGAGTCTTGGGGCGTATACATGAAAAACTGCATTGCATTTTGAGAAAGTTTATGTTGAGGTCACCTTGTTTAGTAGATTTTGCTTATTTATACAATACCATAACCACTTAATATTCTAATTTGCAGTTTCCATAAATTTTTTGCACTGTAATTAAACTTTGCTTGATCTTTTGTAAAGTTAGACATTATAGCTGGTTATAAAAGTGGAATACAGTTTTTCTAGACAGCAGCACCATTATTAAATTGTACTCGCGACTAAGGGTTTGTATACGCTTGGTGCAAACACATTAATCAATAACCCCACTGATGTGGCAGTTATGAAAATACATTGTTGTGTTAATTGTTTACTAAATTTAAATTTAAATGTTTACTGTATCTGGTCAGGAAAGATGGATTAACGTTTTATGTATTCCCATAATTATTACAATTTAATTACTAAACCCGAAATATTTATTAATTTTGGGGTAAGTTGTCTAGGCAAAGTAGCTTAAGGCGTAGATTGTGCTATAAATCAGTAAAATAAATATCGTTGCGCAATCTGATGTCGAGTTGAGAGTATTATGTAAAAAAATATGCGTGTAAGAAAAGAGCTAAGCTTTTTTTTACTAAGTTATCCGTTATAAAGTGCAACTGCTACGACAAACCAAAGTTATTTTAACAAATTACTTAATAATTTTGCATATCATCATGGGCTCAGATATAATTAATAAAATGTTATTGCTTAAATGTAAGAATTTTTTGACCAGATAAGTTTTTTTAGAAAATACTCAACTTTCACATTGTTGGGGTTTATTTGGTTGAATATTTTTCTTTTTACGATTTAATTTTAGGAAATTTTATCTTAAAATATGGGATTTAGCAACATGCATAATACAGAATTACCAACAATAATGTAACTTTCTAAAAAATACTACATACACCCTAATATGTTTAATGTAGTGTCTGTACTTATTTTTATAGTATTTCAAGCACTGATGAGATGTTCTAATAAAATATTTTTTGTTTCCTTTTGCAAACGAAAGCGCACGCCACAGATTACTACGGTAAGTTTCCAGATTCCTGCGTATGTTTAATTTAGTTTTTTCCGCTTCTGGCCACTAGATATACCATCACGAAACATCTTCCCTCCTTTATATATGTATATTTTCGTATATTCTTCACTTGACCCTTAAAGAAAAAAAAACAAAACCTAGTCTGGCTTCGAATCCTTGAGGCGTACTTTTTAGCGCGCGTCCGGGCTTGTAGTTATTCCTATTCGCTCAATATTTAAGACTTTTATAAAAATTTTCTGGGGGCTGTGGGGGTTGGAAATTGTATACAAGGCTTTTACGGCACAACAAGTTGTCGTTTGCGAAATTCAAAGTTGTACGTACGTGTGGTGCATTTAAAATGGATCTTCCAAAATTAAATATATTTTTTTTTAAATTTAACCTTTTAATTTCTTTAATAAGTAATCAGATTATCTAAACGATATTTGCCGTATAATAAACTATACTTCATATCTCAATTATAAACAATTTCATACCTTATACAGGGTGTCTAGTCAAAAAAGAGGCGTCTAATCTAAACAATAACTATGAATAATAACGAGACGAGACTTTTATAAGTCTTCAGAAAAGTAGGGGGTTTTCGGACAAAACTTTACAGTAAAAAAGAAAACTGTTGGCGAGCTAGAAAGCTATTCAGCTTTCCAAACGAAACAGCAACCAAATAGTACTTGACTGTGCCCAGGAAAAAGCTACCTATGATCGCAGGTATATTTACTGGTCATTGCTTATTTAACAAACAACAACTAGGCTTGAGGTAAAGCGGAGTGCTCTGTCCAGGAGGAAGCACAACGGGCCTACCGAGGCTTAAGTACCGTAGTGTAGGCTACCTTCTTCCACTTACGGATACATTTACAAATACAAATAGTACGAAAAACCTTAGTTTCGATTTTTCTGTATTAAACTAAAATTCTTATTAGATTACAATAAATTTTTGGATGACCTGCATAAGATATGGGAATTTTTTTATAACTGGGACACGAAATATGGTTTATTGTTATACTTAAATACTAGTGTTATTAGGAGAAAATTTTGATTGTTGAACCCAAAAATGTTATTATATACAATATACACTTAAAAAATGGTATGGTACTTCCTCACATTATTTTTTGTCTCCTTTTATTTGCTTTGGTAAGTGTGTTTTTCTTTTCTTCAGTTATAGTCTTAATTTTGACCATTTTTAGTGCATCACATTGATTTGATTTCAGTGATTGTCGCATCCGAAATTATTAACTGGAAATTAACAAACTAACAGCATGTTCTAACCGATTTTATGTGATTTTTTTTTTGTAATGTTCTCACTGCAGCCATCATTTGTGGACATTTTTAGAACGACAGAAAATGCTGCAATTCAATAGTTTGAATTTTTAAATTGTGTCGGTGCACATTATATACATCTCTGTAATTCGGTTATGCCGCGGTCAAATTTTATGATGATATAGTATATGATGTGCAGCACATCTCTTTTAAAAAGATTTTTTTTTTAAACCCCTAATCTGAAATTGTTCTTTCTTTACTCCCACCATGTACAACAGACGAATACAACCTAAATCCAGGTTTAGAGTGGGAAGATGAGTTCACAGGTAGGTGGCTAAGCATCGCTTTGTGTCGTGTTACGTCTCCTCTACTATTCTCACCGTTTTTGTCTTTGTTTAACACGCATTTCTCACCGGCCTAACACACCCGCATAGTGAACTCTTTATTTGATATTTCACAAGACTAAAGTTTGGTGACGCAGTGTACATTTATATCGATGAGCAGTGATTCTTTAACTTGCATTTACAAGATAAATGATTTAGTTAGAATAGTAGAAAAATTAAACGACCACCAAAAACTCTCAGTCAGTTATATTATATCCAAACTAGACCAAACGAGTCGTTCACAAGAAGATTCTTAAACCATTATTTCCGTAGTAATGAAGCAATAACTATTGTTGCGAGGCAATTCGGACATTTCCTGTACTGTAGCCACCGCTCGCGTTTTGACGTTTGTCAGTTCTGTCAGTGATTTTATTCGTGCTGTTTGGCAAAAAGGTTCCCAAACAAACATCACCATAATACGTACATTTATTATGATCTGTTTTTTAATGCGAGAGAGTTCTAAAAACTTAGTGATCTTAGCCGTATTCCTTAAGCATGACATTGTACCTATGATGATTGTCAAAGGTCCCGAGAGTGGAAGGTAGACGGACAGGTAGTTTGGTAGGTTGAGAATTATACTTACTTTGCGGTACTTGGCAAAAGTAAACCTAGTTCCATCAGGTCGCCAAGTCACAAGAGGTACAGTACTCTCTGAATTATTATTATTATACTAATTATTGTAATAAGGTAACTCCGCTGTCATTCACCAAACAAGTTAATTGTGACCCTAAACTAGTAACGACTCTAGGAATGTAGCTGTTAAAACTAAACTACGGAATTTTTCGGAAGCTATCCATTGCCTTTAAGTTGCCCACCCTGTTTAATGATCCATGCCATTCCAAATGTACATTTTATTACTCTCTCGCATTAAGAAACTAGGTATAATTTCTAATTGATAAGAATTTTTAAAGTGACAAATATTAGCAACCATAATTAATAAATAAATTATTATTGTGCTATTTTAAAGGAATTTTTACATTTTCGGTAGTTATTGTGAGTTATCGCGATCTGCTTTGGATATAAGCATAAAAATAATGAACACTCGGAGAAATGTAACAAAAAGAGATATACGTCGCTAACATTATTTTACTCCCATAAATGTTCTTTGACTAAATATATTAACGAGACGATTCACAACAATTGAGATGATAGCGGAAGTCTCAAAAATTAATATTAAATATTTAATAAATAACTCTTGATTTCAAATTGTTCTATTCTAAGGTCTCAAACTCCTTAGAAATCTAAAATTGAATTATAAATTTATTCTCATGCATTCTAATTTATTCTCTTTACTACGTACTACTACACTGACCGCCAATGGAAGAAAAGTTCTCAGGGGGTGGCAAATCTATCTTTACATATCTTACATATATATATCTCGCATTGTTATCCTAGGTCACCTCAAGTGTGTCACCGGACATTAAGTTTTTGAAATTTGATTGTTATGACTTTAATTAATGATTTTTTAATTTTAAAGACTAAAGTTAATCAATTTTTTTCAAACAACACCCAATGTGACTTTTATTCTCCAAAATTAAAATTTTCCATTCGCTATCTCTTAAAGCCGTTGACAATCATCCACAATCTACACAGTTACTTTAATACAGACACTTTTCTATTAATTTTTGTATTAAAATCATTTTTATTGGATTCTTTAGGCACGTCTGACTGAGACCACTCAGCAAACTATGGGCAAATTTAAAACGCCAAATTTTTAGTAGGCTTTTCCTGTCGCTTGTTCTGTTAATTATTGTAGTTTATAGCCACCGTGTTACTAATTTCTAATCGGAACATAGCCTTGCTAAAACTGTATTGGGGGTCGGTATAAAATTGGAGCATGCGTAGGGCGATTTAGACTGTTGTTTTTTTCACCACCGTCTTCCTACATTCCTTTGGCATTCCGTCCCGAAATGTAACCACATTTGCTTATAAGCCGTATGTTTTCTAGTTATCCGATCGTGAATGAATTAAAAAAATGATTTACTTGCGTGGTCAAGTCGAGATTTAACTCATTCACAATTGACGTCTTTTTCGATAGCACGTTGGAGTTTTGAGTGTTTTATTGAATATGTTTCGTGCCTAGGCGATACCATTAACACAAACTCTTGAGAGTCATTGGCACAAATGAGACCCTAACGTTACTACAGGGTTCCCGCTAACTTGGTAAAATTATTTAAGTTCAGGCTTTTACGAGATTAGATGGTCACCAACTAATCCTTAGTAAACCAGCTGCAAAACTGACAAAACACGTCCATACTAAGTTTTTAATTTTGTTTGTTTTATTGCGTGGAAATAATTATCAAATCATTCAATTATCCATTACAATAACACCGTTTAAAAATGTGTTTGGAATTAGTTTGATTTCGGACCAACCTACAAATAATTACGTTCATGGTCATCCAAAAAAGAGTTCTCTTTCCATATTTTGATACAGCTTGCCAGATCGCTATCCTAGAATTACACTATCCTATTTATAATTAGTATAGTGTTGAGAAAAACGCAAAAAAATGGTCCTTTTTGTGGTGCCGTAATTGAAAATGGACACTGTTGTAAATTTCTGTTAAAATTTTTTGTCATATGGGTGTGCAATGTTTTAGTAAAACTTGCATTAAAAACTGTTGTTTCGATTATTTATATTTTGAGAAAAAAACATACAACTACGTTACAACACTGAACACATTTTATTTGGATTAATGTAACATATAACTTTGTATTTCTAGAAAAAGAGTAAGTAAATTTGTATAAAAGTAATTCTATGCAAAAATAAACATTATTTTCAGGTAGAAAAAGTGAACAAAACGAAATATTATACTTAGTAATTCATATTAAAAATAACATTGCATTATAATAAGTTTGGTCTACTACTGGCATTCATTGGTACATGCTTCCTATTTCTGATACCTTATTTTGAGGAAGTGTTTTGGACACAGATACGTGAGTTGGTGTTTTTAAAGTATTTTAAACCCTCCGTGCCTTTGGAGTCTGATCGTTTTCCTCTATACTCACGAATATATACTTTGTTCCATTCTTGTTGAGACTGGCTGAATTTATAGTCTACCTCGAGTGGTGCTTAATGAGTGAACCTAAGTGCAACTAGGTGAGTGAAAGGTACCAACTTGTAATAATTATACATAGCTGCTGAGTTCTTATAATATAGAAAGTCGTTACAACCCACTTGCATTATTTTCTAGTGTTTTCTTACATACCTTACTTATACTTACCTTCAAACGTACGCGCAAGAGAGAAAGTGGGGAGTAATACTCGGATTTTTTCAACACCATCGTAATACAACTGTGGGCAGCATCTATTTCTTGGTTACAGGAATGTCGAACGGTTGAAAAGTTCATTGTGACTGATTTAATGTTTGGAGTTGTTGTTCTGCGGAACGGAGCTATCGCTCCTTAATATCAAGCTTGTCAACTGAGGATTGTCAGCAAAAAGTGCTTCCAAAATTTTGATTAGGGCACTAACATTATCGTTGCCGCTTCTTCCCATCAGAGATTCACTCCACAATGAATAGTATACCTGGCGGGTACTCGAAAGTACTGCTGTTAACACAACATATACAACGAATCTTTTACTGGTTTTTATCTTGAAGGATTTACACAGCTCAGTATAGAGTTAATACATCTTTATATTCAAAAAAAGATGTATGAGGGCAGCTCCAAAATTTCCCGGCCTGAATATGAAAGAAACAGAGTAGAGTAACATTTTTTATTATTTTTCAATATAATCCCTTTAAAAAAATATTATTTTGGTTTGTCTGCAAAATAAGTTGAAACAGCCTCTTTTAACTTAACTTCGTCGTTAAACCGCCGTCCACGTAAGTCCTTTTTCAAATATCCAAACAAATAATATCCAACAAATAATAGTGTCTGGGGGAGGATGATCTATCTGTTGGAACCCACACTCAAAAATGGCAGCTTGTGCAACACCAGCAGTATGGACAGGTGCATCATCGTGCAAAAGACGCACGCCTCTGGTCAATTTTCCTCGACATTTTACACGTATGAAGTCTCACAGTTTATGTAACAATGTTGCGTAATATTTACCATTGACAGTGGTATTACTTTCTTAAAAATCTATCAAAAGAATTCCTTCACAATCCCAAAAGATCGTGGCCATCACCTTTTTTGTTGACTGGCAGACTCTGAATTTTCTTGGAGGTGCTTCACCCTTACGAAACCACTCCATTGGTTATTTTTTCGATAGAGGGTCATAATAGAAAACCATAGCTCCATCTCCCGTCACAATAGTTTCTACCACAGGCTTCGGTTCCGACCCACAGAGTTCCAAAAAAGACCGCGCACTAACCTTATGCATACCTACATGATATACAGGATTCGACGAACACTGTGTCAAAAAGCTTAGTAGTTTCTGAGATTTCCTTGACCTTTAAACGTCGATCACTCAATACCACCTCTTCAACAATCGCAACAATATCTTCCGTTATGACCTCCACTGGTCAAAAACTTTATGACTGCTCTATACTCAATTTGCGTTAGTTGCGACATTTTTTCGGACAGGTCTTGTTTAAAATGCTGTCAATTTTTTTTTTCGCAGCCTACTAAGATTTAAAAGAAGACAAAGTTTTATCGTGATACTGGAGCTGCATCTATATCAGGCCGGGAAATTTTAGCGCTAACCTCGTAAGTACTTTCGCTGTATTTGATGTCTGTAATAATGCAACTCAACTGGTGGAAACGACTCAATTAAGATTTTCTTCGGGTGTTTTACGTTTGGTATGATTATCCTGAGTAATCATAGGTGTATTTGTGACTATGTCTTTGTTCCAGTGTACAGTATATACTGGTGTTTGGCTTATTGCCAAAGTGCAGAGATAAATTGTTTATACACCTGGAACTGCTGCGTTCCAATTGAGAAATAGTAATTGAAGGGCTGCATTCTTCTGCTATTTACGTGATTATTACCCTTTCTGTGCCATTCAACACTAAGTATCTTATAGTTGTCGAAAGTAAAAGTTACTTTTTCCCTTGTTCTGTAGAATCAAAAATACGTCTTCTTTCATCTTCACCAATAATTTGTTGACATTTATACAAACACTTGCTTTGATAGTCCTTCGCGGTTTTTATTATTTTTGCTGGTACGACCTTCTTTCTTACGGATAAATGTTCTTTAAATTCAGTATGCGCAGCTTTTCTGATATTACATTGCCACAAATCTGGATTTCTTTTTCTCTCAATACTCAATGTTTGAATTATTTATTTCGGATACATCACTGGACTCCTCGTCACTATCTTACTCTGCTGGTAGATATTCGGGATCTTCATCAGAATCATACCCTTGGAAATCTACGACATCAGCAGAAAATAATTGTATAATTCTTTTTGATATACAAAAATGTTATATTTGGAGAATACCCTATATAGAGTAGGTACTCTATTCCAAATTAATAATTGCCACACATTAACCATAACCATGCTGAACAAATCAGAAAAAACGTGCAATCGCTATTAATGATAAAAACGTACCTTATAGATTCCATTTTTTCAATATATAGCAGATCCAAATCCAAATTTTTGAATCAATTACCAAAATACAATTTTTTTAAAGTAAGTTTTTTAACTTCAAACAGCATAGAAATGTATTCCTCGCAAAATAACTGATTTTTTACCTCCAACTTAATTTTACTAATAATAATGGCAAAAAATATTAACGAACAACGAACACACCGTTTATACAGGCCGGCAAATACAATACGGTATGTAAATAAACAAAAATATTACTCTCTTCTCACAAAGTTGTATACGTCACATATCACTATGTTAACTTGAACCGCCACGATTGGCAGACACTCAATAGTGACAAAATCGACATACAATTATGCTACAAGCAGTCAAATTTGGCCGAAATGTTTCTTACTACAGTGTAGCGTGATACTAATGCCTTTATGGATTTAGTTTGTTTTCGTATTAATCTTAAAATAATTCAACAGAAGTGTCTTCGTGGCCATCCAAGAAGAATCTTTTATGCTTTTTCCATCCATATTTACGTCGGGTGTCGAATGGTAATCCTTTTACTTTTATTTAATGTCTGTCTTGTTCTGCGATTATGATTTGAGTGAAACCAAAGTTTTTATCCGACTTATTAATTGACCTTGTCCTTGAAAAAGCGCATTTTTTGCGTTTAGACTTGGTTTTCGTAATCTATCTATTTGACACTTCCATAGGGTTCTTCTGACACATTTAATTCCGATTCTACCTTTATTGAATTGTCCAATATATCCACATTTTGTACCTCCTATATCGTGTTATATCTAATTAATTGTTTTCTACTAATTATCTTTTATGATGTAAGTGTTTAATAAATATTTGTGGTCCAGTTTTACTTTGTACTTTTCAATAAAGAATAATTACTCAAAAATTTGCAAAAGCACGATCCACAGGTTTTTCACCTAGTTTTTATCCTTGCAATACAAACAATATCTAGTGGAAAATACTAAGTAACTTCTTTTGATTACGAACACGCACACGTTCTCCGCATTTTTAATATTTTGGAAAATCGGTTGTAGATTCAGCTAGTTTTTGCTTTTTATATATATAGTAAAATTTTAAAAAGTTGAGGCAATTGGCGAATGGAGTTTTAGTGGGGACCGTGTAGCAAAAATTGGCCAAAAGAAGTGCAACTCAAAATCAGTTTATCAACCTTAGCGAGCGTTATCATAGGTCAATAAAGCGGTTTCTAAATATTTATCAACAAGTGACTCAGTAGGCCGATCTAATGTTTTTGAACTATAACGATTTTTTTTTATTAGGGTATTATGTTTTGGTTAGTTATGTTTAACTAAATCTAGATAAGCAGATTTTGGTTTAGTACCTATTTAAGGATTATAAAAAGATATAGCTTCTAATTTCTTCTTTTGGTAACTATCTCTCCAGCGTGCCATCGAAAAATGTCAGTGCACAATTAGATTAAAATTGTTGACAATATAATGTGCGCCTAATTTCCAAAAATTGTTTGAGCAGCGAATGCAGTTTTTTGTTTCTAATACAATGTGGGCCAATATATATTGTTTAGTTTCCTTGTATAATTAATCATATTTTACGTATTTATATTTATCTAATCTATTAACCTTAACTGACATATTTATAATTTTCTTTAAACGTGTTGGTCTTTATTGTGTGTAAAGTGACAATTCCTCACTTAGCCTACAATTCTCGTATATTAAGCGCAATAAGCGCCTACAATATACAACTAAAAAACAAGCAACACAAAAGAAGATAAAAAGAGAAAAGAAGCCTATTATTATTTAGATCAATTTATTTATATAAAAAAAAGTAAATAGCATAAGAAGAAAAATATAGGGTGGCATGAATGTCTTAATATCAAAGAGGAAATAGTTCCTCAGATGATATTTTACTTATTGTGTAATATTTCACTCTATTCGCTGCATTCTAGTTACATCTTCTATTAAATTTTTCACATTTATTTTTTTTTATAAATTAATATGATTTAATTTAAAAAACTTCTTCGTTTTATATTTTATATTTCAGTGTAAAGAAAGCCAGTTTTACTAAGCAAAACTGAGTTGTTCCAGGTTAGGACCTAGAAAATTGTAGGTGCAAACAAAAGTTATATAGCCTTTTTGTTTTGCTTTAACTGCTTCCATGTTGGAATATGCAGGCAAGACATTAATACAGAGACTCGAAGGGTATTACTTTTGAACGGATTATCCAAGGGTGGTCATTAACATACAATGCTACAAGATTATTATTATTAATTAAGATAATTATTAATTATTAATTAATAATAATAATAATCTTGTTGCACTAACATACAATGCAACAAGATTATTATTATTATTAATTAATAATTATCTTAATAATAATAATAATAATCTTGTTGCATTGTATGTTAATGATCACCCTTGGATAATCCGTTCAAAAGCATTTGGTCACTTTCTTATATCTACGAACAGACCATATCATTACATTGTTCTTAAAAACTTTGGTTCAATATAAAAAAAATTAATTACCCAGGTCTTTGATATTTTTCAACCACTTTCACATCTAGAAGTTATCGAAATTTGGTTTTTAACCATGTCAAAATTACAGCAGTAACTAAAAAAAACTAAAAAAAAGGAAAACATGGTTCCCCAACCCCGTCCATAAAGAGTGAGGTTCAATAGAGTTTAGTAATTTTGCCAAATTTTCAATCATCAATCAAATATATTCAATCTTAGAAGTTCTGACCTTTAAAAACCTCCGATATGGAGGATCGTTCTTTTTTTTGTGTGTTTTGCAGATTAAGAATTTTTGTGCATATAGTATGTATTTATAAATCTATAGAAAAAGAAGTGAGGGTTTATTTTATTTTTTATTGCTTCTTCGAAAATTGTTATTATGATCTTTGCTGATTGCCCACAGTTAAAGTAGATTTTAAATGATGAATTTTAAAATAGAAATAATTAGTTATAAATAGAGAGTAAACAATTTTATTTGCCCATTATTGTTGTCGAATGCGAAACATATGACGATAATTGCGCGCGTGAGTGGGTGTAAGCAATTATCCCGGTTCGTATATGCGTATCTGCATGTACGGCAAAAAGATCCCTCCAAAAATTCACTCTCAGTTTTGACGTATGACGATCCGCAAGGCGAGGACGAGGAGAACTCGCTACCTCATATGGGCGTATACGGGAGCAAACTGCCTCCCGGCATCCTGCCCCACGGTCTGCCCCAGGTCAAAGAGGTCCAACCGGCCGTCACCGCCGTCGAGCAAGAGTCCAAGAAGGAGCAGGAGAAGGAAAAAGAAAGTAAGTTTATCGCCGACTTTTGTCTGACTCTATGAACTACAAACTATGTTAACATGTATGGAAAGATTGGGCTGAAGAGGGCCACGATTGGAGCGTGATTATTTTGAACCACAACCACAACCGAAAACAATGACCAAATGTAGCTTTTTATTATTGACGAGTACCAAATTATGAAACAATTGGCATTGTAACTAGCGCAAAGCAAAACAAACAAAAACATAATTATCATCAGAAAACGAAAATCAACTTTAGCTTTCAACATTCTTTATGGCCTGAAACACTCAGATAAAACCAGCATTCAATGTTTTTAGTTGATACTTGCTTAGTTTTGATTATAATAATAAATATATATAATTTATAAAAAAAAGTTGCTTAGTTATCTAGCTCATGAACAATCACTAAAGAGATTCGTGTTTCCTATTTTAGCTATTCTCTCCACGTGAATAAAAAATATTTTTTAAAATGCAGATATGTGAACGCAATTCTATTTATTTTTATAATTTTTGAAATCCCAGAATGTCGTTAAAATTGTCATTCAAATGACTGTTTTAAACTGTTATACATGAGTAGGGTTGTGGAATTGACCGGTTAAATTTTTTTGTATCAATTGACCGGTCTGTTGGACATCACAAACTTGAAATAATTTATTATAAAATACATATTATCATTAAATAATGATAAAAAACACTCTACAATTGCAAGATATTATTTAAAACATTTTTTGTGCATTATAAAATTGAAATTGAAGTGTGTTTTTGTTCACGGTTTAAATTTAATTCCATTGAATAAGATCCTTTGGCCGCCCGAATGCAAACGACTCATTGTCGTTTTTTTTTCTATTTCGATGTCCAGTAAGAGAACTGAGCGAAGAGGAGAAGCAAATGATCATCCTGTCGGAGGATTTCCAGCAGTTTGTCGACAGAGCGGGTCGTATAATGGAGAGGGCGCTGTGCGAGACCGTTAACATATACACGGATTACTCCGGCATAGGTGAAGAGGCGCTGGATGAGAAGTGCCACCAGAGGATATCGTTTAACAGGACCTTCTTCGACGAAAGGTGACTTTTCAATAATGGTACCATACAGAAAAATAATAAAAAAAGAGTTGTAGATTCCGTGGTAAATATCGGAACCGCATGCGCCAGCGCCACCGTGAGTTACAGAACGAACTAATTTTCTGACGTTAGATTAGGTTTAAAATTTTAAATTTAAAATTTATTTTATTTCATAATTATTAATAAAATTAAGTAGAAAAAATATATTCTTCTGTTGGATTCAGCAAAATGCATTATTTTAGGACTAATTGTCCAGGGTATTTATCTGGAATTCGGGAAAAAAGCTTATTTTTATATTCTGTGTTAGTAATTTGTCTATAGTATGAATTTTTCATTGGAAAGCAACGCAATTGCATGTTAACTCCCTTAAAGCCATAGTTTCAATTAACCTAATAACCAATATGACATAACCTAAATAAATTAGTATAGCTACATATATAACTGAGAAATAATAGAAGACTCCAATGTTTACAAATGAAGTTGTATTTTAAATAGTTCATTTTTTAATATTTGATAATATTGATAATATTTATTATTTTAATTTATAAATATTTGATATTTGAGTAATTAATATCTCAATTATACTGGCAATAAGCAAACTGGATAACAATGGGATCCTCCTTTATTGAATTACGAATGTTATAGAAGCAATTGAAATCTTTCATTGCTTTCTCTAACATTCATTATTAACTAAAGGAGTTTCAATTATTTTCATAATTATAATCATGTATAATAATAAAAACCGACATACAGAAAACTATCATTGCAATTACGATAATCAAATTTACCCCTTCGCATTAAGAAAATGGTTACATAAGTCGTAATTCGATTTGTTGCAATGAGGAACGTTTTGAGTGGCGCTACAGGCACAGTATAATGGTACCCCTACTTTTTAATAGTTTTTTCCTATGCTGGGTACTAATTGAAAATCCGTTTAACCTTCGTCGTACCGCGGTCAAAAAGTTACTCAGAACACCATGTGGGGTACAGTTGCACCCCACTCTAATTTGAATGCTTTGTGATATTTTATGCGACAATTCTCGTAAATATACACTGTAACAACAAAATTAAATAGTTAATGCAAATAGAATATGTATAATGCATATTATATGTATTGCAAAAGTTGAACAAAATAAATAATTCTCAAAAATGTTAAAAAAAAATTAGACGAACTCCTCTACTCATATTAATTCTTACGTTTTTCCATACATAATCTGCAAATTATCTGTTATACACTATGGTCAGTGCATGGAAATTGACTTGACTTGCGATGTTTCTTTCTATTGCAGAAATAACATGGTCCAGAAACAGGTCGTGCAGGTTCTACGGAATGGATTTCATGGTGCTTTTCCAATTCTGAAACCATTTCTAGCACATATGATTTTACACTGTTGGAAATTCTTGTTTCTATTTTAAATCTTCTTATGACATTTGCCCTAATCAATGAGTCTCCTAAGTTCAAAAGAAATTTTCTTCTGCTGTCTTTACTTTTTGATTTTTCGTCTGGAAATTTTGCGCTCCATTAAATAAATGCATTTAGAGCCGCGACGTCTAATAGCTGTCCAAAGATTGCCATCGGGAATCTATTGCTAATTTGACAAGCTGAATATTCTTTTACCATTTTGTCGGTAGTGTCTGCAGTACCTTTTGTTTTATTATAATGAAGTATTATGTCATGCTTGTATTTCATATTTTCTCCCGCAACAGATTCATCTTGATGCTCCGTAGACAACAAGAGGACAACATTGAGAAAAAAATGGTTTTTTGAGGATATGGCAAGAGTTCTTCGTAAATAAAATATTTATTTTTTCGTTCTCGTTCTCTAATAGCTGCTAGGGACAAACTTGAAAATAAATTATCTGTGGTTATGCCATATCCGGTTCCTAGATCTTCGACAAGATCTAAGACGACTCTTTCGCCTTGATTCTTTTTTGCTGTATTATTAATTTTTCCCAAGTATGGTTGCATATTTATAGCGTACGAATTTTCATTATCTTCTGCCGCCCAAATTTTCAGACCATGTGTGTCTGGTTTACTTTTCATATAAACTCTAAATGAACAACGACCTCTAAATCCAACTAGTTGCTGATCTACTGTAATATGGCTTCCGGGATTATAACACTTTTTGAAATTGTCCACAAACATGTTGAAAACTTCCCTTACCGGGGCAAGCTTATCAGTTTTCTTACCGGCTTCCCTTGTTTTGGGATCGTCAAAACCAAAAAAACTCGTCAACAATTGAAAAGGTGAGCGAGACATAGTTGCAGGAATAACTGGTCTATTGTAATCTCTCTTGGTACACCACAACATTACTATCGGTTCTTTTGAAGTTTGAAGGGCACGTAAGATCAAAATGAGGCCAATGTATGCCTTTAGCAGCATCTGTTGGTTTCCATATGCGTTGTAGAGATTGTGTTTGATTTGGGTGTTTTTCATTCCAAAGTTTGAAAGTCTCAAAAATTGTATAGGGATAGGTATTCTTAGTGAAAAATACCATATATAATTCAATAATTTTACCTGTTCTGCCTTATCATTAGTATGCCCGACATTTATTTCTATAATTTCGTCTGACAGAAACAGTCTAAATGAATCAAGTTTTGAAGCAATATTGATACTGTGTTGATTTAGTCCTGGCTTTTTCCTAATATTTGCAACTGTTCGTCGTTTTTGTCTTAAGTGGCATTTTATACCATTTTGTGTTATCTTTGGTTCAATAAAATAATCTACCTTCTTCTAAGATTTCTTCACTATCGTCAGTCTCTATTATACTGCTCACAGCATCACTGTCATTTTCTTCTTCTATAATCATATCTTCAGACACTATCATTTCCGCAACATCATCACTATCTTCTTCACTATCACAGAGTTCTATGTCAGCATCATCGATATCGTCATTCAGTAATTGTTCTAACTCTAAATCGGTTAATTTATTTGGATTGCGAATATTTATTTTATCAGACATTGGGTAACATTTCACGCTAGCGTTATGATTTCAAAAATTAAAAATGTCTGACACCAGCTGATATTTACTGTATTGCGCATGACCGTGACTAATCAAAATGAGTATCTTGGCATACCATACGGGGTACCCCACATTAAAAATATTTTTTTTTGTTGACTTTTTTGATGCACGTCATAACTAAAATATACAGAAAATAAATCTGTGAATACTAAATGACGATAAATAAAATTGAGGAACCCTTGTGTAAAGTTTTTAAAAAGATATTAGGAAAATTGAGTTATTGGGGTACATTTGTACCCCACACGGTACGATGAAGGTTAATGTTTAATGTGATTAGGTGGTCTAAGAATCGCACGATAACCGCCCTGGATTGGTCGCCTCAGTTTCCCGAACTGCTCCTCGCCGCTTATAAGGAGAATGTCGAGTCACCGAACGATCCCGACGGGGTGGTGTTGGTATGGAACACGAAATTTAAGAAAACCACCCCGGAGTATATTTTTCATTGTCAGAGTGCCGTACTGTCAACGTGCTTTGCCAGGTATATAGTCTGTAGGCTAATGTACACTAGTAGAGAAACAAAGGGACATTCAACCAACAACCTCATTTTTGTCATCTCGGTGTATAGGTGCCCCCACCCCCCTTTCTGACTGCCGTGGCCTCGCGGGGTGGGGGGCACTTATACACGCAGCCGAGAAGATGACAAAAGTGAGGTTATGTTGGTTGAATGTCCCTTTGTTTCTCTACTTACACTACGGGACACTCGAGTAATTTTTAACAAATGTTTCGCAAATTTTAACTACATGGCTTCTAAAAAAACCTTTCTCTATTTTTACTCCTAAGTAATTGAAACTCGTGGTCTGCTGTTTCATTACATATTCCAACTCTATATACAGGGTGTTTTCGAATTTGATGTCAATACAGGGTGATAAAGCTTACAAAAATGAAATATGTTTTTAAAATTTATTTATTATTTATCATTATTTAGTGTACCACATTTTTTTAAAAATAGACCAGTTGCGAGCGTACAGAATTTCACCTGTCTATTTTGGCAAACATTGATGATACGCCAATGATTTATCTCAAACTAAAAATTATTTTTACAATTTCCAATCATTTCTAAAGAAATTTAATTGCAGATGTACGGCTTTTGCTTAAAAAAATAAAAACCTTCTCTGCATGCTCATAACAATGTCGTTAATATGACAGCATGCAGAGGAATTAGTTTTAATTTTTAAGTGAAAACTGTGCGTGCGTGCGACATTGACATGAACAAATAAGATTTTAATAATTAGTTTGCACTGGTTAAATCGAGAACTTTTTTTGTGAAAAACAAAATATCTAGTTTTTAGTTACTAACAATTGTCCTTCAGAAAAAAAAATCAGAAGACTGTTCTTTTTTAGTTTTACAGTTTGAAATAACATACCATCCTAACAAGATAAATAAACGATTGTTATTTAAATTTATTTTATTTTTTTAAGTTTACGTAGTTTGTATTCATAATTCGATTTTTTTAAGTGTTTTTATAAAACAGATAGCCAATTACTTAAGTAAGAAATAATAATGATAATAATTCTCTGCATGCTGTCATATTAATGATATTGTTATGAAAACGCAGTTTTTATTTTTTTAAGTGAAAACCGTAATCGGATTGAAAAAATCAAGAAATTAAATTCCTTTAGAAATGATTGGAGATTGTAAGAGTAATTTTTATTTTAAGAGAAATCAGTGGCGTACCATCAATGTCTGCCAAAATAGACAGGTGAATAGGTACCCCCGCCACTGGCGTATTTAAAAAAAAATTGTGGTGGTACAGTAAATAATGTCTCTTTATACATAATACATGTGTGGCAAGTTTCATTAAAATATCTAATGTGGTATTATAGATATTAAAAAAATATATTTTATTTTTGAAAACTTTAGAGCCCTTTATCTCAAAAGTTAAGATGTTTACGGCATATGTTCATATGAAGATTTCTTTCTATAATGGACTCAAAAATCTCTGCCCTTAATTATTGAGTGTTCATTTCTTATCACCATTACTTTTGTCTTAGTTATATTTAATTTCTTTCCAAAGTCTACTTGAGCATTGTTCCAGGTCGCCATGCAATTCTGTAAATCTACTTCTTTTCCGGCTATTGTTACCATATCACAATAAACACTCCTTCGGATACTTTTACATTTCTCATGTATCTATAAGGGACATTATATTTCCTTATGGTTGCTCTACTTTTCTTTATTATTTCATCAATATGGGCTGCAAAGAGCAAAGGGATTAGTCCTCCCCCTTCTCTTAATCCTGCTTTGGTTGTGAATGGCTCTGGAATTTTATTTTGGTATATTGATATTAATATTGTATATATTCTTCAAGACCTTATCATTTTGTTTTTCCGTTCTGATGTTCAGATTTGTTTTCCATGTTTCTTTTTTCTTTTTAATTTGTTCTTCAATCTCTTCCAACCACCAGGCTGTTTGTTTTATATTGTTGTTTTTTAAACTACTTAAAATTATTACTTTGGTATTGTCTAATAGTGTGTTTTTCAAGTAATGCCATAAAGTTTCGATGCTTGCGTTTTCTATTTCTTCTCTTTTGTTTTCATTTTTTTTTCATTTATTGCTATTTTATATCTTTCTGTGATTTCTTTGTCTCCTAATTTGTACTTATGGTTCTTTCTGGATGTGTTGTCGATATTATTAATTGTATCATTCATGTTTGAGACCACCACATAGTGATCGCTCCCAATTTCTGGTCCTCTTGTAATTTTTTGTATTAAGTATATCATTTCCGTTAGTTTTCTCCATCTCTACTTCTCTAGTAAATTTGGGTACCTCTTTGTGTTGAAGGAAGCTATTAGTCACAATCACATCGTTCATTATACAATAGTCCAACAGGCGGAACTAGTAAAATCAACAACAAAAAAGATATGAAACTATGGAACGGTTACTAAGTGTGGGGGAGGAGGGGTTTCTAGAGACTTCCTAGGCATTTTATAAAAATTCGGCCAAACTCTAGCCTACAATGTATTTTTCGTTATGACTACACCAATTCAGCCAAATTTGAAAAATGTCCGCAAAACATGAATATAATGAATATAACAAGTAAACACAATAACTCTTTTTGATATGAAAACATAAATTAGGTTTTTTTTACATACCGGATACCTTTGCTGAAATGTAATAACCAATGGAATCGAATTATAAAGTTTCTACTACTCTTGATATCTGAGTGTATAATTCTTTGTTGCTTAACTATTTATATTTTTCGGATTTTGTTTTAGGATAGCTAAAAATTCGTCGTACCCTTGCGCGTTGTCGGCTTTTCATAAAATGCCTAGGAAATTTTTAACATTTATATTGGAATGTTTCAAATATCCAAATATATCGAATCAATAATGGTCATAGTTACAAATAACCTGTAACATGATTGCAGTGAAATGTCAGTTCCTATCGGTTAACAAATGTTTGCAATGGCGTAGGTTCCACCCAAACCTGATATTAGGAGGAACGTATTCTGGCCAAATCGTGTTGTGGGATAACAGGGTACAGAAGAGGACGCCAATTCAACGCACCCCTTTATCAGCTAGTGTTCATACGGTAAACTCGATTTGGATGTTATCGATCATTTTTATTTCGAATTTGCTTTCCAGCATCCCGTGTATTGTATGAGCGTCGTAGGTACACAGAATGCACATAACCTGATCAGTATTTCGTCGGACGGGCGCATGTGCTCGTGGTCGCTGGACATGCTCAGTCAACCGCAGGAGATCTTGGATCTGCATCGGATGCAAAGCAAACCGGTCGCCGTGACGTGTCTCGATTTTCCCAGTTCCGACGTCAACAATTTCGTCGTTGGCTCCGAGGAAGGTTTGTTAAATTTATCGCCATGTTTATTTAGAAACTTTTTGATGGGTCATTAAAAACGTCAGTTATTAAAGTACATTCAAAGCTATTACCTATCAGTTTGATGCGATCATAACAATAATTTTTAATAACATAATGAAATTTATATTTATTTATTTATGTTGTGAGTGACGTAACTAATTGGAGGTAATATTTTTCTTGGAGTTCCCAGAATCGCTATTCGGATATCCCTTGAACAGAGTTATAGGTAAATTAGACATCACAAACGCATAATCATTTAATATAAAATACATATCATTATTAAATAATCGTATATAACACTTTGCAATTGACCAGCCCTAACACTAATTATGGCTAAATGTGTAGTTTTACAAGTTTGATGGCCTAGCAGCAGTAGATGGAAATTTAAGTTGGGTTGTGGCTCTATAATATCTCCATACCTAAGTGAGGCACATACCAACTAACAAAATACTCTGTATTTTTTGTTGGTGTGATTCTATTATGTGATTGAAGTGATTTAGGACCTAAAAGGCACAAAATTGAAATGCTACAATTAGAAGTACTAACAATTTTTAGAGTTTATAACTTATGCCGCAGTTTTCTATGCATATGTGAGGTTTGACTACTTCTTTAGCCGCTAGTCTATAATCAAATTAAACTGGAATGTTTAATCTACGAAGAAGGCTGACAAATATGGAGGAAGCTCGAGTACAAGAAATTAACCTCTTATGAAATGCCATTGAAATAAGCAAAAAATCCAGGAGGAAAGAAATAAAATGTTGCACTTATTGGGTGAATTACAAAAAAAAACAGCAAAAATTGAAAAACATATTTTTAGTTGTTATGAAAGCATATTTGCTATTTGGTTCCTCCTCATTTCCACCCTCACCCGTAATATCTACTTCTAGGTGTGCTAGCTCCTCTTCTAGCACCTCTTTTAAATATATCAAATGTCTCGCTGCCCCAAAACGTGCTAGACCTGGAAAATATTCTAAGAATAAATTCCCTTCATAACTCCTTAAAGTCTTCGTAATACTTCCAATTTTTTGGTATTGGACGTCTATCACCTTCATTATCCTCAAATATTCGAATTGGTTCTGCTAATTCTAAAGCTATGTGACCAAATTATCCTCCGTCATTTCGTTTTGAATTAAAATATCCATAACGTCACGTTCTACTAATTTCTGATGTACTAGGTACTAGAGAACAAAGACTTTATCCATACTTGTTACTTTCGAAAATCGATGAAATCGAAGTATCTACGCTCGTATGAAAATTTTATATCTCGGTAACGGTAGGACCTATGGCATGCCGTTGGTACAGAAATGATCACCGTCTTTTCGTCCGTTCTCCGTTCTCGTCTTTTGATTTTTCCTGAATTACTTTGGAACCGTTGGAGCTTTTTAACCCTCCACGAGGCACATAACACATTTTCGACTGTTTTTTGGACATTAGTATGAAACACAATAAGCGCCCAAAATTTGAAGCAATCGACTTCATATATGGCACATATATGCATCTTCGCCCCGTGACGGAACCTGTTGAAAATCGGGGGGCTGGGGGGGTCGGGAAATATTCAAAAAAATAAAAATCGCGCGTGCAAGGGTCTATAAAAAACATCACTTTTCAAAAACCGTTTACGAGACCAAAAAAATTCTTTAACCAAAAGACGCAGAAGATGCGGCTATGATTCAGATCTCACTTTCCTTTATATTGCGATAAAGCCCGCATAGACAGCAAAAACTTTTGTATTTAAGCTTGCGTGCGAAATGAGAAATATGTTAAGTGTCCTAAATTTGCAGATATCAACTTCAAATTTAGCAGAGAAGTAAAAATCCGTGTCCACATTTAAACGGTAGAAATTGGGTGCAACCAAATTTTACCAAGTGTTTTTGAATAATGTTTGATTTTTTTTTTTTGGTAATTTTAGCTTCCAGAAAAATATTTTTTCCTCCATAATCGTTCACCCGGTCGGCAAAATTCTTTAACCGGCAGACGCGGAATAACATTTATTTCAGGCATTTTTTCGATTATATGCAGGGTTTCAAATTATAGGCAAAAATCTAAAAGACCTAGAAAATTGCACTTTTACAGAGTAAATTATTAGCCGCAAATAAAAAATCGTAAAAAATATGGCTAATGGGTTCAAACAGTGTCACAGGCCGTATCAAGAGCTGCAATTTTTGTATTTACATACGCTGCTCGGGATATTTCAAAAACTTCATATTGACATCGCCATTTTGGGGGCTGTCAAGACCCGATGACGTCATTGATTATTACGGCGCATGGATTCAGAAAAAACTTATTTTCCCGAAAACCATTTAGTATTTTAAAAAAATTCTTGGACCAGGCAACGTGGAAGATCCAGGGCTATAACCTCTACTTCGAACATTGTTTGAATCATATACAGGGTGTGTCGTTTATGGGCAAAAAATCTAAAAGGTCCTAAAAATTTCCGTTTTTGTGCAAATTTTAATTTAATTTTTAATTTTAATATTTACCGATGTTTGCTGTAACTTTGAAGTTCGACGAGATGTGAAGGATATTTTATACAGGGTGCCTGCGCAATTAAATTACATCTATTATGCGAAAGTTCCATAGTGGTCCGCAGGAGCACGATAGTAAAACAATGTGTTCCTTTAGGACACTAAACCGCGAAACTCTTTCCTTTTGTAATAAAAGTATGCTTCGCGCGAGGTGCTACGAACTTGCCCCGCCCATCGACGATTTTTCGAAAGCAATCTTGTTAAATCAGCAGCACTACACACAAACTCTAAGTAAGATACACTTTCGAAAAAATATAAATCTCAAAATTAACAACACCCAAACAAAAATAAGACACCATAACCTTTACATACACGTTCCCAATCGTTACTGCTACGTATCGGGAGTGTTTTGCTACGTCCGCTAAATGCGACACGGAGTTCTGTCACAAGTCTGCACGCACCTTTACAAACCATATCGCTATTTTTAAAAAATAATTATTTGTCATGTCGTGGGTAATGCTTAATGAAATATTAGCAAGCATTTGAATCCATAAAAAATGTCATCTACCCTGAACATTTCAATGAAAACGTTTCCCTTTCAGGGGCAGCGTACGCCGCGTGCCGTCACGGGACCAAGGCTGGGATAACGGAAACGTACGACGGTCACCAGGGTCCAATCACCGGCATCAGTACGAACGCGGTCGAGGGTGGTATCGACTTTTCCCACCTGTTTTTAACCTCGTCCGTCGATTGGACGATCAAGCTGTGGAGCCTGAAGGACTCGAAGCCGATCTACTCGTTCGACGACAATGGCGACTACGCGCTGGACGTGAAGTGGTCGCCGGTTCATCCCGCGTTATTCGCCGCGGTCGACTGTTGTGGACGGCTGGACCTGTGGAACCTGAATCAGGACACGGAGGTGCCCTCGGCGAGCGTGTCCGTCGAGGGCTCGCCGGCCCTCAACAAGGTCTCTTGGACGCCGTCCGGTTTGCACGTCACCGTTGGCGACAACACCGGCAGGATCCACGTTTACGACGTGGCTGAGGTAACTTTGCCATTTTTAACCGCCCAAAGTTATACGTAGCGTCCAGAAAAAAAGAAACTCTTCAGTAACACCAAACGGCAACCAATCCATCGGGGGCGGGGACAAATTCGGATTCTACGCCACAAAGTCCAAAGTTTTTTTTTTCGGATTCTCGATAGATGGCGCAATACAATTTCCAATCTGACTTTATTATTGTGGTAAATATTTTTTTTCGTTTTAACCTATTTAATATTCTCAATCGAGCGCAAAGTGTTATTTTCAAACATCGACTTCATTAAACAGCGTAAACGCTGATGGCATTTCGACGTCATTTCTGTTGGTCACGTAGAAAAATTATCTTCTTTGGACACCCAGTTTTAAATAATTCGATATTTTAGAGGAGGGCGTGGAAAACATACATCAAACGAAGATATCATAGTATTAAAGTCAGATTCATAACATTTACCCGTCTACAGGACAAATAGGATAAATTCCTCACCACCGATGGGCTGTGATGAAGTGGCTCATCTTTGGCATTGCTGAATAATTTATTCCATATTTATCTGGCCTTTTTTTATCAATTGTGTAGTTCTCGAGATACTAACCGTTTCCGTACACACCATGTGTATTATGCACAGGGTATCCCATTTTGGACGCTTTACGGGATATATATTTGCTCATCTGAAAATAAATCTTGTTAGACACAAATCCTTTATTCAACTATGTTTTGAAGGAGAATAGGGAGCAAAGAGAAACCAATGTATTAAGTTACACAGAAGCAAACACATAGAACAAGCAGTAGGCGTACCAAAATCGACTGCCCAAAGAATTAAAAAAAAATACAAATACCATCCATACAAGTTTAAGAGTGTCGGACGCAGTTTTACCACTGGTATTTGCAACAAATACGAATCAGCGATTCTCTTGGGAGACTTGTAATATATGCCGACGAATGTTACTCTTCAAGTTCTGAAATTTTTAATCGCCATAACACGAGGAACTGGTCCACAGAAAACTACCATTTAATTTTTGAAAGGCCCAACAAAAACGGCTTGGGGTTCTGGTATCGTGATTTATTTTTTTGGCAACGAATTTATGAAGGAGGTCTTATAGCACGTAGGTTACCCAGACATTCTTAAGGAGGTCATTTCAGAAGACATTCCCTTAGTCCCTTAGTATAATATAATGATATATACCTTCAGCAAGATGGTGCCCCAAGTCATAACTCTGGACTTTTGAGACCACTTTTAGATGACAACTTCCTTCAAAAATGGATAGGTATCAATGAACCTGTAACATGGCCTCCGCAATCTCCGGATCTTTCAAATTTATTTTTATGGGGATATATGCAAACTAAAGTATAAAACAAAAAAGTATAAAACACGATACAAGCAGAATTTCGAAGGGCAATTTAACTTTAGAAACTCTACAAAGGAGACCAATAATTCTTTTAAATGACATTAAAAAAATAAGAAAAATATGCGATTTTTGCGTTCGACAAAATGGTCTCCAATTTGAAAAACAGTTTTAGGTATATAATGTTATTTCGTATTATTTAATGTAATAATGAAATATAATAAATTGAAAATTATGACAAATTCATAACTTATAAAACACATCTAAATAATAGAATTTTAAATTATTGAGTTTGTTGTATGTTACTTGGATATTGTTCTTAATAGATTAAGTATGACCTACTGCTACAAATAAAGTAAAAGGTGAAAAAATTACATTTTGAGCTTAATTTTCATAACAAATTTACGGTAATATATATTTCTGAAAAGCTTAAATGATTTCCAATTAACGTAAAAAATAATATACAGGGTGTTCAGTCTAAAATATAACTCTTCAATAACTTAAAAGACAACGGAGAAAGGAGGGTGATCCCAAAGGCGATAGTTTTAGATTTTGCCCTGTATCTCAAAAACCAAGAGGGCCATGATAATTTTGTTGACGGCATCTTTAATTTCACAAAAAAGTAGCAGCACAGTGTCGCTTAAATCGTAACTTTCTGAGATACCCCATAAAAGTGTCCAAAATGGAATACCCGGTACATTGAGGCAATTATTATTATTAAACATTATAGTAAAGTCTATTTCAAATAGGTGTGGAGATATAAAATCTCATTAACCCTTTATTAAGGAACGGGTCTCGTCAATATGATTATTCTTATTGGTTTATAATTCGTTTTAATCTGATAAATGTGAAAGACTCAATATTAGCTGTAATTAATATAACAAACTCCTAAATAACCAAATTTAAACAACCAAATGATGGTTTTGTGCAGCATGAATTATTTCAAATATAATTTAAATTTACTAGGTGATTAACTAAAAATCTTTTTTGAATATCAAATAAAAAATTGCACATCGTAGGGTAGTCCCTAATGAATGCGCGAAAAAGCAATCCTAGTATAAACGCGTCGCGTTAGTCGCTCATTGGTGAGATGCAATGTGTAAAAATGAAGTTCTCGAAATTGTTAGCTCTCTATAACTCATGATATGTCAACATGAAAACTTGGATTCACTGATTTTTTTGAGATCCATTACTAAAGTGTTTAGGTTTTGGATGTGACTTAAGCCACTTTTTTTTATCTATTCCAAGTTGTCCCACTCAAATTTGAGGATTTGTTTTTTTTTTGTCACTAAAGTATAATTCCGTCATAAAGGAATATATCAAATAAAGTAATAAGTGGTCAAATAAGAGCCAAAAAGAAAAAGACGGAATTTCTCATTTTTTGCTCGCCATCACGAGAACAAAAGGAATTTAGGTTTTCTAATTTTAAATTATAAAAACTGCGATGATTTCTATAAAGAATTGTTATTGATCTTTCAGTTTTATGTCTGGATTAATAAATTTTGCCATAAAGATTTACATATTCAGTTCCTATTCAAACGGGTTTTTATTAAAGCTTTACTTTATTTCTATTAGGGTTTTGCACATCCTAGACACGACGAATGGAACAAATTCCTCTACACCACCCAGGAATTGCGCAACAACCAAGTGGACGAGGATCTAGAAAAATTGAATTATTCAATATCTAGTTTAAATTCGACATTTTAGGGTTCTAGAAGACATTAACTAGCATGATGTGTCATAACCTCAATTCTCCCCTCTCGACGAGAAGCTATTATCGCGCCGCTAGGTTAGGCTTAATAAATGTCCAGGGTGAATATTTAGAAAACCGGGCCGGGGTGGCTTTCGACGTTTGGAAACCACCCTTTCCCATTTGTACTCACGACATAAGGCTGTTAAACGCGGGAGGAAATATTTTCGACTACTTTTGCTGTTGTGTATATTAAATAGATAATGAAAATATAAAGTAAAAATAAATAAAGGGTCATGTGTACCACGCTTTATCATAGAAAGCACTGATAAAAATTCCAACAGGCAACTGAAAACAAATATTGATATCCTTTATTTCCCATTTGGTCGGCAGTTACTCTTCTAAGGTCTACTTAATTTTTCTTGTTGATCCTGTGCATGTACATAGCTAATTTATTTTTTGTATTAACAAATGATTTACCGATTTTTTTATACTTATTGTTTTATATAATGCTGTGCCTCCGTGTACATATTACTAAAGTATTTGAAAATAAATCGGCATTTGAGAATATACGCTTTTTATTTTATTGAATTGTTTTGTTATTTGTGACTTTTTTACGCGCAATAGTCCTGGGAGAACACCTGGAAGTGTCAATGTGCTTAAATCTTTAGCTGATATTTTGTGTTGCGCTGTATAGCAGGTAATTATCTTTTTTGGGTAGTTCATTTTTAAAATATAAAATATGATGAAATAAAATAATAAAATATAAATACATTTTAATAATTATTAACAGTTCCGCCAAAGGTGGACAATAAAATTCTTACATACGTAGGTGCTAAAAGAAAAACCAGCGAACAGCAGAATGAGCGAAGAATAAAGTTTGTATTACACCGTAAAACATACTGCGCAGCAACCAGCAATTGGTGTTCAACAATTAAAGCCCAACTAACGTGCTATTTTATTTTATAATTGATTTATTATTGCTTGACGAACGCATTTTTTTTTCTATTAAAATTGCCAGTGCAATAACTAAACTTTTAAGAATTATTTTTCTTTATTTGGTAGTTGTTAGAATTTCTTAAAACGAAAATGAAAAACAAATTTTATAAACGTTTATACAACAATTTTATACGACGTTTTAGCTTATGGAACAAATTTGTTTCATATTAGATTTATACTAGTGTTATCTGGTGTTAGGTTATTCCTTTAAGAACATCTATTAAATTGTTTCGTTAGCGGAATATCAAACGTTTATAAAATTAATTTGTGAATATTTTCGTTCTGAAAATATTGCTGTCCTAAAGTAGATTGAATTCAGATAGCACATTAAAAGAATTATTTAAGTATCATGGACACTGTCATCATAAAAGTTATAAACAAAAAAATGTAAGGATACAACGGCATTTATGACTATATTTATAAAACGAATAAGGAATTCTTGTGCAATAACAAATTTGAAGATGCCGTGATAACGCCACGCGTGTAGACTTTCTTTATTATAAATTCGCAAATAAGTAAATGGGAAAAAGTTAAACAAAGTGGGGCATTTTACAGAAAAGTAAAGAAATACTATCAGAACATAATAATGTATTATATCTGCTCCCTATAAAGAGAACAAAATTATTTTGATTCAAGTGATGCTGTTGATGAATGGTATTTTACAAAACTAGCAAACTTGAGTTTTATGATTTTTACAGAGAAAACTACATGAATAATGATATTCATAACTTAACCCATCTTAGCAATGAAGGTAGAAAATTTATTATACTGTTCAATAAAAAAATTTTAGTAGTGTAGTAAATGTTTTCTGCACATCAGTATATTTCCTCTGTCATATTCTATAACCTTTGTCATTATTTGCATTTTTTTTTCAGGAAAATTAAATTTATAACACCTGTGCGTGTTTTTTACTGCAGCACGTTCCTAATTAACTGAAATATGCCCAGAAAAAAAAAACATCTCCTGCCAGTGAATAATTTATTTATTAGGAAAACTAGTGTTGCGACTGGTCAATTGACCACTCTTTAATTGACCGGTCATTTGACTACTTTTTAATTGACTAGTCAAAAAATGTTTTAAATAACATCTTGCAATTATTTAATAATAATATGTATTTTGCAATAAATATAAAATTTTATAAAAATAAATAAATGTATGTATATGACATGCATTAATGCGTTTTAATGCAGTGTACGCTATCGCATAGATTCTAACAGACACAGTTGCATTTCTTATGTTTTGAAATAAATGCAAAATATACAGGTGGAAAAGGCACTTACAGGCAAAATACACTATATATGCTGCAATCTTAAAATAATTGACACTTGAACACTGCCATTACAATTTTTACTATTTTGTTTTCCAAAGCACACTTGAATCTTAAAAATTTCGAATTTCATGTGAACATGTGATAATACCTTCATGTGAACAGTTTTGCAATATTTAATGAGTATTGATACTCACATTTTAGATATGTTTCTTGTATTTTAGCAACAAATTTATATTTATTTTGGTAAAATAATGAAAATTAAGATTTAATAATGGCAGGTATTCTGAAAATATTCCCAAAGATGCGACATTATTTCTAGTTTGTAGTCCTTTGAGTAATATAGGCTAGCAAAAAGATACTTATTTAGAAAAAATATTTTTATTTATGGTGATGCCGCAATACACTAAAATTTTCGAACGGTCAGAGAAATTATTATTATTATATTTATAAATACTTCGGCAATCTGCAGTAGGAGGGAAAGAATACTAAGCCTAGCGATGGACATAATATCATAACTTTATTTATTTAGGCAGAAGTTACAATATTAAAATAAAAAACGACTTAAATAAATACACATATTATATAACCGTGAACCTCTGAACCTGATAAACTTTTGATTCAGCATAGCATAGTACCATAGAAGTAAAAATTTGGTAGTTGTTTAAACAAAACGCCGCAGTTGCCACAAACATGCAATAAAACGAGCAAAGGATAATATTGATGGGGATACAAATACTCAATTTCTTCCAACAAATCGTGGTAAGAATAAATATTTTTGAAAAATGCATTAGGGAAAAAAACTTTTTGAATTTTTGTGCCACTATCCATATATACCCTTCTGATAAAAATAAAATTTTTAGGCAACTTTCTTTAGCGACTTTAAGTAGGTTTGGTAAGATTTTGTTTTACAAATAGCTGCAAAAATAAGTAACTATTTCCATGTAAGAATACGGGTTATAATATACATCTTTTTGAGGTAAACATCTATTATCCATTAACAAACTATATATAAGGGGATGGTTAAAAAAAAAACAAACAAATAAAAATCCTAACCATTTCAACTTAACGAATTTGAATTTTACTTGGCTCGCGCGTTACAAACTTAACAAATACCCTAAACTCCCTATCACTATCTAATGCACAGCCTTAGTTTCCAAAACTATTGTGAAATAGGTGAAGTGATTGTTTCTCAATCAAAATAAAACTTTTTTCTTTTAAACAATCCCTGTTTTACAACTCCCTGGAGTGAGAATGGAATTTTCCAGAGATGCCTCTTACATCACCGGTTTTTGGACTCCTCCCTCATTCACCACAAATAAAATTTGCAAATGTTTACGTCGTGTCGTTACACGAAGGCACTGACATTATTGGTCCATAGTAAAATTTATTGATAAAACAAAACGTTGTTACCCAAAGAGAGGGGAAGTTTTATGGCGTTCTCTAGAAAACGATAATCGCTGTGACTAGGCCCCACCCAAATCGACAATAGTATCGGACATAAATTTCTCTTCACTTTCTAGCCTTAAATTAAAAATCGAATTTCATTAATTAAGAATCTACATTCGTTTGGGCCAAGCCCCGCCTATGTAAATCTTAGCTTTGATTAATTTTATCACAATATGAACACAAAAGTTTATATATATAATTAATTACATTATATGTATTTGATAATGAAGTAATCGGTTTTATAAACCGAACCACTTAATATATTGACTTGATTTATCCCTACATGTGTTACATTACATTTTTTTATGCTCTTGCCTGAGCAGAAATAATAAATAAAATGTCGCACGCGAGCATAGCCTGGCAAAAATATACGAATTAAATCCCCAAACGTACGTTAATAATATTCTTAGGCGGTAGCCAAGTAAAATATATATATACAAGGTGAGCCGCAAACACCTCTTATCAAAAATATATTCCCTACTACTTTTGATCACGTCGAGACGTAAAAAACTACACCTTTCCGGGAGCACCCTGTATATAACTTAATATACACTTAATCGCTACAATTAGCACTAAACGATGCAACAGGCCAATAAAATGTGTACATCTGAAGAAAAAAAAAAGATATAAATGTGTTCTCGATATTTTCTTTTTGTTTCAATATAAGCATTTCATGCCAAATATATCAAATTTTTCAGGTATAAAGACACAGCCAGGGTATTTTTGAGGGTTAAATCGTACAGAGCGGGACAGATAGTGGCACCACTGATGTATGCAAATGAATTTTTTTAATTAAGTAAACTGTTGATCTAATTCCCTAAACTCACTATTTAGAATGTTTTACCAACATTTGTATGTTTATATTTAACCTGAAAAATATACAGCGGTGCAATATAAAGGGCTAAAGTTCTACTGTGGGCTACCTATCAACCCGCCCTGTATAAAATCCAACGATGTACAGGAACTCAACATCGTCGAGACTGTAAAATATAAGTATTTGTATACTATTTCCATTTTTTTCCGGGGGCATTGTTTATTAGGAACTATTTGTATGTACAAAATAGAAGACCAGTCGTAAAAAAATGTGGTACGATGGGATCTGTACTGCTCCGCCATTAAACAAATCGACTAATTCACAATCATTTGTCTGGGATAAAACAATAAAAAAATTAAAAAATATATAACAAACTCAACGTCCATCGATTCCGGAAAACAAAATTGCTGCAGCACACCTTTCCAGCCACCACGCGGAAATGCCCATAACCTCAAATTTTTTATAAACAAAAACGGAGCGGCGGATCGCAAAAACGCCGTAAGAAATGCGCATCGAGATTCGGTGTTGCGTTTGACCTACACTCGTCTATAAGTCGTCCGTGAAACTTCGCGATAATGGGGCGTTCCCGCCTTTAATTTTGTCCAGGACTTTGTTGACGTATTCCGTTGTGTGACCGGCCACCTTTGATTCTGCAACAGAAGATATACTTGATGCAATATACCAGAGTTGCCAGCTGGTTCTCGAATCTCAAAAAGAAAAAGATTTTTCCTTGCTGAAAGATCAGATTAATCGTAATAACGAACAGTAACTCTAAATACACACAATGGATGAATAATAATAAATAATGAATAATAAAAAAATTGTGATTTTAATAAAAGAAAACCCAAAGATTGCAAAGTAAGAAAGAGAGGTTTCAATATATACACCTTTATATACAACATTTGTTCGCAACCTGTATATAACTATGAAAATGTATAAAGTTAATTTTGTTATAACTAGTCGCGCCATCTACGTTTTAAAGGGTGAACCATCAATAAGTAAAGACAAAGAGGGAACTACACACCGACATTTAAAGAGCAATTGCAGTAAGTTTATGCGCATGCCTAGGTCGACGCCGAAGGATAAAGTAGTTGCACTGGTGTGTGAGTCACTTTCTTTTGTAACTTGGATTGATTTAAACCAATGGCGAACCACATAATACTAATTAAATTAGTAAGGTAACGGGAGCATTGCCGCGCATTTCTAATTAAAAAATGGAAAAAATAAGAGATAGCGCTGGCGACACCATTTTGTGTCTGTGGATCAATTTGAAGAAAGTGAGTTAAAATATTTACCTTTCAGGATTTTCTCTGTTATTTATGAAAAGTGATTGTATTTTTTATATATTCACATTTGCTTGAGGGATAGCAGAAAATACTAAGTACAACATTTTTTACAAACACGAGAACTCATTTTTTGCCTGCGATTTGTCTGGCGAACTAATGATGTGTAAATATGTCGTTTGGTAGTAGATCATACTGTTTGCTGTATGAATTTATGATATTGCCCATTTTTGTAATCAAAAATTAATCGAGAACTGTTTGCCGCATTAGCAAGCTAAGCAATAAAACAGCTTAATCATATTTGGATGTATTAAGCCAATGACGAACAAATTTTATTAACACTAATACCGAGAAAATATTTTTTGGAAATGCTGACAAACATATTTTGTATATACAGGACGTCAAATATTCAGTTTTTTTTTCTGGATCATTATTTCCAATGCTAACCTGAGCTAGTTAATTAAAAAGTAAGTTTTTCTGCTGATCATATATGCATTTTAAATATAAATAAATCAATCTGTCAATAGCAGGCTTGGCTTGCTTTTACGATCTAGAATCTTTAGAATTTAAGAAATCACTATATAAACTTTTTATGTTGGCGCCACATCTATTTTAAATGCTTGAAACAAGTGACACCAAGCAAGCAAGTTTAAAAACAAAAATAATGTAATTTGAAAAACGAACGCTTCCGATTTTTATAAACTAATAAAATCATATGGAATACTTACTTGCGCAGCCCTTGGAGAGTTTGTCAATATTCCTAAACAGACCGTCCTGATCCGAGTTTGAGTCATTCAATTTCAACGCAATGGCCTGTTTTATTTGCTGAATAGTGTTCAAGTAGCGCCCTGAAATGCAGTTCCCGAAAAAATCAACCCAACATAAAAAATAACAGGGATTTTCTAATCCTCAATCTACAGCCAAGTTGCAGGTCCGTACAAATTGAAAAATTATTTAAGGTTAAGAAATTGAGTATTTTAAAAAAAGGTCTTTCTTTTACCAACTTCTGCCAAATAGATCACTTAAAGCTTTAATTAATTTCTCCCTCTTTGTCCAAAGATGTTGAATCAAAGTGGAGACCTACAATGTTATTTATTATTGGTAAATATATGAACAAAAATGTATTTACTAAAAAATTCATTTTCTTTCATTAAATTGAATAGAATTTAAAATCTTTAAAAACAAAATAAGTATAAACACAAAATTAATTTTACGCAAATTAGAATAAGGATTTGGAAATATTGTTTAATTTAATTTTTAAAATAAATAAGTTTAAAAATAAAATGCATTTTTTTTAAGTGCACTTTTTTTATGTATAATAAATACCACGAAGCACTTTTTCTGAACCACTTATGGGTAGGTGCTGAAAAATGCGAATAGCTTTGTTTACATCAGGGAGGTCGCAGTGTTGCCGAATTGACAATTTTCCTGAAAGTTTATGATTAATTCACTTGCAATTGGATTTATGAATAAGTTGTTGGGTCTCCCCTTTGTTTTCAATTCTTTGTTTTTGTCTCTACTATATTATCCTGTCAAAAAAAGGGTAACAAAAGCAACATACTGTGTTCAGTCTCGAGCCCGCTGAGCTTAATCTTGTTCGCCTCGTGCTGGGCCTTCTTTTTCAACCGGCAAGCCCTCGACGCGAGTTTATTCTTCTCTTTCCTCGAGTTGGGTCTCACGTTGAAGGGAAGCTCGCTGACGGGGGTCATGTCGTTGATGATCCGTCCCAGCTTGTCCAGCTCCTTGCCGATATTGTACAGTTTCCTCGGATTCGGAGTCAAGTCGTTGCCGTCACCCTTCCTCGCCTTTCCGCTATGCTTGATACCCCTAACGGAGCAATCGGGACTAAATACCGGATCTGTCACTTCGTTCAATATGTGCGGGTTCTCCATTTTCGATTTCATGATGAGCCGCTGACCTTTCGGCCCCTTCGCCTGGACGTTGTACTGCCAAAAGTATTTCTCCTTCTTGCTCACGTGTTTCCCGCCGACGTCGTCCTCGTCGTCAGTGTTGTCCGACGAGTAGTCCTCGTAGTGCCTGTCGCTGTCATCGTCGCTGTCGTACTCGTCGTGGGAAAAGTCTTGCGGATCGGGACTCAGAATACCGCCGGTCGACAACGACGAAGTCGAGCCCGCCTCCGCCATCGAGCTGGTGGACAGCAAGTGCTTCCTGGGCTCCCGCCTCTGCCAGATTTGCTCGAGGCCGAGGTGGGTGGGCGCCGACGACGATAGCCTCGACGTACTCCGGTACATTTTGACATTGGGAGATGTTAGGGGAGACTCGCGGCTTGGCACCGATTGACCTAAAGCAAGATGGAAAACGAATTTGTATCAAATTGAAGTCTTAAAACCACCGGATAAAGAAAATACAATCACATTTATCACTGAACAATATATATGTATTAATAACCATCCCATTGCAGTTCAAATATCTGTGTAAAAAAAAACAATCTAGGTCCACACTTTTTAATTGCATTTACTTTTACTAACCAACTAGGTTTTTCTTTTTCATCTTCTTCTTTATATGGATCATCTAGGTTATATAAATAATAGCATCTCGTTACCGCCGCCCCTATTTCACAGCAACTGACCGGTCTTTATGATCTATGTTAGGGCATGACAACTAACCAATATAATGCTAATGGTTTATCTATGCTTATAACCTCTCGCGATCCGCAGCTCGAAAGCTTTTATTATAGACATTGGTTTCCAACTGTTTTCCGCCTTCCGGTGTTATTCACATTTTGTGCTTGTTGTTTAGAGGTCAGTAGCAAAGTGGTAGTTTTTCGAGTAAGTTTTAGATAATGCCCATCATCACCAGATATTATCTTCAATATACCTATTGTTTTACTATGTGGTAGTCGGATGTTTTGTTTAATTTAATGAAATTAAATTTAATTAAATTAATTAAAATTTTAATTTACATTTTAAATTAAATAAATTTAATTTAATTCAAAATGAAATTGACCTAGACGGAAACCCAATTTGCGTCAAATTAAACTCTTAAAATCACTAGATAAAGAAAAAATAATCACATTTACCACTGAACGAAATAATACAGCCAATCAAAGAAGTCTCGATACACTAAATATTTTCTGAAAGCAGAACTGAAAGTAAGAATTAAATAAAAACAAATGCTATATTTAAATTCAATAACTTGTTCTTTAATAAAAAAATTAAAAAAATCTCCATACAAATACTATATTATTATTATAACGAATAATTTGTGAGTGTAAAATATCGTTTAACAATTTAATATTTTGTAGCCCAACCTTATAGCTATCAGCTTATTCGGCATACTGGGGCCAACGTAATTTCAAAATGAGGCATTATCACGTGACCGGACCACGTGCTGTCCCATTCTGAAACTATGCGCACTCTACGAACGAGTTTTCCGGATATTTCGATTGGAATATTATTCCATTCTTCTTTAACTCGAGTCTTAAGCGCTTCCTTAGTGAAAACTTTTTGCGCAAGCGCCGCTTTAACATATGGTGACCAAGGAGAGGTACACAGTGGTCACGAAGGTAATGGATAGATTAAAGAACACTCAACTAGATGATGATTACGGTGCTCACCCAAAAAAATATACTAGAACCCAACGACTTGATTTTTTTTGTTTCGATTTTGAATATTTATTATTAGGTAAATATTTTTCGTAAATTTGATAAGATACCGACGACTCACGGATTATTTTTCTTTTAATTTTTGTATCTCATCTTCATTAATATCAATTTTATCAACAACCAATTGAGAATTGACATTTGGTGGCTGTTCTCATGGAGGAATAGGAATTTCTACCTAGTTTTAACTCGCACTTAATTTTTGAGATAATTTTCTAAACGAGTAGATGGATTTTAAAAAACTAAGCATCAATGTTTAGGGAATTAAAAGCTTGGCCCTCATTTTCATTTTGAAAAATCCGCGAGGTTAGTGCTTACTTAGGACTTTTTCTTTCAAAATTAATCCCTCGACAAACGCACTTGGAGTGTCTTTCCAACCATCAGCGAAATTTTTTAAAAAAGGTGTCCGACTAATTTTAGCTATCAATGGCAATCAAAATGGGAGATAAAAATTTTCCATCACGCGTCGCTATTTAAAAATGAATGACACCATTCTGAAGTACGTATTGAAAAAATTGCAATTTTTTGAAAAACAAGGACGTTGTAAGAAAATATGTTGATCTTGATAATAAGATACTTCATCGCTACAATAGGAAACGATCTAATAAACCCGCCCTCCTAGCAACTCCATTAAGACAACGTTCGTTCTTGACAGTTTAGCTGTCAGAGCAACAGAAATTTATGCCCGTCGACCGCTGCCCATTGATTTAGAAAACGAATTCTTTATGTTTTATTCAATCGAACTATTACCATTACTAATAACGTGAGCACATTCTTATCTCGACAATGTATCAAGGCCATTGGTTTTTGATAAAATTATATTACTACGAACATTTTCTGAATGAAGTTGTGAACTACAATTTGCACAAGGCTTTTGTTATACCGGATGGGCGATTCGATATTGCGCAACATGGAATACGTAATTTCGCTCGCTAAATAGTTAATCAAATAGAAATATTTTAACGTCTTGTATCTCCGGGTTTCGCTCTTAACCAAGTTTCTTTCGAGATTTGTCTTACTAATATTTGCTTTTTTTTGGTTTTGTATCAGATTGGAACTCCAACTGAATAGTTAATTGCTGCGCATTTAAGTGCCGACATCAGTAGTTGATCAGGATTAAAGTACAGTAGAAATAATTACATCGCCAGTCAAGTAGAATTTTCTTAATTAATTCATTCCTTCTGCGCTAATATGATGGTTCATGGTTTTAGGTATAGTCTAACTCAATCTCCGTGTTGGCTTTCGGTGGAGCCTCCCCAATAAAACTCGATGTTATTGCCTATTGTTATCCGATAAAACCATTACCAAAAAATTTATTCTTACTTGAGTGACAAGGTGGGGTGGGCTAGGTATATTTCTTTCTTCCTGATATATTTCTTGAGTGTTGTTCACTTGTCATTTGTGGCAGAGCTGAATAATCGATTTTACTGTGCGTCATCATCTTTCGAAGATGCAAAAGTTCTTGACCAACTACTAAATCTGTGTTTACGTCCCACATCGTAATATCAGAACTTCAGGAAGAAAAAAACTTATATCTACTTTTTATCATTTACACCAATAAAGCTTTTAGTTATGATTACTAACGCCCTCTACTACGTTATTTTGTCAAAGCTGGTATTTTCATGAGATCCGCTGATCCCCTAGGAAATTATGGATATAAAAAGCCCAACATCAAACGTTTTGGTGTTTGTGGTATCGGGAAAGCCCCTCTTAGTGCTGTTGGACTACTCTCAATCAATTGTTGTTGGCTGTTGTCCACTTGTTGGGAGATGTATCGAAAATGAGGTTAGGGATCATAGACCAGAGTACTATTTCAAGTGTTATCTGTGTCTCAATAGATCGAACCAATTGCACCATTATGTCATGGTAAAATAAGATGTTTGATTTTTGACAGATTTTTGAAACTTTTGCGTTGTTGTTTCTTGTTGCGCAATTATTCCACTAAGCCAGGAGGAAACTCTTTGACACTACTGTATCCAATTTTCTTAAGCAAAGACAACAGTAAGAGTGGTGTGTAAGGGATGTGCTCTGTGGTGTTTGTAGGCATTTAACACGCAAGTCTATTTGTCTTTCCAGCCTGACGAACAAAATTAAACTGAAGCAATTATAAAGGGCGCTTTTGAGGGGCTCAAAAAAGTAACTTGCCACTTAATGTGAACATTCGTTAAAGTTAAAAACTCAGATAATTGATTTCTATTTGTCTAGAAATTTAAGAATGAAAGCATTAAGGTTTAAACCCTACATAAGTAAGTGTATCCAAAAAGCGCATATCCACTGTTCCTCTAATAATTAGACTTGCAGACTCCTTGATTTTAAATTACACTTACTCCTTTGTTTCCATAATATTTTATTGACTCAAAATAATGAGGATTTTTTAAAATAAAATCAAATTTAGGACTGACGTGCGTACGCCTAGTTTTCCACTTCAAGACTATATCTCCTCGTCCTAAATTATGTGAACATTTGTTTATATACAAAGTTTTCCGCCTGTTCAACCGGTTGCCATGTGATTTTAAAGTTGTAAATATACTTTCAAATACATTGTTAAAAATTACAAAACCTGTGCCCTATTTGTTCATGCTTGTTAGGGATATCCGGTTACATGAACTGTAACCAGTTGATATGATGTTTTCCTTTTTTTTAAATTGTATGTATGTAGTAAATTGTATCTTTTGAATTTGTATGGTAAATAGACCTTATATTAAATACTGATCACGTTTGGAACATTGTAGTTCAGATACCTCAGTTTGCTGAATTGTGGTTGATCTTCGAAAGAGTATTATTGTTTTCCCAGTTTAAATTTATATGTTGTCGAGTTAACTAAAAGATGATAATGGGAGATAAAATTAATCATATTACTACTATTACTACTATTTTTGTCTGTCGTCTATTTATTTTACTACTTTTTAGTTTTAGTTTCCGATATTGTGTAGCATAAAAATTGTACCATGTTTGAATGTAAATTTTTATTTTTAACTAATATAACAAAAAGTTAGAGACATGTAGAATAATGGAGAAAATTCTGTTTCCATCCGAACAGAGCTAGAAATCACTTGCTTCCGAAGGTCGATTAGCGGATGCATATAGAATACCTTGAATAAACATTTTGAGATGCGTTACTGCCTCTATAGCACTAATTTTCTTTTCAATCTACTTTGTTAGTGCTAGTTACCGTTGTAATATTCAATCTATTAGTAAAAGAGTGGGAACGTAATGGGTTCAATATAGATCAATGTTTATGTTGGCTGCAGGGCAGTAGTATCAATTTTATCATATATTATCTAATAGCTATAATGATAAAAACGTTCGAACATAGAGACTGCATTATCGAACGAGGTTAAAAGTAGCTCACCCAGTAGAGAGTTCTCGGGGGAAACATATTTGTCCTTTTTCATGAGCAGATCGTGCAACGTGCTGTGCTTCGGCTGCATGGTGTGAATGTGTAAAGGAGAAGACTGCGAGTTGATGATGATCGACGAATTGGAGCTCGCCGGACTAGCTGGCGACAAAGCAGATACCGGCGTGCGAGAGTTGAAGTCAAAATTGGGCGTGTTCACGTTAGATGCGATCTCCAGTTCTTTGTAGAACAGAGTTGCTGAAACGGAATGGACCCTTAGAATGTTAATTGAACAATATAACAAAAATAAGCCTGTTTTTTCATATAAGGAAATCGAGATACAAGGTGTCAAAATTTATATAAAAGAATCGATTTTGGTACAAACTTGGCACGCTTGTCATCGCAAGGATTTTTATTTTGCGTTAAACAAAATAAAATTATTCAAGCCAGTGGAGTCCCACAGGGTGATCTAATTGATATTAACAGGTAAAATCATGCTATGCTACTGATTTTTTGCAGGATTTTCACAATCATTGCAATAAGAATAACATTATTTATTACTTTTTACAAAACTTCTGGATTCCTCCTGCGTCGGTTTCAGTCAAGCTCTGAAGAAGCCAACAGGATGATTGGCGAAACGTCAGCAAGTTCGACTCAGCAAAAACAGACGCAGGAGGAATCCAGAAGTTTTGTAAAAAGTATTACAGTAGCCTGTGGAAGTTTCTTTGAAAAATTAACATTTATTTAAGGTTTTTCATTGTTTCTAAAAGCTTTGACACCCTGTATATTGAAAACAAAACAAGTTAGGACACATGCTTGCGTGAAAAACTTATTTTTAACTGGTAAGTATTCCCCTAAAATATTTCTATGGAATTGAATTGAATCACCCCGTATTAATTGAATTACCTTTTAAAGCATAATCGAACGGTACTAATATTCACATTGTTCTTGAGCTATATTTTTTCCTTTCTGCTTTCAAAGGCCGGACCCATTATACCAGAACAATATCAGTAAATTTTTTTAAATAAATCGTGAAAATTTGCATTCGCTATATTAGCTAATCTGTTAGGGCGTTCTATATATAGCCAGTTTTCGTATTTGTGCTAATAATCACTTTTTTGAGCTTTTATTTGATTCGGTTTTTAAATAAAGAGCATATTTGGTTGTCTATAGTATTTACAAATTTTTGATCTTTAAAATGCAATGCCTAGTTTTGCGGAAAAGCTATTCTTGAAAAAGGCAAAAAGTGCTGAAACTAACCAAAACAAATTTGTAGGCTATAATCTTGTATTTTTCATCATTTTTAAGAAGTTTAACATTTTAGGGAAACACTTTTGGCTATTTGCCCACAACATTCCCATTCCCTAAAATTCAAAAATAGTGACCCAGTTTTATATTTTGTATTTTAGAGCAGGGATTAGAAGAAATACTTTTTGCCGACGAGATTCGAAGATAAGTACTGTACTGAGTAGCAGCAAATATACACTTTTTTGTACTAGACAACTAACAAAGAAAAAAAATCTAAAAATAACTCAAAAATTTACATTTCCATAATATCTACATATTGCAAAATATAAAATAAAAATAAACCGAGTATAAAGTGTGTACTGCGCTACATAAAATTGATTTGCAATAATAAGTTCTATTTAATTCAATTATCTCGATTGATTCTGAAAAATTGTTAAATGCTATTCATGCGTACTTTGGACCGCCTTTTCCGCATCTTCCTCAAAATTGCATTCTATATACGAGTAATAAAGTCTTTTTCGATAAGATAATTGCCAGCTGTTCACTTTTAAACCCGAAAAATATGCATATTAGTTGACTGTTGACCTCGTCGGTTCGTTAGCTAGGATATAATTGCAAATCGATTAACTTAAATTAGTCAGTTGTTTCGGATTCTTGTGATAAATGGAAAATGTTCAACGCGGTTCACAATCGGTTGGTATTTAAAGCACATAATGTAGTTTTATATTCTTTCTGGTTTTTATCAATCCGTTTATCCTTGGCAATATTTAAGTTGTAAACGTTATTTTATTAATTATGATGAATTTTGAGTAGTCTGTTAACCTTGATTTTGAATTATACGTTTGCTCGGGTAGAGTCAAGGATTTTGGCAACTGCTGAAATAAATTGCATAAGATTTTTTTTGTGATATATTTGTCAATTTAAAATTTTGTATGAAACTGAAAATGTATGAAAACCCTAATTTTGATAAAAAAAAATTGTCAAAAATTTCTGCATGTATAGCCATGTCATATAGACAGTTGAAAAAATCTGTCCCGGTCGCAAAAATTTGGCAACTGGTTTTATTTTTTTAATCACCACTTCCCTGATCGTGATTTAATTTCAAAATAATACAGGGTGTCCTGAAATAACGTTCGAATGATTTAACACCTCAGGAAATGCATAGTTGTCAAGATACAGGGTGTCAAACTTTTTAAAAAATCTTACTTTGTTTTCAAGATAAAATAATAAATAAACCAATTTATTGTATGTAATTGGACATAAAAATTTTAATCTAGTTAGTGATAAATTAGCCTTTTATCACCACACATAAAACTGTTAGTAAAGATATTAATAAAAAATCGATTAGAATTTGTTGCCAATTAGGAACATGTAATAAATTGTATTAAAAAAAAACGACGCAAGACACGAAAAAAATTCAACAGGCCAAAAAGTTGGAGTTTCAATTGCTAATTATATAAAAACGTAAAAGTCAGTGGCGCATATGCTTTTGTAAAAAAATTCAGCATAATTTTAATTTAATTAATGCTAATTGTTACAGCAAACATCAATAAATTTCAACAAAATCGGTCAATGTATATTTAAGATTTTATTTTTCCTCTCTAATTATTCGAACATTGCATTAAAATTATTTAGTCATTTTTTAGATGTTAACTGTAATGCATCAGCTGCGAATGATTTATAATTTGTTTTGCATTGTTTTAATAATTTATGCAAAATACGCAAAAAATTTACTTGCTTATAGCAGTAGTTAACAATTTCATACTTTAAAAAACTCAACTTATAGATGAAAAAGAAGGGAAAAAGTGACAATGCAATAGTGCAATTTTGTTCTGAAAAAATTTATTATTTTTTTTAATTTAGGTTTTTTTCCAAAATTGTTTGGTATTTTCAACTGCGTATGTTATAGTATGAAAACGTCCAACTTTCAGAGGAATGGAAAAGAAACAGATAATCAAAAGACGTTGCCACTATAGAAAAAGGAACAAAATGGAAGGTAAAACAATGTATCTATAACACTAAATTTTTCGATTTAGTGGGTCGTAGCATGTCACACATTCCGTTATCATTTGTGATTGGCCAGGCCATAAGCAATGCGCAAAAATAAAGTTAAATGCACAAGTTTCACAGGGATGCTCATGTATTGCCACAGAACACAAAAAGCTAGACCGACCAAACTCGTCACATTCTGAAACATAGTCAACTTACCCTGCGGAGCAGACGATGAAGCACCAATAACTTGATTATTATTTATAAATTGGTTGATACTGTTTTGACCAAACAAGTTGGCCCCCCTGTCCAACGTCGCATAATTCAAGTCGTTGGGCAACAGCAAGTCGTCAAAGTTGAAATCGCCCAAAAGATTCTCGTCGTTGGCGTTCAGTTCGGCCAGGGTGGGACCTTGGAACAAGTCAGCTTTGTCCACTTGGAAAATGTCGTCTTCGTCCATGTGAATGAGCGCCTCTGATTTGAGCATTTCGTCGTTATTCAAGACCCGGTTGCCCCAGGTGGACGATGTGTCGTAAGTGTTGGTAGGTGAGAATGTTTGGTCATTAGTGAAGCCTAAAAATGTATTCCGTTTTCAATGATACATTTAGCGTGATACTGAACTAATGTCATCTTCAATCTGAATTTCCAAATTAACTATACTTAGAATTACCACGCGACGACTAATGCTTAATTTGGTTTACCGAATATTACTATGACCGAAAAGTTACTGTTTATGTTAAACTGCAAATTAGGTCCTCCTTTCTTTAAAGCTGGGATTAATCGCCATATGAGTTACGTATAACTGCATAGTGAGTCACACTTTGTGTGTGCGTGTTTTTTTTTACGAAATGTTGAATCGGCTTTAAAAATTGCATCATATTTTTAATGGCAACGACGTAACACACCAGACGCGACTGCTTTTGTTCTTCCCGCAATGTCAAGCTTGCAAGTTCGCGTGAGTCCGCAAATTCAACCGCTACGCTGTAGTCTATGGTATTGTATTATTTGTGGTCAATGATTCCTTTAACTATGTCCGCGATTTTAATTGTTTTAAACCGTCAAAACAGGAACTTGTACTTTTCAGAAAATAATTTCAATGTTGATTTCATTTAAGGGGGCATGTGCACATCCAAAAGATACGTGAAGAATTTGGAATGAGATAACGTAGGAAGAATTTGAGATCGCGCCCGAATGTACTGTGATTTTCCCAAAGTCTGGCGAAAACGGAAGTTATTAGTGTGTGTGTTTCTAGCGTCTTTTTTACAACAGGCAAGCCTGATTTGTTTTTTGTAAGTTTACGTTGTCTCGAAAGTTAATACTAGCATAACAGCGGACAAATACCTACAGAAAGACCTACCTATAGATCCATATAAGGGTGTCTGAGAATTTTCCATATCATATACATATTCCTTATATTCTGGTGGATCCCTTCGCAAAGGGATGGGCACACTGGCGGACGTGATCATTATGTTCGATTCATTTGCTATAGGTTCTTGTTTGATTGTTATTCCGGGATCGAGATTGAAGTCGGTGGGTATGTAATCACCCATCGCTCTGTAAGACGGAGAATTATTTTAAAGACCAATGGCGTTGGAAAAAGAAAAGACAAAAATTAGTACTAAAAAAATTTGGTTAATAACGGAACTTTACTGGGTAGTTTTTTAACATTAGGCCTCACTAACTTGAGTATAAATATATATTCGCCGGATTGAATTTTTCCAGAATAATGATTATTAACGATAGTTACAGAATATTACTGATTTAACTGTTGATACATCTGAAGCATGCAACAAACCGCTCGAACTATAAGAAACATTATTGTAATTTTCGCGTATACAATCATGCAAACGATCCAGACTGTAATTTCTAGTTTTGCCATTGAATGTAATACATCTTTTTCACAAAATTGGCAGCAGAAAGTGACTGTGTTTTTCGTAAACGCAGTCAGGCCACAAAGCAACGGCAACAAGTAATCTGTGGAAAGTCCACGGTAAATTCAGTTTGAGATTCTCTTTTTTTTAATACAAATTTACAAAATTAATCCAATATTGTCTTAACCCAACTTATAATGTAGATTATTATCCAATGACAGAACTTTAAGCATAGTCAGTCATGATATGTTGGGTAGATGGTTACACGAAACCACAAATGGACTAGACTGTGTTTTTGAGTTAGTCTTTTTATATTTTTGAATAAATATTAAGAAAATGTTACGTACATTATGTTGATATATCATAAAACAAAATGTATTTGTTATAGTTATTTATATTCATATATAATATGATCCATGTTGTCTTCAGCCGTATTTGAATGTTACAATAACTGTTTAAAGTTTACCTTATGATCCATGTCTAGAATTGATAGAATTAGACTTTAGAACAGTTTATTGATACTGAAGTTGATAAAAAATAAAGAACTTAAAAAGGTGTAATCTATTTCTTTTTATTTTTTTTGCAGTTCGCTGTATGCGTTTATAACTATTCCTAAATTGTTATCGCGTGCAGATCTTCTATATTGCCCATACCAGTGCCCATCTCAATCGACCAAATTTATAACTGAATACTATGTAGTGTTGCTAATGCCGTTTCTAATTACAACTTTATTCCTTAAGCCAGAATTGGAAACCTTTATTTCTAAATTCTCATGAGTCCTTCAACAATCCTTCAATAATTGAATTTCATTGAACGTAGAGCTGTTACGCTTTGTCAAGCGAATTAGAAAAAAAATGAAGTGGTCGGTTCCGGACTAGACGGTCATCGCAGTGTAGCTCAGTAGTCAAATACCACAGCAAAAAAAAAATGGGGGTAACGTGTGACGGTATATCGTAAAATATTTATCTTCTGGAGTTTTCCACTAAAGCAGTTAGGGACGCAAAAGTCTGAAAGTGCTTATGAAATCACATTTTCCTACAGCGATTTCAATAATAGACTTTTCGGTGGGCGTATCGGATTTGCTGCCTGAACCAACAAAGTCACAAAGACCGGGAAAGCGGGAGGATGGACCATTAACCAATTTTAATCATTTAAATCACTAAAGGTGGATTCCTCAAACTTGCTGACATTTCGCCAATCATCCTCAGTTCAGTTCTCAAGAAGCCAACAGTAAATAGTATTACAGTAGCCTGTGGTAGTTGCTTTCAAAAATAGATACTTGTTCAATTATGGTCCAAACTACAAAGTCAAATAGACCCCTAAACCCATTTCATTTCATTTATACTGAAAACCTTAGAAATGCTACTGGATAATTATATCAGTATGTCTATTAGCGAAGTGCAACTTTACTAGTAATCTCTCATAGAGGAGCCAAAGAACTATTAAAATCATGGTTAAACAAAAAACTGAAAAAATTTGCCAACAAGTCAGTTCTTACAGGACTGACACCGTCGGTAGTAAATTAGTAACTTACACTTTTCTTCGTATTTTTTCAAAGAACGCAAAATATCTGGGAGTCACATTTGACGACCAAAAATTTGACACAAGGAACTTGGATAAGAATGTGAGGACAGTTTAAACCTAAAAATTACACTTTGGTTGTGCTTAAAAGTAGTAAGACCGATGATAGTATATGGAGCGATTGTCTGGCGGTGGCTGCTGGACGAAGCAGCTGAGTAGCTTGCAAAGGCTAGGGATCTTTGTGTTACAGCAGCTATTATATTATAGGCCTGAAATCCCAACCACACAGACGACTCAAAAAATCAAAAAGGAGTAGGAAATGGAATATATGAACCTAGGACGATGATAATAATTTCTATTCAAGTTAGTATGCTAGCAACAGTATTGCAAACACTTGGATACTGTGCAAGAGAAATATACATGGCAGAGATGCGTTAGAACCTGCAATAAGTGCAAAACAGCAGAATAACATCCGAATTCGTTTTGAATTAGATGAGATAGTACCAGGGCAAGATAACGAAACCGAATGAATGGAAACAAAATTCCCGCTATGGTGGTAGACCTGCTAAGCCAGGAAAGGAAGGCCTTAAGAATAGCGGCAGGTCTACTGATGGGACATTTCCGGCTTAAGAGGCATCCAAGCGTAAACACTGAATGTAGATTCTGCCAAGAGGAGGAGATGGCTACACAAGTGTTATACCAACTGCTTGATATAATCAAAGCAGAGGCAACAAGCTACACCAAGAACCCACCATTTTAGCTGTGGAGTCTAATCAACCATGGAGGGAGTCACAATAGATCGTTCGGGTGGCAGTGCAACAACTTTACAGAAATCGATAAACCTATGAAGCACTATCATGATATCTTTGGAAGGCAACTCTTAAAAAATGTAAAATGCAAACCCCTAACTTCCACATCTACGGACACGTGTGTGCAAGCCGAGAGAAGGTCGCAGGTCAGTCAACCCCTTGCCATTCCGTTGGAACGATTCCAAAATATGCCGAACCGTTCGCTGGCGATGCGTTATTTACAATACGAATTCTTTTTTTTTGCGATAAACAAAGAAAACTAATCGCTGCGGAAATTTATTTGCCATTACGGGCCTCCCCGGTAAGCCCGAGGTTGATAAAAACTGTTCGTTTCGTAATTAGCATCCACGTGTCTATCCCAACACTTTGCAAGGTTATTCTTTGTAAGTATTAATCGGAAAACCCAGCTCTCGCATACACATATATCTTTCGTCAATGTTGCATTCCCGCCTGTTATACGTATACCACTAACTAGTTCTGGTACCAGAGCCTTAACCACCTAACAATTTGTTTACATTAATTTAAGATGAGTCACGGCGCAACTAATTCTCGCAATTTTCGTCACCAACGGTGGCAAATATTTATCCAGGACTTTTATATTGCATATATATACGTAAGCGCTAGATATAGGTAGTTATTTTTTTCCGCGATATTTTGCGTTTGCGACCGCACTAGACGAGGATCAAAAATGTGTCGCGGAGAAACAAAACAATTACGTAGAAAAGAACGCTTTCGCGAAAACAACACGTGCACGTGGTAGAGGCGACGGGCAGGTAGTAGTGGGTAGGCTTTCCCCCCTGCGAAAATGAAAACAAACTTGTTTACGTACCGCCGGACGGAGAGATCGATACGAATATTTACCTGTGAGAGAGACAAAACAAACGCGTATCGTAAACAAATACGGGAAAAACTTACATGGCCTGCATGACGTGCATCGAGACTGTGCGAAAATCACGGCGGGCCATCCGAAACTGATGTAGGAAGCGAAACGATACTCACCGAAAACCTTGAAAACACCAATATCTATTTAAAAATATAACACATGCCACTCATAGTCAGGACACCATGATAATGATTCGACAATAATCGGTCGTACGGTCGAATCGGCGATGACACTCGCTAAAACTTGTCGCAAACGGTCGCCGAACGGTCAAGGAAGCGAGGGGCACACGATATTTCGACAATTTCCGACGATATTTGACGATTTTCGCCAAAAAACGGGAGACACTCAAAGGTCACATGTACAGCGTCGACTGGAGATTAACCAATCGTGCGTGCGCGAACGCCAAGTCGACCAATCGCGCGACGGTACAGACTTTTCAGCAAAATGGCAACCAAAACATCAATATTATGTTGTCGTTCCTTGTCCCGAAAATAATATCGCACTCCAAAACAATCCCGAGACTCAATTCGCGCAATATCTTTTAAACAACAACAACAAACGAATGTTATTGTGCCGGTGTTACAGCAAAGGTTTTCGTGCATGCGGGTTTCGCGCACATTCGCACCGACGTCACGGAGATTTATATCTAAATTCTTGATAATGAACACCGGACGACCTTGAACGGTCCGTCCACAAACTATGAACTGTAAACACCACGTGAACATGGAAATCGAATTCGTCGTGATAAAAAGCGACGTAAATACGGATGCGGCGACATCTGTCGCCCGCAGATGGAGTTCCGTAGCGGTTTCTTTCGAAATTCGGGCACCGCGATAATAGAGAGCGCTGTCGGCTTGTCCATAGATCAGTTTAAAAATGCTTTAGCAGTTTAAGTTAGTTGGTTTATAACCAAAAATATAGTGCATGTTTTGGTTTGACGTTTTAAGGTTTTACAGTACCTTAACCGCAGACCTTCGCAGGACAGTGGTAAAACCCATCTCAAGAGATGTTTATTCTGCATTAAGTAGGGCTTGGCTGAGATGAGCCATAACGAATATTTGGAGAAACTTTAAATTTTTATTTGAAACGTAAATGGATCGTTTTAAATTTTATCAAGCAATGATATTGAGGTATGATAATGAGGTATTTTCGAATAAGTAGAAGCGTTTATTTTAACGTTAGGTCATATGTATTATTCTTAAGAGTTTAATCTAAATTGCAATATGTTTCTACATATTAGGGAGGTATTTGACTGTGATCCTTTCAGTAAGTACGTATTTAGGTACCCGTGTCTTAACATTGACCCTGCAAAGCTGTTTTCACTGGATAGTTCAAAAGGTAAGGGTAAGTACCTGTCTCTATTTATCTTACAGGTAAATTTGAAAATAACCATTTTTATTTTGTGTGCCTGTCGATGAACAATATTCTTCTTGTATTTTTGTGTTTTCTACGTAGTTCTTCGATTCATTTTTAATAATATAGGTTATATATAATAAATAAAGAATTAAACAATTAAACATTTTTTGAAGGTTCATGTTTTTTAACATTTTAAAATGTGGAGGCCATGGAGTGAAGCAGATGTTTCCCTTTTAGAAGAAGATATGGAATTTGAAGACGAAGTGGAGATGGTAGTCGAACCTAACGAAGACGAACTACCTGAACAAATAAAGAAACTGATGCATTTGTCTTCGGATGCTAAACAAATTGTTTTGCATGTTTACAATTTTATAAGAAATTCAGAAGGGTAAGTAGGAGCAGCAATTAAATCAAGTGACATGACCAAAGTTCCGAAGCCAACTGAAAGAAAAATTGTTGCAAATGGCATAGTCAAGAAGAAAATTCGAGAAGATGCTGGTACTTCGCGACTTTTTAAAGAGCAACACGTTGATGTAATTAGTATAATCTACGACGCTTATCCAGTGTTTTAACCGATTTTTTAAGTGACTTATGCTTTATTATTATTATTATATTTATTATTTTGTATATTAATAACGATAAATATAACGCAATAAATTCTTACTTTGTACTAATGTTTTTATGTATGTGTTTCAAGAATTGCTCGGCGAAAAAGATTGAAAACATACTTATGTCCCGCTTGTTAGTAGTGTAAATTCCTAGGACGGTCCTGGAATGGTTACGGGTGCGGGTCTGTTCGGCAGAGTGTTCTATAAGGGGCTGCGGTTTTGGAGTAATAAACAGTAGGCAAAGTTAATGAAGGGGTCGATTGTAAAAGCACTATATTTCTGGTGGAACTATGCTCGAAAGTAATTTAAAGTAAATGTAGATTCTGACAAATATTTGTTAGCCTTAAAGGCTACCCAAAGGATCCATTCATACGAAAATTGGTAACTGAAGAAAAGGCTAAGATATCAAATTTATCAAAGTTAAATTATTAAAACATTTGAGAAAGGAACAATTAAGTTAATTTGGTATCGATAACTAACCAAAATCCCACATGGAATGATAAGTAAGCAGTGAGGACAGGTAGGCTTTAGAACAAAGTGCTTTTGATTGCTGTAAAATAACTTCGTTAGTTGTTAGGAATTGCAGTATATTTTGAATGCTTGATGCAGAGATGAACGATTATACATCGTACTCTTTGAGACCATCAAAACTCTTGTAGCAATTACTTCAAAAATAATAATTTTTCCCAACTTCCAACCTTTCCTGGCATCCTAGTTTATGCTTGTTAATCCATATGTTATTATGATATAGTCCTACTCAAGAGCCACAATGATATCGTGTTTTGAAATTAAGGTAGTGAAAGCGAATTTTTGTAAATATTTTTGTGTTCGAACTGATGTCCTAATTCGCGTTTAAACGCCTTAGTCGGTTAGATTTGCTTCCTAACGTTTCGCTAGCACTAGTAGTTTTTCAGAGGTCGTCTCCTATGTTGGACGTTGGACGTAGAGTTCTTAGGATTCGAGGATTGTTCCGTTTCAGTTGATTTTTAGGTGGGTTTTGCTTCGGAAAACCTTGAGATATTGATCGGCATAGCCTGGGCTTTCTTAATTGGCGGATTCCATATCGTGTTGAGCCTGAGAGTCTCCTTCTCTTATAACCGTTAACCGATGCTCCCAAAGTTTGGTCTGCGTTGTTCAGCAGCTGCTACTGCAGACTTCTTCCAACATAACCCCAGGAACCTGCTAAGCCGAAGACTTTTTTGCAACTGGAAGTACATCTTTCCTGTCCTCTGCTAGATCTTTCTCGTGGGCTTGAAGAATGTTCTCGACTTTCTCAAGGTTACTTCTAAATCCACGTGTCTAAAGCCTGAAAACTGCTGCTTTACTGAGGATGGGATAGTCCAGACCGGCCCACTTTGCGGGAAAGGAAAATTTGATGATGGCTTTGGCGTACTCGCATTTTCAGTATATAAAAATATACAGGATCGAATAAACAGGAAAACAGCCCTTAATTACAATTTATTAGTTTAAAAACAGCATTTGGCTTTAACAGGAAGAGAGGAATTAAATTGCGGCAAATAGAAAGCGCACCAGCAATCATTAGGAAACGGTTAAAATATGCAGCTTCTTGTTGATCGCCTTCGCATTGGTCACCAAGAGATCGCCGATCTGGATGCCCTTCGCTAAAACATCCCTTGGGACCTGGATGTATATGCAGGATTCCGTCGTCAAAGGTCGCTTTTTCATTTTGATCCTGGTCTTCGGTATAAATTCGTTCACCCCGGCAGTCTTGGGTCTCTCTTTCAACCGTTTGGACGTGTTATCTTTATCGAAGCTGCGGGTCGTTTCTTGGGTGGTATGACTGGCTCTGCTGGCATTCCTAGAATGTCCCTTCCTTCGAGAAATATCTTTCAGCCACTGGCAAAACACTTGCTCGTTTTGCTCGATCTTCAGTCGTCTGTATTCTTCCAGCAAACGTTGTCTGGCGATTTCTTTCTGTTTCAGCATTTCCGCGTATCGGTTTCTCCGTTGCAGCTGGCGCGACGTCAACCCGTATTCAGACCGGCAGCCATTGTAACGCGGGAGATTTCGGTTGATCTTATTGTCGTCGCAGCAGGGTCTTTGGCGCAGGTGTAGCGGCGGTAAGTTCGAAGGGGGCTTCTCGTGAATTTCCAGTTTCCTTATCGACATCGATAAATTGGAGTCGATATGCTCGATACAGTGCTCCCTGCAGTTCACTCCTGACACTGTGGACTTGGCTTTTCGGTGTGGTTTTCTATAAGTCTTGCAGGAGTCCACCCTAAGGGTTTCGGAAACGATTTTCTCTGGACTGTCCGGCATTTTCGTTGTATCCGACGGTTTTGGCGAATCCGAATCCTCTGTATCGGAGACCAGTTCTTCTTCTTCGAAAATGTCGCACGCCTCCTCTTCTAGTTCTGCTTCCGCGTATGCGACCCTCAACGACTCGGATTCGGTTTCGTCTTCAGGTATATGGGAAAGAGGTTCCCCGCGGTGGACGATTTCTTCCGCCGGGATGTCGCTTTCTATGCTGTTAACGTCGTCGTCTGTCAAATCGGGTTCGAAAGATACCAGCTCGTCACGGAATTTGACTTTGGCCGTTTTGTTCGAGTTGAGGTTGGAGTTTTGGAGGTCAACGTTGGCCTTTTGCACTTTTTCGGTCACGTTGTAGGGCGACGAAGAAGGTTGAAGAACTGGAAAAGACAAGTAACTGGTAGTTTACTCCGATCAATGAATTGATTCACTCCTAGTCTGGTAAACAATACCTTGGTATAATATTATATATTATTATGTATATTATATATGTGTTTAATAGAATATCTTATTCTAATTACAATGGTGTATATTTTAGTCTACTCGTTTTTGACAAAGCGGCAAAAATAAGAAATTTTTATATAATTTCAAAGAGTGCCGTGACTGACTGCAACAACAATAATTATTTACAAATTAAAGTAGAACAAAATCACTGAAAATGACAAGGCACACTAAACTAAAATTTTTTTTAACTACTATAGGCCCACCGTTTTCCTGAACACATTTCTCATACACTCTAATTGTATACTGTATTGCATTTAATAACGTTTTCGGATTGTCTCTTAACTGTTTGATTGCCTCTGAAATCCTTTCCCGCATCCCACGACATTATTACAAGGAGTTCTGTACACGTGATTTCTAATTTGTCCCAAAAAAAAATTCATTAAAGTTAAGTCGCGGCTATTGGCTGGTCAATCAATAGTTCCGCCATTCCCTATCCAACCCCTGGGATATTTTACGTTAAGAAAATTTTTAATTTGCACAACATTGTGAGGAGGGGCCACCGTCTTGCTGCCACATAATCAGCGCTGGTATATTTAGGGGTAAATCTTCTATATATTTGTTCTATTTGGTGCTCTAAGAGTTGCAAATAATGATCTCCAGTTAACTTTTGATCTATAAATATCGGACCCAAACTATGGCAAAATGACACCACTACAGACATTAATTGCATGGTACCCCTGGGTTTTTATTTCGAGTATTTCTCTGGGATTATTTAAAGACCAATATCGCGTATTTTGTCTATTGCACTTAGTTTTTGCGTTTTACGAAATTTAAATACATTGTATTTATATTCTTTCAAAACTGAGCGGATTGATCCCTGAGAAATACCTGGCTCTTCATATACTCAAGTAATAGAGGAAACTAGATGTACGTTATAGAATCCTAAGATCTTTGCCTTATTTTCTTCATTTAAAACATTGTGATTCCGCATACCTTTTTAGCATTTAATACGTTGCCGTTCAAATTTCTTTGCCTTGGAAATATCCGTTTTGAAGGAGCTCGGCGCTGTGGATAAAGTCTAAAGTCTAAAAGTCTAATGTACTAACCACGAGCTGGGGTTGCACTTTTATTATTCAGAAGGTATACTTGAAGCATATCACTCCTTCCATGGATGATAAATTCGCGAAAAACCATTTTAATGACTTCGACAATAATTCAACCATCAACGTTGTTTACTAATTTATAAGGTTGTTCGGAAAGTCATTTCATTTTTTCCCGTCAGAGGACTTAATTACGTTTTTTCGAAACCAACTTCACACTTAAGCCGCATAACCATTATATGTCTTGAGAGCTGATATTGCAAGGCTTGTGTGTGAAAAAGTTCTATTAATTCTAGGCAGTAGTTTTTGGTTGGTGCTCTTTTAAATATGGAGAGCAATAAGCAGCATTTTCGTCATATTTTACTTTTTTACTTCAGAAAAGGTAAAAATGCTGTCCAAGCGAGAAAAAAATTGACGGATGTGTATGGAGAAGGCGTGTTAACAGTACGCCAGTGCCAGAACTGGTTTGCAAAATTTCGATCCGGCAATTTTGATGTCGAAGATGCACCACGGTCTGGAAGGCCGGTCGAAGCTGACAAAGATGAGATAAAGGCATTAGTTGATGCATATCGGCGAATAACCACACGAGAGATCGGTGAGAGATTAAATTTGTCGAATTCGACTGTTTATGGCCATTTGAAAGGCATGGGCTTAACCTCGAAGCTCGATGTGCGGATGCCCCATGTCCTTATGGAGCGAAATTTGTGTCGTCGCGTTGACGTGTGTGATTCGCTCCTCAAACGTCAAGAAAATGATCCATTTTTGAAGCGGATTATTACTGGGGACGAAAAATGGGTTGTATACAACAATGTTAAATGCAAGAGGTCATGGAGCAGAAAAGATGAACCGACTCTAAAGCCAACATTCGCCAAAAAAAGGTGATGCTCTCCGTTTGGTGGAATGTCAAAGGAATCGTTTTTTTTGAGCTTTTGCCGGACAATACAACGATTAATTCAGAAGTCTATTGTCATCAACTGGACAAATTGAATGATTCACTTAAAGAGAAGAGGCCCGAATTAATCAACAGGAAGGGTGTAATGTTCCACCAGGATAATGCGAGACCTCACACAAGTTTGGTCACTCGCCAAAAACTTTTGCAGCTTGAATGGGACGTACTGCAACATCCACCATATTTTCCAGATCTGGCGCCTTCCGACTACTATTTGTTCCGGTCCCTGCAAAATTTTTTGGATGGCAAAACCTTTACCTCAAATGAAGATGTCAAAAACCACCTGAACCAGTTTTTTGCCAGCAAGGACCAAAACTTTTATGAGAGGGGAATTATGTTACTGCCAGAAAGATGGCAAAAGGTGTTGGACCAGAATGGCCAATATATAATTTAATAAAATATTTATTCGTTATACGAAAACTGTCTTTCATGTTCCCCAAAAAAAAACGAAATGACTTTCCGAACAACCAATAAAATATAAACAGTGAGGGTACTCTTTGAAATTATTAAAAAAAAATTAAAAACGTTACTAAATGCAAGATATTATACAATTAGAGTGTATGAGAAATGTGCTCAGGAAAATGATGCTCACACAGCAGTAATTAGAATAGTTATAATCTATTAAACACATATATAATATACAGGCTGTTCCAAACCTACGTCACTTGAAAAAAAACTTGTCCACCAATCCTACATTTTGTTTTTTTTGTTTATCTTGATATCTCTAAAAACAAAAAAGTTATAGCCAATTAAAATATTATCAACATAAATTGAACCCACGGTACAAAACGTTTTAGGGTGACGTCTTGTCAGAATTTTTGTAATGTTCTGTAAGTGATCCTAATGGCATTTTTTCTCCCTTGTTCTTTCTTGCTAGTATTGTTTTTTCTTCTTTTTTTTTCATTAAGTATTCTTAAAACATTAACTGAATTGAGGTCTGGAAGAAGCTAAGCATTTTCTTAATTATACCATTTTGGTAAATATATACCAGAAAGGTACGCAAAAATTGGAAATCAGATTTACCTTGGTTTAAAGATAATAAGCAGTGTATTTCGGTTACTTCTCCATCCGCCATTGAAAGCTAACCAAAACTAACTTTGAGATTTCTTTTTTTTTCCTTAACCAAACAATCCGAATTTAGTTTGACTAGTGTACTAGATGCCAGCGCCTTAAGTGTTCATATTTTGGTAGTTCGGTGACGTTATTAGTCCATCAAATGGGGGGGAGGGTTGTAGAAAAAAATCGTTGTTTGTTTTTTTTTGGCATAACTACTTTTTTTTGTCTCCACTTGGGTCGGAAGGGGTCGTTACAGAAATAAATTGGATGAAAACGGCGGATCTATGCTTTATCGACCGTTCCGCGGTAATAAAATGGGGTTTGTAGAAGAAAAAAATTTTGCTCTTTATTTTGCGACGGAGGTAGGAAGAGGTTTGTGGTACCAAAACAAAAAAAACATGAACAACAAGTTTTTTGTACTACCCGCTCCCATATTTTTTACCAGAAGATTGAAGCCACCTCGCAACTAAAATATGAACCGTTAAGGCGCACAAAAAAGAAATCAAATTTTCACCAGCGAACGGCGAAAAAAGAAGTAACCAAAAGACACTATTAAAATAAATGAATACTATATATTAGTAATAATAAATGTAACTGTGATAAATATTTAATATATGTGCCTAAATAGTAAAACTACTTATTAAAATAAATAAATATTATTTTATCTGAGAAGGCATTAGAAGAAATAAAATTCAAGTCGGACTTAACCTAAATAATTATAAATTGAAAACCATTGAGAAAAACAAAAAGTTGTATCAGTTTTGGAAGCAATGGTAAAATTTTGACTTCTTTGACCTCGATGAGCGTATTGGCTTGAAATATGAATAAAATGCAAGTTCGTATAATATTATTGACAACTCACAGTAACAGCCTACGTCTTCCTCTTCTTCGCTCTCTTGTTTCGATAGTTCCTCTTCTAATGCCATATTTTTTATGTGCACCGTTTCATCCATAAAAATTGGCTGAAAATAGCCTATTGCCGGAGGACTTATTTACTAGTGCCGTTTCCATGGGAACACTAACATTGCGGAGAATCAGGATCGTATTTGCGATCATTTGACAAGCGTGATATAGCAAACTAGCAAATACGAACTTACAAAATAAATTATGAAAATTGAGTTAAAATTCTTCTTTTCTCTCTTCTTATTAAACTGTGTCTCGTCGCATCGTTTCGACATGTATTCTACATTGCTTTTTGCACAGTATAAGCAATATGTTTATATACTCTATACTTATGCTGTGTAATGTATTACATACCAGAAATTGCAAATGCGTTCTTAGTTTCTTCTAACTAATTTTATCTCACTTAAAACATCACTAACAGATAGTCCTATGCATTTTGGTCTTAAAAAATTGCTTTAGAGGAAGAAAACAATATGTACTTTTTCATCAATTGTGAGTCTTTAAGGTATGATTTAATATAAGAAGGAGAATGCAAACTTGGTCCCTTTGCTTTTGTAATATTAATGTACTGGAACTCTACAAAGTGGAGACTTATCTGTGTTATATAAGTCTCCACTTTGTAGAGTTCCAGTACACTTCCTTAAGTTTGCCATGACATAGTGGAATACAGAAATACAGTTAAACACTCCGGAAAACGTCGACAATGTGTGAACAGTAATAATAAACAGAGGAATCTGCCAGGGGATGCATTAAGCAAACCATGTTTTTGTTTAGTAAACAGCGGAAAGGTTATATATTCGAACAAGACAAAGAGCAACAGTTGTGTCACTTATGATCTTAAATTGTTCGCAAAAAACACTTGCAACACTTGGTAACCTTCAAACCCAATAGGCCACAAAGAAGCCAATTCCATCTTAAAAAATCAATACCATAAACGGATGCGTAGTATCATAAAGATCAAACTCTCGGCACGAAATGTAGCAACAGCTGTCAGCATGTACACAACTTCGGCACTTGCCTGCCGTTTCGGTGCTATCAAATGGACTTCTACAGAATTGGAAAAACTAAACACTTTTAATCTCAAAGAATTTAGGAAAGATCTAGCGCATCATCCTCAGTCAGGGATAGAAAGGTTCCATCTATTACGGAAGCATAGAGGAAGGGGCATACCTAACATCGCCTACAGACATGCTCGACAGCTGCAGAACCTGAGAAAATATTTCCATGAAAAAGAAGGATTTATAACTACATTGTAGGATCAAGTAATGCCTACCAGGGAATACAGAAAAGAGATCCTGAACAGATCTTTAATGATAGATGTCGTATGTGTCGAGAGAAGACAAATTATCTTGATCACCTTCTGGCTGGATGCTCAGTATTAGCGCCTAAACCCTACCTCGTCAAAAATAACAGAGTTGCTGCTATAGTACATCAGGCGCTAAGGTTTAAAATTATGAAAATACAAACACAACATCGCACTCTCAGTATGTACCAATGGCAATCTGCGAAGATGAAAGGGTGCGCCTGTATTGCTGAAGGAGAATCCTTGCCGACCGTCCAATCCCAAACATATACCAGATATTTTATTTACCTTAAATAAGGAGAAAATAATCACATCACTGTACCCCTCTCCAACAACATAAGAAAAAAATACACAAAAAAAATAAAAATACTAACCGTTAGCCAATGAAATTACGAAGATGTGGAAGATGGAGAAAATAGTGGTGGTTTCAATAATAATCGGAGCGACAGGTGAAGTCCCGTACATGAAAGCTTGAAGAGGTTCAATCTAGAACCTAAACTTTACTTGCCAATTCAAAAATCCAGTATTGGAAGGCATTTTCAATGCCATCAGAAAGCCCACCATCTTGTGACAGCTTGAAGAACCAGGAAAACTGTGAAATTGTGATAATAATAATAATAATAATAATAATTTATTAAGCACAACAGAAAGAACATACCACAATAGAGTTGGGCAGGTGGCGAGGTCTAGCCGGGCTACTCCTAGAATATTCAGAAGTTAACAAGAAGAAAAACTAACAAATCTAAACATTAGTCCACCTAAATTCACAATATGACAATTTTAAACAAATTAAACCTTGGAAGAAAGCACGGATAATATATAATATAATAATATTCGGAAACGACTAAAAGAAAAACAATAAGAAAAAAATGTGAAAGTGAAATTGTAAGTTTCAATAGATAGTAATAAATAATATGTGACAGAGCTTTGAAACATAGCCGTACTATGCTTGGGAACATAAAACTGGTTACGGTAACTATTATGCAACATTACTACTTCTGACCAGAGATACCTACTTTTCGTACTTAATAATTTTATACACTAACGTAGACAGATGCACAAAATACTTTTCAGGCAGATTTAACAGCTGGGAATCTTCGACAGCCGGCATTGCGACAGCTTACTATAAAGAAAGACACCTAAGTTTTACATTTGTCGACAAATTCAAGCGGAGTACCATTCAAGGAAAGATGCAGATCATTATACTGGATAATTTCCTCTTTTTTTGCCAGAAAGGACAACCTGGGTCTTGAAATCATTTTATAACAGACCATGGGTTTTGGAGCTATTAGAAATCACTTCAAGATCTTAATTTGTGTCATTGAAAGACAAATCTATATCTTTGGCCGATGATAAGTATATTTGCCTATTATTAGCATACTGATGAGGATAATATCTAGTTAGGTGCCTAGAGAAATCAGACGTGTAAATCGACATGATTGTTAAGTAGATCATATATAATCCTCTCCAAGATTTTAGACATTACACAGTGTAAGCTAATAGGTCGGAAACGTGAGATTTCAGATGGTGGACATATCTTTGGAATAGGTATTATATTAGCCTCTTTCCACAATGAGGGAAATTTACGTCACCCCAAAGAGAGTATATTTAGATCGATACCGTCGACACCTTTTGCTTTAATTCTGGGTATGACTCTCTCCACATCCTCCTGTATTACGATTACAAAGTTAGGCCGACTAGCAATTCCGTCATAAACACGACCCAACAACAACTCCGAAATCATATCTTTATTAGTCTGCTCTTCACCAGCAGGAGGCGGAATACTTTCTTTAAAAAACTGATTAAATATGAATGGATTAGAAACGTCGGCTGGATAGTTTAGTCCCTTCCATAACTCTTGGGATATAGTATAGTAATATTTTTAGGTTCTGGTATTCCCTCCATTCTTTGATCTGTATCTTCATGGGTGTCGATCCCATAGTTGGACCTTGGGAACATAAGATTTTTAATCTCTAATTCTTTCTCTATCTTTCTCAGCACATCTGCGTTCTGCTAGTAACGACTATCTTCAGCACTTTCCGTAGATCGCGGAAGCTTTCAGCAAGCAGGGCAGTGTCAAGAAAGGTTTGAAATTAAGTTTATTTAAAAAGAATATTTGACAGTACTTGAGCGTACCGTTGTTGTCGAGGCAATGTTGTGGTTGATTTCTGAAGTAGTAGTGGACTCTTTCCAGCATAACAGCCGATATGTTGTTTATCTCGGGAGGAATGTAGTTTTTTGAGGATTTAAAAGTTGCCATAGACTTTAGATTTTATCTGACGTGGAGAGTTAGTTTATCAAGGAGCGTGGAAAAAAATCGAAAAGCTGTGGTTTGACTAACAGAATCTTATAACCCCAGTACAGCTGCTCGTTTTAAAGAAGCGTCCCTAGAGTAACACTTAATATTTTCAAACGCTCTAAAAGCATCTACCCAGGATAAGATGGATTTCCGGTGAGGAACAGCATCTCGAGGGAGAATATTGAATGGCGTGTCTCAGCTTTCCACGGACCTTGCTCTATAAGTAGCAAACGACTCTCGACGGTTAAACAAACTTTTAGTCGCGTCACCAAGTTTAAATTGAAAAAATGATGTTTCAATGCCGCAACTTATACAGGGTGTTTTCTAATTGAATGTCAGTAATTAAGGAGACGATTTTCATTTAGAAAAGGCAAAACGTCTTAACTTTTGAGATACAGGGTGGTAAAGGTTTCAGAAATAAAATATATTTTTTGATATCTGTAATACCACTTAAGATATTTTAGGGAAATTCAGCACACATGTATGGCATTATTTAGTGTACCAGAATTTATTTAAAAAAAAATAAGAGGTCAAATTTGCTCGTAAGTGAATGCAAATGTTATTAATTTTTTAAGACAGTGGCGCGCCACTGACGGTCTATGAACAAATAATATTTTGGTCAATTAGGTCGCCACTGCACTGGTTAAATCGAGAACTTTTTTGTGAAAAATAAATCCTAAGTTTAGGATTTTTATCAATAGAACTTAAAACTGCTTCTTCAATTTCTGGAGTTCTTACAGTCCGATGGAGCGCTTTTAAATGATTATTTGCCCTCAGTTATCCTTCTATGTACACAGTGTGCCAAATAAAACGATCAACTATAGGATCTGGAAACCCATAGGAGATACGAAAAAAATTTTCGTATAAAAGTTTCTTGGACTCTCATCAAGATTTAAAATATTATAATTTGTTGATACAGGGTGTCCCAAAAGTGTCCCCTCCGACAACAACTTTGTTATTTTAAATGAAACACCATGTAATTTTGACAGTTTTCGAATCTTGACTTATTAAAGTATAAACAAACTTAGACATTTTTGTTTGTTTTTTTTGTTTTTCATATTTCTATTTAAAAAGTCCATAGTTGTCAAGTTTTTTGATTAGTATATATTTTATTTGTATTGTAAATAATTTATAGTTTTTTGGTTAACCTATTGAATTTAATCATTTATTTTTGTTATTACGTATTTTCAATCAAGCTAGATAATTAACTATTAAATGTTTCTTTAATGAATTTGGAAGTTTTATTATCTTTCTCAAAATCTCTACGTATTGATGAACACCCTGTATTGTTAGCAATAGGTATTAGTCGTATATCTGGAGTATTATATTTTTAAAACAAGTAGTATCATGTCTTTGTTATTTAAAAATACCTAATATTGCCGACAAGTGATCTAATGTGGGCAGCTTAAAAATTCAACAAGAATTTAAACGGGTGTTATCTTAAACCTCGAATATCTCAAAAAATAATCAAAATTTAAATGTACGATGAATTACAAACTTATCTTGTTTTTGTCCTAGAATTGATATCTCAATGAAAATATGATTTGAATACTTTGAGATTTTGTTAATTAAATTCGCCAAAACGGCACCACCTATTTGGAACACTCTGTGTGGAGGCGAATCTGTCAAACTGATTGAGTAGTGCATCATCTTCTTAGTCTGTGGTAAAATTTTCGTTGCAATACCTGTATCACAACACAATACAATTGTATATGAGGCAATCAAAATATGAAATAAAAACACATAACTTCAATTTCTGCCTAAACTATGCACAATTCGAATTCGGAATTCCTTACAAAGGTGACCTTTATTTTAACCAAGGATTCCAAAAATGTCGGTATATACAGGGTGTTAAATTTAAAATAACTAAGTTTATGTCGGAGGGGATACTTTTGGAACACCCTGTATCAACAAAATTATAATATTTTCAGGAGGGTCCAAGTCCAAGTGGATCGTTTTATTTGGCACACGGTTTACATTGGAAAATGTTCGCCTATCTGGTATGTCTCTGTTAGGAAAGCGCTCTTGATATGCCATCAGCATATACTATACATAAAATGCATATCTGCCAACTCCTCATTAGTAAACTCCTATATTCTTTTTTAAAATAACAATGATCGGATATTTTAAACACCAAATCAATAAGACACGAAGAACTAAATTTAAAAACTAATAAACAACCACCTTGACAATAGAATTAATATTTTTATAGACACAGTCTACTACAATGGTAAGAAATAATTCTAAAAATTTCAACAATTCACCTCAGAGTTTACGTACTTCGCATTCGTACTTCCATTTTTTGGTATGACCATACAGAGAATTGAAAAAAAAGTCCTCAGAAATGATTGGAGATTGTAAGTATAGTTTTTAGTTTAAGAGGAATCAGTGGCGTACTATCAATATCTGCCATCTGGCGAATTTCTAAAAAATTGTGGTACAATGCCTGTTGATACATAGTATACGTGTACCAAAAATATTTTTGAAAACTTTACAAAAATTAAGACAAAAGTTAGGACGTTTAGGAAATATGTTCATATAAAATCTAATATCGAACATTTAGTGAAAAAGTTACGATCCTAAATGTATTTATTCCGACAACTTACTAAAATACTTATTTTCTACTGGTACAATCACTTATATCTTATGGAATAATTGGTTGGGGTGCTGCCTATCACACAACTCTTCAGCCTCTTTACGAATACAAAAAAGAATTTTGAAAATTTTATTTTTACTCAATTTCAAATACTTCAGATAAAAAATTTATGTTATAAACCACCCCTTTTGTTCTTAATAAAAAATAACTTTCTGGTTAATTCAAAAACTTACGAGTATGAAACACGCTTTAAACCTGGAGAAAACTTAACTTTATAAAAAATGCATTTATCTGTTTGACAAAAGAAATATTTTTATACTGGTCAAAAAAATTATTAGGCACTACCTCTAGAACTGAAAAATAAAACAAAATTAAAATCATTAAAAAAAATTAAGTAAGTGGCTTATTGATGCTAAATTGTAAGTGGATATTTATTATAAATCAAATTCGCTTGAATATAAGTGTTTTTTTTGTATTAATATTTATTTAATGTTTACATTACCATAAGTTTAAAACTGTATATTTTTATTGACTTAAATATTACATTTTTGAGGTCAATGGAAAGGCAAACTGCGTTTTTATTTACGTATTTTATTTATTCACTAATATGTACTTATAGGGGATTTCAACAATATTTACAATGCAAATGATCTGTAATAATTATTCTAACCAATGATGGTATCGTATTATCAAGGTTTGCTTTACAAGCAAACACAAAACTATTACTTTACTTTTACTCTCTACGACTTTTACTTGCTGACTTTAATTCGTGTTGTTAAAAAATGTCGGTGAATTAAATAAACATACATGCAAATTCATATGGTATTTTCCTAGTGGTAATTCTCGTTAACTTTGTGTTAGTGTTGGTCGAAGTTTTTAATGGTATCTTCAATGTATATTCCCAGTAAGAGCAGATGCTACTAATTAAAAAATAATGTAAAAACTATATTACACAATATATCATTATTATCACAGAAAACATTGAATTTGGAACTGGAAGATTCCCAAAGATATACAAAGCATAGTTTACTTAAAGGATTGCGAAGATCCGACTATTTTTCGTCGCTACTATTACCATTCCGATGACACGCGTTTCTATTTAGCACTCGCGGTAAAAACCCACAGGCGTGGGTATTTTAATTTAAACTGGAAAAAATGCTCGGACACCTTTTTTGTGTAAAATTCGTAAGATTAAAATGGTACTTGGCGGGCTCAAAATTCTGTTCACTGTCCGGCAGCACACTTTTCCATATAATACATGTCCCCCAGCAGCTGGGTGATGGGTATTTCACCTATGGTTTCTTTGAAAAATAGCAGTTCCACCGTCAGCGACCGTATGGCCCGCAGGCTTGGTACCAGCAAAAGAAGCCTTCCGAACCTGGTAGGTTGTCTCGGGTACCGCATCCTCACGTAATCTCCCAGAATGCATTGGGCTTGGTCCTGGAGCATCTCCACGGGCTGGACGTCGCACAAGCCGGCCGTTTCTGAAATAAAAAAGCATTGCAACGTTTCGGAAATTCACTTGTTTTCCTAACTCAGTGCTCAATCTGATAACGTCACGTAGTGGTGACTTCTCAAGTACGAAATCTCATTATTCGAGCCCTCATGGGATTTAATATCTATTTGGATGGAGCTTGCCAATAGCGGAACGGGACCATTGGAGTAGGGTAAAGATGGGATGGACGCCCTTGGAGGATAGACGCTTCACTTTAAAAACAGTGAATTTGAAACCAATTTTACGCTCTAGGACAAAGGTCCTTCGATAGACTTCACCCGGTACAGCTCAGTCAGACAGGACCGCACGTGTCGTCGATGGAGTTCAGAACTTTCGTTTTTGGTGGTAAGTGTTAAGTGTGTATTATTATTTAAATAGTGTTTATCATGTATATTTGTGATGTGTTTATGGAATTACGAAACTATTTCAGTATTTATATTTATTACCCGGGGTGCCTATCCCTACTAAAAAGGATAGAGGCCGCACTATTGACTGAGTATGCCCTTAGAGGCATCTATCCTCTATGACAGACGTGGCCAAATTGGCTAGATCCAATATGTACAGTTACTATTTACTGACGAAACCTTGAATGGTGCTCCGCTTGAATTTGTCGACAAATGTAAAAACTTAGGTGTCTTTCTTGATAGTAAGCTGCTTTTTGATTCTCACGTGTCTTATATATTGCAGAAGTCCTACAGGAAACTGAAAGTACTTTACATGTATAAAGACTACTTATCTACTGAGATTAGATTTCAATTGTATACTCTCTCTATTGGGATATGAGGACGTTCTATACTGGACCTAAGACGGAAAGAGCAATACAGCTTATAAAAAATGCAAAGTGCCTGCCTGAGATGCAGCTATGGTTTGCGTAAATTTGATCATATAACGCCGGCATTCAAGGATTCTCATTGATTAAATCTGTTTGAAAGGTATTTTATGCATCTGTCTACGTTAGTATATAAAATGAATAGGTACGAAAAGCCGCGGTATCTCTATGATAGACTGGTCAGGGGTAGTGATACTCCATTAAAACTTACAATTCACTTCCACTGGATATTATTAGTTGTTCATCTACTTCTACATTTAAAAAGAAATTAAAAGAGCTGGTGATATTAAGAAGAGGCTGACCCGTTTATTATTATTATTTGTTTTTATTTATTTATTTTTTTGCTTGTTTTTGAATATTGCCCTTGCTTTTTCCAGTGTCTATTTTTTTATTTCTTTCTTTTTTTACATTTATCCCCCTTTAATTTGCTTAAATTTGTCAAATTGTGAATTTAGGTGGATTTAAGGAACTTTTTTTTCCTTGTCAAATTCTGAATATTCTACTACATTGTATTGGTGGTTAGGTGCAGTAGAGCTGCTAGACCTTGCCACCTATTCAACTCTATTATGGTATATTCCTTTTGTTATATTTTAATAAAAGCTATTTATTATTATTATTATTATTATTATTATTATTATTATCTACCAGATACATACTTCACAGAATATCGCAAGGGCACAGGGATTAAATCGAGATGAAGTAAACGAAATGTTATTGATAAATTGATTTATTGATTTATAATATTGATGAGACTGGAGTGCAATTAAACAATAATCCTGGTAAAGTAATTGCTACTAAAGGTGCCAAAGTAGTAAAATGTTGGCAACTATGTTAATCCGGGGTCATTATCAAAACGGTCAATAACAGAACAGGGTTCCAAGAGGGTCTTCTACCCGGAGCCAACGTTTACATGAACAAAAAATCGGCTTACGTAAATTTGGAACTCTTATAAAAAACCTCAAGGTGAGGTTTTGCTCATACTTGACGAACATTCGTCTGACACTGCTGGTATTGATTTACTAGAATTAGCTCAAGAAAATCACATCATATTGTTCTGTTTGCCAAGCCCGACTATATAGGCTGTACAAAGTTTTTTTAAACCTTTCACAATTTACTTCGCTTCAGCGACTAAAAACTGGGGCTTCTATCACACTTTTACCCTACTGTGTTAGCTTGTCGGTCCCTCTGGGTCAGTACAGCACCGTGTTTCAGGCGGAAATCTTCGCTATATTGATGGCGGCCAGAGAGGTGCTTAGGTGTAGGGCTGCACTTATGACGCTGGAGTCAGTGCGCACGCGCTTCTTCTTGATAAAGGAGTGCAAAGGGGTGCTGAGGAAAGTGACCGTTGGTCTGGGTCTCGAGTCACACCGGGATCCGAGGCAATGGGGCAGTCTTAGCCAGAGAGGCACACAGGCATATGGGACCAGAGCCCCGCTTGGGGATCGCCCGGTGCGTGAAGCGGGGAGCTCTCGAAGCCTGGGTGAGAGAATGGGTCGTGGTGGGCTGGAGGGTTGCTCCGGGAATGAGGCAGGCGAGGTTTTTGATAGATGAGCCCGCCTTCCGTCGGATCAGGGAGCTGCTTGCACTGACTAGAAGGGAGTGTAGAGCACTAACAGGGGCCTACACAGGACATTGCAGGCTTAGGAGGCACCTTTGCTTTCTAGGCATTGGAGGCGTCCCGGAGTGCAGGTGGTGCATGGAAGGGGAGGAGACCCCGTATCATCTGCTCACGGAGTGCCCTGCTTTGACATGGGCAAGATTGGGAGTTTTCGGAACGGCCCTGATCGATCCGGACTCAGTGCACGGCATTGGGCTAAAGGAGTTGCTGACCTTCTATAGGAGGGGCGGCATTCTGGACGCCCTCTAGCACGGTCTTGGGGCACAACTGTGTGATATCTCAGTTATGAATAAAACTAGAGGCCTGCGGTTTGCTACTTTTTCGTGAAACAAAAGTTGCTGTCAACAGAATTTTCTTATCCGATTGCATTTGTGACCTGTAGGGTGATTTCGAAAATTCGCCATTTGCGGCAGTCCTCGCATCTTAGTTACTATTTAAGCTATCGAAAAAATAAAAATTCGTCTATAGATATTTTTTTTAATTATGACGAATTATGACTTCTTACAGTAGGCCAACATTTATAGTTTTAACAATTAGTTAGTTTTAGTTCATTAATATTAATTACTATCCAGTACTAAATTATTATTTTAACCTAAAAAGATTATTCAAGAAGTATTAGTTTAAACTTCTATTAGTTTAAAAATTGTATTTCTTAGAAAAAAAGTTATTCTAAACGTATATCCAAATTTGCGGCTAAAGAACCTGCTTAAATTAATCCACAATATATGGAATGCAGTATTGGCATAATTTTCTTGTTCAGTAACGACCATCAACGACCATTTTGATTATTTAAAATGACGGACACTGCTAGAATAAGCTTCATCAGACCAGATAATTTTCCTATAAAAATCCCTATCTCTGTTTTAAACTTGAGGTTTTTTAAAATCCTTGAACTCTTAATGTTAGAACGCCAAATCTATCTTCAATTTTTCTACAAGAATTTGTAGGAATTGTTCTAACTGTCGTCAAAAAATTAATTTCTATATGGTCCAAAATTAACTAGGTTGCTTTGAAGCCTACCAAATATTCTTTTATTGGGTTGTCTTCGTAAGTAAAACACATTTTATTATCCAATATACCTGTGCAAATATAGTTCAGATGCTTCATCCGTATTTTCACGACACAACATAAAATAACACCTCATGTTATATTTTTTAACATTTTCAAAGTCTTCGTTGACGGCCATAATATATATAAAAATTTTATTACCAAATTAAATGTCTTAATAAAATTGCAGAAGCAAATTCAGTACTTTTGTAACGTTGTAACGTTTTTCCTTTTTTTGGTCAGACGTAACTCTTTAAAATATAAATTTGAACAAAAATTGTACTTAAGAACTAAAATTAGAAACAAATGCCTCTGGAAAGCTCTTAGCGGATGCAATAAAATGACGCATTATTTTATTAATACACACATTAAAAGTACACAACTTTATGATATATTTAAATAAAAAATCTCTATCTTCCAGGTTTAGAAAGTGTTTAGACTGTCTTGCAGAACATAACTGAAAGAGTTTCACTTGTTCACGGTTATGGTAGTGTTTATATGGAAGCGTGTCATAGATCATTTTTATGCCCAGTGAATAACAAACTGCTTATCTCACACGAACGTTGAATTTTAGTCTTTCTTATCGCCAATTGACAGTGACTGAAAAAGGTCCTTATTACTAGTGCATAAAAATATTCAACAGTCTTCAACAAGTTTTATACCAATATAAAAGAATTGTAAATGTTGTTATTTTTAAAACGATTTATTGTAAGATTATGATTGTTATTTAACGAGTTCAGTAAAATATTTCTTGGTTAGTCATTTTCCATGTTTACCTTCAATTGTTGCAAAAACTTCACTAATTTCGGCTCCTTTAGGTTCTTTTGGTTGACCTCTCTTGTCCGTTCAAAATATTGGCGTTTTTTATCTCATCATGCATCACTAGTTTTAATGACAAGGTGAAGTTACACTGTCTAAAAGGCATTATTTTTCTTTTATACAAAACGAAAAGTTGTATATCTTAACCAACAAAATTTATCCTGAGCTGACACTCGATGGCATTAAAATTTGTGCACACAAACCTATTAGAGTCTGTTTACTTAATTTGGTAAAATATAATTTTGGAAAATTACCTGGTGTGAAAAGGATGATGGCCTTCATGCAGCCGCACTCGCTACCGTCGGGTGAGATTTGCCGGAAACGGCACATTATTTCCTGCAATTCAAACGAAATGTCAACATTTGCGGCTTCTCCTGCATTTTTGTTGTGAAAATAACAATTCTGCAGATGCGGCAACAATATCTTTAGAGCTGCGGCTCCTTAAGTATATCATCTACAATGTTTTTTATACATTTATTAGAATATACGAGAGAATTCGTTTTATTTAATTTTTTACTAAAACTGCAACCCACAAAACTATAAGGCTCAAACGGGTCAGAACTTTAACAATTATTAAAGCTCGTTTCTGAATGGCACGAAGTGTAGCTGGAAAACTCATATAAATTGCCCAATATTACAGGTAGGTTCAAGGGTTAAATATTTTTTTGTCTGGATGAGATGGCAAGACCAAAGGATTTCTAGTATTCGTCAAGCATTTTACTAAGAAACACACGTTGAAAGCGAAGATGTATTGACATTTGAGCTTAACCAAACTTGGAAGTAACCACAGGGAACTGGCGAAAGACTTGATCTTATCAAAGAAGAAGAAAACAATGTTGGATTTTGAGAACGTGAAGGATCGAATAGTATACCCTTAAATAATAATATGAAGAGGAGTAGACAACTCCTCCGATGAGTAAGAATATGACTTGGCAAATGCAAAAGTTATAGGGATTATTTTGTTATTAATATTTATTATTCAAGATCCTGGTGGTCCTGAATAAAAGCTATAACTTTGGTAATTACCATTTCTTGATATAATGACCCATATTAAAAACTGTAGGTATATCGACACCCCATATGCCAATGAAATGAAATCGGATTAGTACCGACATGGATTCTTGGAATACGCCAGTTCACAGGACAAGAACGCCTAAAGTATCATTAACTAAAAATTTTAAACCTGTCCATTTCGACTAAGCATTATTTAGTATTTTATTAGAAAATATTCATTTTGAGGCTTAAATCATTTGGCCTTAGATAACTTTATGGTCCACAAATATTAAATTTAATTGTTGAAATAAAAATAAAATGAATACGCAAGCTTCTTTGTATTTAAATGCAATTATTTTTTAATTGATTATCATGGATGAATTACCTATATTGATCTAAACCCGAACGATCCTGCATTTGAGAAAAAGGGACAAATTTCAATGTTGCAATATTCAAATCGGATAGATTATTGGTTGTTTGGTTAGTTTTTATTTAAAAACTATATAAAAATCACCGTTCTTTACCTGTATGGTCTTTATCTCCGTTGCGGTGTGTACGTCATTGGGAAGCCTCTCTCTAGCTTGGCTACAGCCTAAAAGGGCCGATAAATCCCACGGTACCGACCATTGCGCTAAATGCAGTAGAAACAATTCTTTCCAGGATTCCTGCAGCAGCAGCAGCTGATCCTGTTTGCTCAGCGTCTGAAAAGGCGCCAGGCACCTCACCCAACGCACTGCCATGAACAGTAATCGGGCCGTGGTCTCCTGCAATGGTAAGTTTTTTTAAGATAATAATAATGATTATGAAGAAACAAGACATACAGGTGTAGTTCAGTTCAACATTGCGGGAATGCTGAGGTTCTTATACTAAACCTGGTATCCGATATGAGTAAATATACAGAAAAATAGATTAAACATATCATAAAAAGTGCATTTGATAGCATTGACCGAATTTGCTAACAAAAAAGTAGATATATAAAATCAACATCAAAATTTGATAGAATAAGAGATATCGGCCTATGGACAGATTTTGATTATTAAAATGAACACCAGCAGCTCAAATAATAATAAATTATTATTGTTTTGCCCTTAATGTTTTAAATTCTTTTGGTAGATTGGTTACTTTTGTCAAGCACTCAGAATAGGAACGCTCGAAAATGTCCTTTCAGTGAGCTGGAGGCGTAAAGGTACCTTTAAAACTAATAGCGATATTATGTACGTCAGTCCGAAAGCTATTATATAGATACTGTAGGGTCTTTAGTGCAATTGCATATTAAGTGAAAACAAGAATTTTATATTCCGAACTTATCATGGTTTGTTAAACGGTGACAAATGCTTATCGGATTAAAAAAAGCAACTGCTTTGTTATGCAGTTTTACCATACATATTTAATAAAAAAAATAAAAATGTAAATATCGGAACAATAATGTAGATCGGACTAAGAAAATATGTATGCAGTCAGCTCAAAAAGTTGTTGAACCCTATTTTATTTTTTTAAACGGAACCATCTGTCTATTGTTTCTTATTTTTATTGAGAATCATGAAGTGTTTCCAAATGTATTTATAATATATAATTTTCCATAATTCGTTTTTAATAATCCATTTATTATAAAAGGATTATTTGCTTTGCTTTATAAAAAAATGTCCGAAGGAACCAAAATTAAAGGAACGAAGGTGATCTTGAAATTTTAAATGCATAATGGAACATTTTTGTATCTTTAAAATTTTTGTTATTCTGCGCCTTATTGCTTTCCTACAGCTTTTCCTGGAGATTTGCTTTGCTGATAATCAAGAATTTTGTTTTCCTCATACTGATGATTCTTTGTAGAGTAGTATAACAAAGGAAAAATTAGGAATCTGTACAAATATCTTAAAAAATTATAAACATAAAAATATTATACAAAACAAACGAGTAAGGGATATATTACGTGAAGGGTGCCAAAAACTACAAACTCTATGGATATAAATTAATATTTTAATAACTGTTAGAATTAAAATTTTGCTAGTTCTAAAAATATCCCTGCATAACAAGTAGTTTTAATTTGTGGATTAATCGAATTATTCTTTTCAGTCCGAATATACTTATGAGAGTAGTATATACATCTAAGAGAGTTCATTATTTACCCTACTTCTGCTGTTTCTACACTGATACAAGAGATATCTGCATATCATTTTATGCGCTTTTTAAATAATAAACTTAAAATAGAATCTATACAAAAAGATAATATCGACGTGTACCAGCAAGTTCAAGAAAAATTACCTACTACCTACAATAAAGTTGTGACAATTTTTTTTCTACCAAGTTTTAGTCATTAATGTTTCAAGTCAAACATAGTATAATTTTATTAATATTTATCCAAAACAGAAAAGTCTATAAACATTTTTTTGTTAATATAAGTAAATAAGCAATAAAAATAACAAGATTCCTTTCTAAAAATTGTTGCTGGGCGTAGCGCGAAGCAGCTTTCTATTTCAAAAAGAAACCGCGTCGCAGTTTCTTGTCCTAGAGGGACGCATTGTTTTTCTATTGCGCTCCTGCGGACCACTATGGAACTTTCACAAAATCGATGTAATTATATTGTGCGTACACCCTGTATAAAGCGTCTTTCACGTCTCGCCGAATTTCAAAGTCACGACAAACTGATAAATATAAAAAATTATACAAGTAATAACGTTTTCAAATAATATTATTCAAAGTATCTCGCGCATCCTGTATGATAGACGAAACCTGAAACTCTCTCGCCTCACAATTTACGATACTGTTTGGATCAAAGTTTTACAAATTTTATAGTTTTTCATTAACGGCAAATAATTTACAAACTCAAATAATCGACACAGCCTGAATATAAATGAAAAAAGTCCGGAAATGGAGGTTATAGCCATGGATCTCCCACGTTTCCTGGTCTAAAATAGTAAATGGTTTTGGAGAAATTAAATTTTTTTCTGAAACCATGCAGTGTACCGTAATAATCAATGACGTCATCGCGTCTTGACTCATCCCGAGGTATAGTGATTTTCATATGGATTTTTTCAATTATCTTGATGCGGCCTATGACACTGTTTGAACCGATCGGCTATATTTTGTACGATTTCTGATTCGCGGTAAATAGTTTACTCTGGAATAAAACAATTTTCTTGGTCTTTTAAATTTTTGTCTATAATTGGAAAATCGAAAAAATGCCTGAAATAAATGTTATAGCACTGGATCTTATGCGTCTCCGGGTTAAAGAATTTTGACGATCCGGTGAAAGGTTATGGAGAAAATAATTTAAAAAAAAATCAAATTTTTTAAAAAAATATTTGGTGAAATTTAATTGTACCCAATTTCCACTGTTTAAATGTGGGCATGGACTTTTACTTCTCTGCTAAATTTGAAGTCGATATATGCAAATTTAGGACACTTAACACATTTCTCATATAGCACGCAATATCGTCACCCTCAAGCTGATTTGAACCTCGATTAAAAACATGAGGATATCTATGTTGTCAATCTTCTCATCTATAAATAAACTCAAACAATGAGACGTTGATTTTGCGTTATTTATATTATCGCAATTCCTTGCTACGATTTCTGCCGCTTTATTCTGGAATTTTTTGTTTTCAAAGACAAACGTGTCTAATAATAGGATATCGAAAAATTGAACACCCTGTACCCAGACCCCTTTTGCGGGAAAATGTGCTTTAGAATTCGAATTACCCCTTTTAATATCTGGAAATTTATAAAAATTATTTATTTTATGTATATACTTGAGGTTTGCTATCGAGTTACATGTAGAAAACTTCTATTTTACATAAAAAGGTAATTCTGCTCTACTGCTGGAAAAATATCTGAGTAATGAGAAAGTGTCCGTAAAATTGAAGTAGAAAATTTTATGGAAATATATATGTAGATGTATTATTTAATTCGAAATAAATTTTAAAGTCCAAAAAATCATAGAGACAAAAACATTCTTAAAAAACGATTGTGGTCTTCTCATGCAGCATCGAGTTTCATCTCAAAGTTTCTGTACTTCTAAAGAAGTAGGATGAACTAATTAGAGTTGAGAGTAATTGCGAGTATTCAATCGTGATGAAGAAATTCGCCATTTTTCTTTTTGATTAACGGTGACACTAGGTGATGAAAACTCACTAGTAAATAAGAAAAAATCGTGATATATTTTAAAAGTAGGTTGCAGTTTTGTTTACCTACGTCTCCTTGCACTTCGATATTAACACCAAAACTCAATTTTTCAGGTGTTACGAGTACTACTCAAGCTTTGGTCCAACATAGCCTATTGCATCGCATAAATAAGAGCAAATGAAATAAAATCCACAGTCGTTTGTTCCTCTACCGTCCCTAACCTTTCTCGCTTTTGTTTACGGCTTGAGATTTACTTTGATTTCTTTTATATTTATGGTAAAACAATTAGATATATACGTAGTTACCGGTAAAATTTGACCAAAATTTGCGCTACTTTTCTAATAATAATTTCACTATTACACTCAGAACCTACTCAACCGAATAAAATTAAGAGTGTTCTCTGGCAAGAGAGTCATATGCCCGGGATTTTGATAGAAATACAAAGATACACATCGGTTAACGCAATAGACTACCATAAAATAATAAAACTACAAAAAAAGCTAGATTTAAACCAAAAAACTCAATTTCCTTGGACGGAGAGTAATGGAATTTTATTAAATTCGCCGGTTTTGACATAATAGAAAAAATGGCAAGAAACCCATTTGGCCAAAATTTATCAGCCTCTTGAATAATATTCTCTGAGAAAAAGATTAAATCATTTGGGAGGGAGCACGCATATTATAATTTCAATTGCGAATAAAATTATTCCCATTTCGTTGCCCTCTATACGCTTCTCGCCTCAGAATATCAACGAGTCTGTTGTGCCTCCTATGATCGAATGCTTTGATGCAATCCAAAAAAAAAAAAACAGATGAAAGGCCTTAGTTAGACCCAACGAAAATGACTTTTTTTTTTCATTTAATAATGCTAATCTACCAAAACTCCGGCTCCCATATTCAAAATTAAACACCATAAATAAAAGAACGCGCATGCACCTTTAAGTTGAGAGACATCGACGCCAGTACAATTTCGAAATTGTCAACAAAAACGGGTAGGAGGGGGGCCGGTCCTTTCGAACCGAACGACGCGTCGCCCTTTCAAACGTTGACTTTCATTCGCGATGACTTTTCGACCGAACACTCGCAGTTGGCTGTGCGAATTCAACCCCTGACTTCGCTCCGCCACGCCCTCTTTTGGGGACGGCTACGCGCCCGGAATTTGGTAAAACGTTGCGTTATCGATATCGTTGGTATGTTGTGTTGTTCAAAGAGTCAATGGTTATTTTATGTGTTCTTGTAATTTAAATACAGAACTTTACAACATTATTTCATCGCTGTTAACTAATAGTGGCGCCCTTTGATTCCCGAATAAGTTCCCTTTTTGCGGATGATGCAGTTTCTACCCTTTTTGCAGCATCGTCTGAGCAACTTAGCATTGCAACCAAGACAACTGTTGAGCAAATGAAACATTATGCAGAAATTAACAAATTGATATTGAATGAAAGTAAAAATGAGATGATCATCTTTTCAACACGGGATTTAAATAAGAATTTATTAGTACGCTTTAATGAAATCACAATTCAACCGAAAAGTGTTGTAAAATTCCTCGGAGTTTATTTAGACTCGAGACTCTCCTGGTTCGAACAGGTGGACCACATTCTCAAAAAACTTTCTGTTTACTGCCAGATGGAGGCCATCAGGTTTCTTTCTCTTTGTTAAAAATGTACTATTTCTCGTATATCTGTTCTTGTCTCACCTATGCCTTGGTGTGTTGGGGAGGTTCCCCACGTGCGGAGCAAGTCTTTAGGATGCAGAAACGCATTTTACTGACTATACTGTTTAATTTTTTACTGTTTTAATTTTTCATGTCGAGACCTATTTCCACAACACTTTTTATTGACACTTCCTAGTATGTACATACTAAATTGTGCCACCTATGTAAAAAGTAACTCTAATCTTTATATGCCCTCAAGAAACTCAGATATTCAGTGCAGCTAAGACCGAATCTTAAGATCCTACCTACACATCGACTGTCTCTTACAGCAAATAGTCCCTTTGTTTTGACTGTAAAAATTTATAATAAATTGCCTATAGAACTGAAGGAGCTAACTAGTCAAACAAAATTCAAATGCACTCTTAAAGCCAAATTGCTACGCCTCGCCTATTATAATATTAAGGATTTTCTTTCTTGTGATACCTTTTAATACGTATTCGTTATTTGTTATTGCTTACATATTTGTTATTTATTTATCAGTATTACTTATTATTATTATTATTAATTTACTAATTATACTAAGATAATTTTATAGTTTTACATTCGTATTATGCTGACAATATCCAACACTTTTAAATCTAGTCTTATGGAAATAAAGCTATCTTTATCTCAGAACAGTCTGTCTCAATTTTCATCGTGCTGGCTTTTGCCCGTAATTATGGAAGTTACCTACCGACGGCAATAAACCTCGGATCGAAGATTTTGGTAATAATCTTTTTTTGTTTATTTTGCAGGTTATAATCTTATTAAATTACACTAAGAAAAAACAATTCATTAAATATATACAATACATTCATAGCTTGAAATATCTATACACAATTATGTTTCTGTTTTATTCTATTCTAAATTTCTAAATCTAATTCTGTTTCACTATCAGAGTCGTATTTGAGCTTAATTATTATAGAATTTATGTTGTTTTGAATAGAAATGTAAGAGTCCCTCCTTTTTATAATAAGCTATACTGAATTTTTGCAGCTCTCAATTGGCTTTTAATTTCATGAGAGTATGTGCTAAAAATTCAGCGCTATCTGCATGATAATCCAAGCTGGAATCCTCAATATTCTTTGCAGACAATAGCAAGCAGTTTGGGACAAATCCTTCTTCTGACCCAGCATGTATTATAGTGGTGCGTTTTCCTTTATTTGTAGGTGATTTCGTCTCTCAGTTTTGAGAGAAATCAACGCATCCTTTGGATACAGTGTCATGTTTCATCAAGGTAAATTATGGATCTGTTGTCTAATCTATACCTTTTAATTTCATGAAAGTAATTAAATCTGCAAATGCTTAATCTGTTCCATCTATTACTACTTGCCTTTTTGTGAATTTTCCGGTACATAAATCCTATGTTACAAACAATTTTATGGAGGGTCCCGGATTATATTTATATTGGTTTCATCAAGTTTCTTTTTCTCTTTATCGAAGCGAGGAACAACTTCGGTTTGATAAAGACAATATATTATCCCTCTTATTTGGCTATCGTCTACTCGGTGAGTTTGGAAATTACTACGTTAATTTCCTTTTCTTCAATTCTCCACTTTTAATAATATCGGAAAGAAAGAAATATACCTGGCTAACCACTGCCTTCTCACTCAGGTAAGAATACATTTTTTGTTAATGGCTTTACCTAATAACTATAACAATAACATGTGTTAATTTTTCCACGATGAATACTTTTATTATTCACAACTTTGTAACACACTTAATTTGACAACTCTTTATTGCAGAAAAAAGCGCGGAGGCGCCAAAACTTATTTTCCGGAAAATCACCAAATCTATGCAGTTAATTGTTTCTAATCCGGCTTGATACCTTCCAGAAGTGATGCACTGCTAATAAACCCAGTTTAAATGTTCCCAAGTGTAAAGTTTTGAGTTTCACTCGTAACCTTCATACAAAATTGTAATCCTACAAACTAAATAATGTCGCAAGTTCTAGAGGTTGCACTGTTCGTGACCTTTATTCAGTTCGATGATTAGATCTAGACGAGAATATGCGTCTGAAATTTGGTCCGTAATTTCTAAGACTTGTATTGATCTGATAGAAACAGTGCGGCATAGGTTTTTGTATCTTAGAATGATTGCTTAACAAGATTGAGCAATAAATCAATTCAATTTAATTTTATTGTAATATATCATCTGTACTAATATATATCTAAAATAGCTTTACATATTGATAGAGATAAAGATAGCTTTATTTCCATAACACTTGGGATAAAAGTGTTGGATATTGTCAGTATAATGCAAATATAAATGATATATAATATAATAATATTTTTAATAATAATAATCATCTTGATTTGCCTTCCACGTGATGCCCTGTGGGAGCCATAGGAAATGTTACGACGGATTTTTACTACATAATAATAATAATAATTAATAACTTTAGATAAGTTTTTTTTTTTTGTATGAGAGGTTATAAGGCGAATCTTCCTCAGCCCGTTCTGGGCGTCTCAAGACACCCTGGGGATGGATGGTGTGTCCCCTTGGCGACGACGGGTTGGCATCAGCCGACCGTGTAAACCCAGTGTGAGCGTACTCACACTTCCTCTCTTGACGACAAAACAGTGTGCCCTCCATCTGGAACTGCGTCAGCATTACTTCAGATGGAGTGTCGTCCGGACGCGCGTGATGTTCTCTCGCGCCCTATGATCTTCCCCATGATCTTTCGGTCTCCTATTGACTAAGGTTCAGCGAGCTTGTATAAGATTTGGCCGTTCTATCCTCTTGGCAGAAAGTATTTGCTTTGCCATTTTGCAGACGTGGTCCCAATTTGTCGGTGACTCTAACATTTTTTCTACTAGGTTGTCTGGGCTTATGTGACCGAGTATTTGCTCTGCTATATTTCGCTGCATGTTCCATCTTGGGCAGAAAAATAGAGTGTGTTCAACCGTATCCACGTTTATGCAATAAAGGCACTCCTCGGTTTCGGCCAGATTGAAACGTTTGAAGTAGACTTCAAAGCACCCGTGCCCGGTGAGTATTTGTGTAAGAAAGAAATCTACTTCACGGTGTCGTCTCTCAAACCAGGGTCTTATATTTGGAATTAGCTTTTTACTTCATTCCGCTGTACCATCATCTATGTCCCATTCCTCTTGCCAGCACAACATCACCGCGTAACTTTGGATAAGTAATAAATATTTAGACAATAACAAACGAATACCTATTAAAAGGTATCACAAAAAATCCTTAATATTGTAAATAGGCGATTCGTAGCAATTTGTCTTTAAGAGTGCATTTGAATTTTATTTGACTAGTCATTTCCTTGAGTTCGATGGGCAATTTATTACAATCTTTTACGGTCAAAACAAAAGAACTTTTTGACGGAAAAGACAGTCTGTGTTTAGGTATCTGAGTTTTTTGAGAGCATATAAAGCAAGAAAGAGTGTTGTGGGAATAGGTCTTGACATGAAGAATTCCACGGCTTAAACATTGTAGTCCGTAAAATGCGTTTCTGAATCCTAACGACGTGATCTGCACGTGGGGAACCTCCCCAACAAATCAAGGCATAGTTAAGACAAAGAAAAATAGTACATTCTCAAGAAGGGAAAAGAAACCTAATGGCATAGCCTCCATATGACAAAGCAATAAAGAGAAAATTTTTTGAGAATGTGGCCCACCTGTTTTTAGTCTCGAGTCCATATAAACTCCGTGGAATTTTACAACACTTTTTGTGGGGCGGTGCCTTCATTTAACCGTACTAATTAGTCCTTATTTAAATCCTGTGTTGAAAAGGCGATCATCTCAGTTTTACTTTCATTTAATATGAATGAAAGTTGCTCAGACGATGCTTGAGAAAGTGTATCATCTGCAAAAAGGAAAAAGTAAGAATGGGGGAAAGAAGACTACACGTCATTTATGAACACTATAATCAATAAAGGACAGAGTCAACTTCTCTGAGGTACACCGCAATTTATTACACGCACCTCCGTCATCAGTTAAGTCAGAAGAATCTACTTTGTTCCCCGTGGACCATTTGTCTGTCGGTACCCTCTCTTTATAATTATTATTCGACTTTTTAGGTTAGTTTGAAATAATAGTTCTTTTTTTCCTTAGAGTTATTATATCGCAACCAAATGTATTTTGTATGTTTTTTTTTAACATAGCATGTGCAAATCGTGCTGTTTCTCGTAATTAATTGAATCGATGAATAGATTCCCTTTTGCACAATACAATAAATTTTCATTCATTCAATTCATTTTTTTGTCTGCACAATGTTTTTCAGCGCTCAAACGAGTTTTTTTATTGGATGGCCTGACAAACCTTTGTAATAAGAAAATGACAAGATTTGCCTTCCAATATTATAAGTTCATTTGGTCCAAACTATAAATTACTTTTTCTTTTCTATTCTGAGATTATTTAGAGATACCCTATGTCTTAAAAACCAATGTTGCCATTGCAACTTTGAATGCTCTACAAGATTATTATTTTTTTTTAGCATGCCTAAAGAAAGAAAAAAGAAATAATAAAACTTGCCTTTTTTCTCAAATCATCCCGATTTTATTTATTTATAAATCACCCTAAATTTCCGAAACTAACAGAAAAAAATTTTTGTTGGTATTTTACTTTTTTTAGTCAGTAATAGTTATCTTCTAATCTTCCTACCTGGAGCATTTCCCACGTGGGTGTCAACGATAACGGCGCCAGGGTCGGACTGGGCTGCGCGATAGGCAGTCCTGGACTAGACAGACTCAAGCCGCTACTCGATTCCGAGGCAGACGACTCTATCTGCGACAATTTCGTGCCCCACACCAACTCCTGTTCAAATTAATCATTTTTAATTTTCGACACTCCAAACCAATAGCAAAAGGAGATTTGTCAAATTTTGATATATTAACTACATTGTGTTCTTTTTAATGGAACTTCCTGTATATATTAACATAAATTGATAATTCTTCTTATTAGCTCTTCAAAAATATATAACACATAAGAGCTGTTTCAAATGCAAAGCATGTATTTTTTTTATTAGTAGGCGGTGGAAAGTACACATTTTTATCTTACATAAACTACACGATTTATTACAAAAAGTTATTTATCGGTCAAAATAAATAAAAAAAAATAAAAAAAAAAAATAAAAAACAAACCCAAAAAGCAGATTTGGGTCAAGAAAATGGCAACACGACATTTTCTAGTGGAAAAAATATACTCTTGCTATTAAACTTTACAATTCTAAACTGTATATGATTGTATGTATGTAAAAAAAAATTAATGTTATATTATGTTTATTTATTTACTAATATAAAATAATTGAACACCATGTATATACAAATTATCAAGGAATAAGTTTTTATTCAAAATGTAATTGTTTCATCATGGGGATTAATTACTATGTTATTTTGGATGTAGATGTAAGAACCTTCAGTTCTTATTATTTATTATTATTTATTTCATTTTTTATTAATTTATTGCACTCGATTTGAAGGAGGAATACCATTTTATTTCTGACATATTTCAGGAAACTTTTTTTATACAATTTTTACTGGAATCAACGCAAATTATACATCTGCTTTCGGATCTATACTTTTCAAATTTTTCTTTTTTTTTTCACTTCTTCATTTTTTTCTCGGCCTGCTAATATCTTTTCGTCTATCCTCTTCCGCGCGTTCTTTCAACTTACTTTTATTTTCCTTTGTTTTCTCGTTTATATTAATTTCCGTTCTCATATCATTTTATCGTTGTTGTCCATATTCCACTACCATATAAAAGGGTCTTTTTTTAATTATTTATTTTCTTGTTTTATTTTTTAACGTTCTGCTGATTGTTCAGCACCTGATGAGTCTTTGCTTCGATCATAAATATTTATCTCCTCGTCCTAACTCGATATGTACTTGAGAAAACCATGGTTTTCGTTTGGCATCCGTTTTTGAAAGATTGGTTGGTTAGATTGGTGGTATATAGAGTATATATTTCTCTCTGTAGTTCGTCTTGTCTTTACTACAGACCTATGAAAAAATAGAGACTCAAACATATTTTTATAATATTTTCAATATTCTATTACACAAATGTCATTAATATATAAATAGATGTATAACGTAAAATAGGCGCGAGTGCTGTTTGAAAGTTTTACTTTATATGACCTTGACGCTGAGACGTCGCCCATTTGTCTCGAGCGGGACGAGTTACATTGTGAATATTTATAAATTCAATCGTATATAAGACCTTTTAAAGGAAGACGCATCTTGGATGTTTGGAAAGAAAAACTTTCAGGGCGTCCATGTCGGTTTTCCTTCACCGGTAAACGCGCAGTGTTGAGAGTTATCGGTTACCGGACCATCATCAACAGCACTGGTGCGTAGATATAATCTTAAGTGTGATCCAAGTTGAGAAATTGGGCAGCTGAATAAAAACATTTTCAATATCAAAAATGTCTTAGTATACCGGTCTTGAAAACACAACATAAATTTAATCGACCTGAGTTTACAGGAAAATATGTAACAAAAGGTGACTTTTGGCAACATGTCATGTTTAGTGTAAGACACATATATTTTTTTAAGCTACCCTATAAAATTTTTGTACGTACTATGCAATAAGCAACTACTTGAGAGCCAGATTTCTTAAAACCGCATTTTTCGTCCCTCACTCTATCAAAATGTCTATTAGTACAAGGAGTCACTTCCATTTCTCGGTTAACCGTGCATTCGAGTGGTGCGGGCTATTGTTTGCATTACGTGAAATTGAGAAGGCTTAAAGGTGAGTGTTCTCACCAGTACAGTATGTGAATTTCATGATGGTTTCGTTTTATTGGCCAAAATAGCAAAGTACCAAATCATTTATTTATTGATCGGTTTCATTTTTATTTGATAAAATATACCCAAGGAATTTAGTTAAATATTGTGTGTTCTCTCTTTTTGAACTATTTTAAACGTTACCCTCTCTCACATTAGTGATGAAAAGAAATTCAATCTTGATGGTCCGGATAGATGTAAGTATTATTGGCATGATTAAAAGAGGAGATTCAGTTATGTTCTGTGCCGTTATATGTGCTCCCTTAAAAACCGAATTGGCATTTATCGGTGCGCGTATGACTGCCGTTAGTTATCGAGCAATGTTCTACGATTACCTACTATCATTCATTACGCTGCCTGAAGACGAAAACATAATTTTTCTACTGGACTACGCATCCATTCATGTAGTTGTAACTACAAAACAGTGGTTTCAGGACTCTGGTATCCAGTTATTATGGCCAGCATTTAGTCCAGACCTAAATCCGATTGCGAACGTCTGGAGGATATTAACAAGGAAGTTATAAGATCAGGAAAAGACAAAAATAAATAATGTCAATGATCTCAAACAAAGACCACGATCAACATGGGCCAAAATTTCAACTAATTCAATTAAAGAGTTAATTGATAGCATGCTTAAATGACTAATAGAAATATAAAAAATAGAGGTTGATGGACGAGATATTAAGACTATTAGAGATAAATATAAACAGTGAGTTTTTTTTCACAGTACTAATGTATTGATGAGATTTTCATCATGACTAAACAAAAAATAAAAAAAATGTAGCTAATATATTGACACCTTTATTTGTGTGTACTATTTATGTACCTAAACTATTTTCAGAAATAATCAATTGGTTTTAAACAAAACCTTTAAATATGTACGAGTCTATGCTTTTTCGTAGGTATGTAAGTCATCGGCATACAAAAGAGGATTCAGAGTGGTGTTTTGGTATAAATATATATCTTTAGGGCATTTTGATTTCCATCCTTTCACTTGTAGCTTGATATTTCTCTAGTCAACTTTTGGCATATATCTACTGCCATTTTGGTGTCAATGTGTTTAATAGCATATCTTATTCCGATTACAATTGATGTAACACAATTTATATTTTAGACACTCCTTCTTGACACTTCTTTTGACACCAGAATAGGAAATTTTTATATAATTTCAAAGAGTGCCGTGAATAACTGCAACCACAATAATTATTTACAAATTAAACTAGAACAAAAACACTAAAAATGATAAGACACACTAAAGTAAAATAATCTTTAGCTATCCCAAATACTGCTGTATGTGACCACCATTTTCCTGAACAAATTTCTCATACACTCTAATTGTATGTCTTGCATTTAGTAACGTTTCCGGATTGTCTCTTAACTGATTGATTGCCTCAGAAATCCTTTACCGAGGTTCTACGATATTATTATAAAATCCATTGAAGTTAAGTCGGGGCTTATGGCTGGTCAATCCATAATTCTGCCGTTCCTTCTCCATGTTAAAAATGTTAAAAAAAATTTTAACTTGCACAACATTGTGAGGAGGGGCACCGTCTTGCTGGCATATAATCAGCGCTGATAAATTTAGGGGTAAATCTTCTATATATTGTTCTATTTGGTTCTCTAAGAGTTGCAAATAATGATCTCCAATTAACTTTTGATCTATACCTAAAATATGCCCATCTATGACACCACACCATCCATTAACTGATTGGTACCCCTGGGTTTTTATTTCGTGTATTTGTCTAGAATTATTTAAAGACCAATCGCATACTTGTCTATTACAACTATTTCTTGTAGTGAACGAACTTTCATCAGTCCATAAAATGTTTTTCAAATAATTATTATTCTCATTATGTCTATTTAAAAAATCCAAACAAAACAGCATCCTCCTTTGACATTGTTCTGCACTTATTTTTTGAGTTTTATGAAATTTAAATACATTATATTTATATTCTTTCAAAACTGAGTGGATTGATCCCCGAGAAATACCCGTCCCTTCATATACTCTAGTAATAAAGGAAACTGGATGTGGTTCATAAAATCCAAATATGATCGCCTTATTTTCTTCATTTAAAACATTATGACTCCGGCATACCTTTTTAGCATTTCCAAAAATTTCCTGTTTTTGGCGATTTGGCAAAAACAAGTATAGTAACATATAATATATATATATATATATATATATATATATATATATATATATATATATATATATATATATATATATATATATATATATATATATATATATATATATATATATATATATATATATATATATAAATATGATGTAGGCTTATATGTCAGAAAATTGATAGTGTTTTTTTTTTATTGGTCGCTTGGAAAATGGCAAATAACCCTACATTTTATTTTTTAGTTTAGCTTGGTATCTCTAAAAACAAAAAAGGTGCAGCCAATTAAAATGTTATCAAGATAAATTGAACGCATGGTACAAACCCAGGTCTTAAAGCCATAGTGCATAGAAAGGTTAATATTATGAATAAAAGAAATTAAAAAAAAGGAGCGAGATAATTAGCTACCTCTGTGGTATCACCAGACTTCACGATGTGTGCAGCTGTCCAACGTTTTGGAAATGTGCCCTGTGCTAAACATTTATTTAAAAAATTATGAGAGGCAGTGCTAAAGTTGGACAATATTTTAAAAATGGTGCGGGTATGCCGTCAGACCCTTATCCTTTTTTTGGATCTAAAGTAAGCAGTATCGTTTGGACAGAGTGGATAGTTGCGATATACTTCGCAGTTACACCATTGTTGGTTATTTTAGAAGGTAACGATTTTATTCACCTGACATTTCTCGGCGGACATGAGGACGTGCAGCAAGCCCGGTGGCGGGGGCAGATGGGGATGGTGGAACAGCGGCGGCGGTATACCAGATCCGTCCACGTGGCCCTGCCCCGGACTGGATACGGGCTGGGGTGGTGGAAACGTCAGAACTTTGAGCGGATGGTGTGGAGGGACGAAGAGACTAGTAGAGGCGAATTGAAAGGAACCGCTGGTCCCTGACGGGGTGAGCTTGGTGCCGTCAGGCAGCGGGAGCTGAAGTCCGTGCGACTGAAGCATGTTGGTCGATTGATGATGGTGCGAGGCGTTTGCGCTGCCCGGCATCGACTGCATTTTCGGTTTGCGAGGGCCTCGCTCGTGCTGCACGGCTGGAATAGGGCAAACGATTTAGGTGACGCAGAAATTGAATATCTTAAAACCCAACAGCCACCTAGCTTATTGATCTTTTGCAAATCTTTCTATAATACAGTAAAACCTTTATTAGTGACCAGTTTCATGAAACGACCCCGAAATTAGTGGATCAAATTATATATATTCTACGTCCAAAATAAGTGTTATGCCGCAAATACAGAAATCGTGAATGGTAATTTATATGGTATTCTAAGGGATACGTTCCTAGGGGGTAAAATAAAGAAGTAACAAATATATAAAAAAGATCAATTTAATTGAAGTTTTTGAACATTTTGATTAATTATCTTAAGACCTAGGCAATGGTTTAAAGAATTTTGTAATTTGCAAAACTTGGCAATTTTTAAAAGTTCCTTCAATTCAGACTGATACGCAGCAGTCTGATACGGTTTCGGCTGTTCGCAGTCAAAGTTTGTACTTGCACAGATTTGTCGTCATTTTCCGCAGTCAGAGCAGGCCACACTTTTTTTCCAGCACGACTTCAATGTGTGTGGCTTCAGTTCTTCCAATGATTCTTTTATGTTTACGATGCACTTTGCTATGTCAAATATCCTCCAATATTCCATAACATTCATATTAGGATTAGATTCCATATTTTCCAATATGATTTTGAAGGTTCGTCTAATTCAATATATCTTAAAGGTCTGGATTATTTTTTGGTCCATAAGTTAAAACAAACGTGTTGACCTGGTGCATTGCCCAAAACTAAAAGTGCTTTGAAGTCTAAATTCTGTTATTTTATATGTTTCAATTTCAGAAACAAAACAATTCCGGAGCCAGTCACAAAAAATAGCGCGTGTAACCCACGCTTTCTCAATAGCACGCCAAAACACAGGCAGGTTGTCCCTGTTTTCATTTTTTTAAAGCCCGAGGATTACATGATCCGTAAAGCATTGGTGGCTTAATGACACAATCTCCCGAGGCATTAGAACATACCAGCAGTGTAACTTCTTAAAGCCAGGAGCAGACTTTTATCTTTTAGAAATGAATGTTTTGTTTGGCATTCTCTTCCAAGCCAGTGAAGTTTCGTCTACATTAAATAATTATCCCTCTATCAGCTACTAGATTTTGCAAATTCTTCTGGTTATCTTCTACTGCACCAGTGTCTCCAGATGCTGCTTCTCCAATGAATTTAATCTTATGCAATGATTGTCTCACCTTAAGTTTGTTGAACCAATTCAGGTTCAGGTGTTGAGATGTTGGTTCTTTAAAATGAGCGTAAAGACGCTTTGCTTTCTACCGGACTATTGCACCACTCAGGGACACCCTTGTTTGGTTGCGGTCTTCGATCCATAATGACTACGCCACTTTGTCTTTTTCTATTTTCACTTTAAGCAGTAACACCAAATTTTTCATGTCGAAACTCGTTTCTCAGTCAGTTCAATTAAAAAAAGAGCGGTAGAGACGTGTTACTCGCAATTTCTTTTGGTTTTTGTTTAATTACATTTTAAAATTGTAATGTACTATAATTTAACAACAAGTACAAGGGACTTCAAGAGACTTATCATCGCAATGTGGCTGATAAGCAGAATACGCGTGTTTAGTTACTGGGAATTCAGCACTTTTCCACTGGTATTAGATATGCCACCGTCTTACGCCGAACAGGAATGTGCAACAGCCCCTTTAAGAGTCAATTCTAGACACTATCTTTCACCTTTGCACAATCTTTAAGAATACTCAAGAAGCGGGTACACAGGATATGATCGACTATCGATTAAAATTAAAATTACATAAATTTCTGCAAGAGTAAACACGAAATGGGGAGGACAAGACATTAGGATAGGTGAGATGGTTTGTTGTGCTACTCCGTGAAGTTGAGTGTTAAGATGTTGGTTAAATTATAGTAGTTAATTATGTTCTTTGAAGAATATTCAGAAGTCTTCAGCTGGCTGCGGTTTTGTGAGATACAGAGCGTTTTTTTTGCTGTTATGCAACAGTTTTCCGAGAGGAAGTTAATAAAACTTCGATCAGTATTAAAACTAACGCTCAAAGCACAGACAATTGATATCAAAATGATTCTTTTAACTACTCCATATTTAGTCAATCATATATCACTTTCCTTGTTACTTTCGAAAAATGATGAAATCGAAGTATACGCGGTGGCAACGAACGTCATTTTCTCTGTAGATTTGGCATTAATTGGCTATAACTTTGGAACGGTTTGCCACACATCCTTCAGATTGAGCTCCTTTTAAGCAGTCGATGGAATACATGGAGAAAAGCCGCTATCGGACCTCTGCGTCCATCCTTTCTTTTTTTTAGATTTTCGGCTGTTTTTTGGACATTCCTATGAACTTCAAATTTGGCAAACGAATAAAGTTTAGTTCCCAGAAATTGAGGGGGTTGGGCGGTCGGGAAATATTTTTAAAAATTAAATAACCGCATTTGCAGGGTCTCGAGAAAAAATATTTCTCAAAAACGGTATATACGATCCAAAGAATTCTTGAACCAGAAGATGCGCGAGATCCGGACCAAAAAGCTTTGTTGTTAATGATTCTTTGATAACGTACAAGGTCCACTGGGAATTTGCAAAATCTGAAAATTGGGTTCCAATTATAAACATAATTGACCATAACTAGAAGGCTGTAGTTGAGTTGTCGGTTTCTTTTAGATAGTAATATGGCCCGGGTGTACAGCTGTAGGTTTTTATATTTTGTGCAGGGTGTTCAAAATGCTATAATAGGAAATGTGACAGGTAACCTAAATTTGCAGCTATCTACTTCAAGTTTGGCAGAGTAGTCCACGCATTTAAATTGTCGAATCTATGCGTCATCGAATATCGCAAAGTATTTTTCAAAAATTTGGTAAATTTTTTTTTTGGTAATTTTGACTCCCAGAAAAAAAATATTTTCTAGAAAATTGACTACCCGATTTGCAAAATTCTTTAACCAGGAGACAGGATTATATACAGGGTTCTTCAATTACAGGAAAAAATATAAAGGACATATACGCTGGTTGAAATATTGGAAAAATTCCATATGAAAATGACTATGTCTCGTGTTCAATCTAGACTCGATGACGCCATTCACTATTGCAGCGTACTCCATATTTTCAGAAGAGAATTGTTTTCTCGAAAAGCATTTACTCTATTGGAGAAATTCATGATTCAATACCATAACCTCTACTTCGAGCATTTTTTAATTGTATGTAGGGTGTGTCGTTTTGGGACTAAAATTCTAAAAGATCCTGAAAATTTTTGTTTTTTGGATAAATTATTGGTCGTAAGTAAAAAACGGCAAAAGCAGTATCGTAAACTTTTCTTTCTCCTCACTCTTTTCGTCCACCATATTGGATGCGCGCATTTTAAATCGCTATTACTGGTACATTTTTTTTTGTATTTACCAAAATTTGACGTGACTTTGAAGTTCAACGAGACTTTATACAGGGTGCATGCACAATAAAATTACATCGATTTTGGAAAGTTCCATAGTGGTCCACAGGAGCACGATAGAAAAACAATGCGCCTCTCTGGGACAAAAAGCATTTAAAATACATAGCAATGACTTTGTAGACTGCGAAGTGCATTCTACAGACCAGACGCTTTGCACACCCAAGATTTTTCGAAATCAATTTTGTCTGAGGTTTTCCCGGACTTTGGAAGCAAGCTGGAATTATACTCGTTGCAAGTGGCATTAACGATTTTAAACCATCTCAAAGGTTGTTGAAAAAATTGCAACCAAACAATTTTGTCAGTTCCTATGTGATAACAAAATCCTTCCAGACACTCAATCGGGTTTTCGACCTCTCCACACTACTTCTGCTTTGCTTCATGTTAGTGATGATTTATTGAGAGCAGCCGATTCTAAATTCTAACCCTTGTTCGACAGCTAGGACTGCCACCTTCTCTTAGTTAAACTGAAATACTTTGGGGTAAAAGGTACTCTTTAATTTTTTTTTAATTTTCTCATTACTCATTCAGATGCAGTTGATTTGGAGAGGGACGTTCTCCACGGGAGTATTCTGGGGCCTATTCTGTTCTCAGTTTATACAACTGACTTCTTGGTAGTGAAACTTTAAATGCTGCTAGTAAAATAAATTTGCATCTAAAAATAATTTCGATTATTTCTCCTTCTTTGGATGATTGTAAAAATTTATAATTATGACTTGCGGTTTTCTAAACACAACGGTGTTACAAAAGTCTTCCTATAAGTTGAGGACAAATTCATAAACATCTTCTCAGTAAAAAAGACAAATTTGAACTCTGTGATGTATTAGTTTTATCCCATGTCGCTTATTGCAGTATCGTCAATTGGCAGATATACTACATCGAGATAGGGCGAGACTCCAACGACTTCAGAATGCTTGTATTCGTTTTAATTATAATATTAGAAAGTATGACCATATTTCCCAGTGCCTCTCTGATTCGGGTTGACTCAAGTTGGAGGACCCGTTATAAAGTTTACGTTCCTAGATAGGCTTCGCTAACTTTCCAGATATCTTTTAGCTATAAAGAAGTCAAAATATTTAATGAAATACCTTATGCTTAAACGCCCTCCCCATGTTTACCCTCTCTCACATTAGTGATGAAAAGAAATTCAATCTTGATAGTCCCGATGGATGTAGGTATTATTGGCATGATTAAAAGATTCAGTTATGTTCTGCGCCTGTATATGTGCCGCTTAAAAACCGAATTGGCATTTATCGATGGGCGTATGACTGCTGTTAGTTATCAAGCAATGTTCTATGATTACTATTCATTGCGCTGCCTGAAGACGAAATATAAAAAATAAAGGTGGATGGACGAGATATTAAGGCTGTTAGAGATTAATATAAACAATCAGTAAGCACAAGAAACAAGAAAACAGCACCAACACCATGATCGTCACCAAAAAATATATTTTGGTGACAATTTTGGTGTTGGTGCTGTTTTCTTGGTTCTTGTGCTTACACTCCTGTATTACAACTTATATTGTAATATTTTGATTTTTAATTTATACGGTTTATTATTATCATTATTATT